AGGTTATCAAAACGTTACTATAGGCTGAAAACAGTCGCCGAAATAATACAAACTTAAAGGGGCATTGATCTAAAGCAATTCCCCGGGACTGGTTGTTGCCTTTGTTATTGTTTTTTCCCGTGAGTACCCGGATGATATAGCAGAAACCTAGACTAGTTCGCGACCTGTGCTGCGCAATTCGTAAGCGCATTTGTCACTTTTATTGATAGTATAAGGGCGTATGGTCACATCTATCAACAAAATGAACTACAGTTTTGGAAATAATAAGGAAATGTAGGTATCTTTGTGGGTAGCATCGGTAATGGTGACGAACTTTTGATAAGTCACTTGCTTGGTAATTGTGCGATTTTCGTTTACACTATTTTGACTTGCAACACAAAGTAAATATTTCTCCTGAGCATTGCTTATTTTATCGTGTTTATATTTTTTACAGTCAAAATGTGCAAAATTTTCACTTAGGAACTTTATTAAAAGCCTGAATATTCAGTTATTTACAAATTGACTGAAAAATATGTCCATCTGTATTATTATGATAACGAATTCCAAACATTTTTATGTTTAATATCATCACCAAGAGACTGAAAATGTTAGGATTAAAAGTACATTTCCATATTGTTTGGCTTCTAATCCTACATAATAATCTTTTGTGATGTTTAAATAGGCCCTTTTGATCGTCTTAATCAGTTTTAGTCAATCTGTTAAAGAAATGGACAGATTTATAAGTCAAAATGACTGGGCAACGTCCGGGAGTTTAAAAATATAGTGCAGTCAATAAAACAGGTTTTCAGTTTGGTAAGATCGTGAGAATATCAACTGGTGTTGGTCCTACTTTTTAACGTCCGAGGACGCCCGGGAACGTCCGGGGGCGTCCGGAAACGTCCGGGAGGTTTCATCAGACGTCCGGGAGTTTAAAAATACAGTGCTGTCAATAAAACATGTCTTTCTCAGTTTGGTAAGATCGTGAGAATATCAACTGGCGTACGTGTTTGCTACGTGCAGCGGCCAGAAAATGGAAGTACTGCAGTACCCGGAAGTTTCTGGCCGCTGCACGTAGCAAACACGTAAGCCAGTTGATATTCTCACGATCTTACCAAACTGAGAAAGACATGTTTTATTGACTGCACTGTATTTTTAAACTCCCGGACGTCTGATGAAACCTCCCGGACGCTCCCACCAGATGCTCCCCGACGTTGCTATAGTACCGGACGTTTTACACTCAGTGAACCATCTGGGGCCACGCATGAACTTTTGAAACGTTTGTGTTTCAGTATTAGTTATGGATTAGTATACAGAATATGACACTATAAAAGAACAATATTTTTGTTCCATAAGCAAATTTACATTGTATCCTTCAAAGCCTACGTTACGAATACCTCGTCAGTTCGAATAAAATAAAATCGTATTTGCTTGGCAGATTCACCATTTAAAAAGAATAGGGGTGTATGTACAAAAATTCCAGCTATATGTTATTTTGTATAATTAATACAATAACACAATTATATAGAATACACTTTATTATTTAGTATCATTCTCCCGGACGCTCCCTGGCATTGCCCGGGCGCTCCCGAACGCTCCCGAACGCTCCCGGACATTTCCGGACGCCCCCGGGCGTTATTTAGTAGGACCGGTGTTCGTTCCTCAACTGATCACTTAGATTGTTTCTGTTGTTTCACATAGGTGTCATGTCTCAAAGGTCGGCTGAGAAAGCCCACGTGACAACTATTTTCATAACGTCCTCGGTTCCTAAAAAAATCCATTGAGTTAGATAACGAGCAATCAATCAATATATTATCGGTTATCCCTTTGAATTGAAAAGGATCCCAGGTGAGATGGGAGATTCAGAACCTGAGGTAAATCCAGACTTGCTTCATTTAGTAGTTTTGCATTACAAAGGGCTGTATGTAATGATATGGTCCAGGGACTGTGAGAGGGACTACAGGATGGACATCTGTTGTATCATAATAACGTGTGTCTATGCCTCTTGGCAATACATGCTGTCATCTATGTTGAAATAAGAATATCTTTTCATCGCTGAGAAGAATTGTGACAAAGTAATTGTTAAAATTCTTCATATACCCCCGAGGTTATATAGATATGGTTTAAATTAATGATAACAATGAATTTGCATATAGGTGAGCACAAAGTAGACACAATTCATGGGAAACTTGTGTCTACTTTGTCATCCGTCAACTTCTAAGTACTGCATGCCTAGCAAACGATGTATAGGTGAACAGCTCATAATATATACACCGAATAACAATATCCCCATGTTGAAAACTTATAATGTCCAATGTTTTTTACCGAAAAGTTTAAAATACATAGGTGAGTGAGTTGTAAGTTTGGTTAACGGTGCTTCCAATTACTATAGTATATATCACGGCGTGTCGGTTTAATATGGGATGTGAAGGCCTAACGTGAAGCAGTTCGTGTAGACATTGGTGAACCCCATGAGCACTTGATGGTGCTGACAAACCCAGAATGATAATCAGTGCGAACTTGGGGTTCGAGCCCACAATCATCAGATTGTTCCACGCCCAAGGGAGGCAACTGTGCACAGCAACGTGTGAGTACGGGTTTGCGAGCACTATACCCGTGCTCATTGGTTTCGCCACATAGGAAAGACCTACAATGTTTCGGATCGGAATACAATTGAAATGCATTTTAAAGCGCATCTTCCCGGGGCAAGAGAGTTAACTGACTTTAAAAGTCCAGTTTCCACCCTTGCCGAACTAGGCTGGAATTCCTGGGCTCGATCGTAGCGCCACCAGTGGCTCTTACGAGTTATGTCCTTTCTATGCATCACCTATTGACCAATCAGATTCAACCTCTCGTATCACGGGTGGCCCAGTCGTCTAAGGCGCAGCGATTCGCTGTGCAGAGTTGCGTCCCTTGGGCACGCCGTAAACCTATGATTGTGGGTTCGAATCCCGGTTCGCCCCGATTGTGTTTTTAGGTTTGTCAGCACCATACCCGTGCTCGTGGGTTTCACCGAAGTGGTAAACGTCTGAGACCTGCATCACTTCGGGCTTTCCTCCCACATTAAGCTGACACGCCGTGATATAACTGGAAAACTGTTAAAAGCGGTGTTAAACCCAACTCACTCACTCACTCATTACACCGAACTATAAGATGACATATGGCGTACCGTTACAAGATAAACTGGTAAGTTAGTTATTCAATTAAAAGCGTACAAGTATTTATTGTTTTAATGCCTGTTCGTTGAAACTATGAGGCAATTAAGTGTTATACACACAAACATGTAATCCACATTCAATACCCTAGGCCGGATTAACGCAGGTGTCACTTGCGACTGTAGGCGTTAATTGCAGCGGAATCTTCAAAGGCAGACAGGTGTGCCTGAAACACAAAATAAAACGAGATTCGGTTCCAGATTTGCGTACCGTAAGTCCTTGAAAATACGTTCCAGTGTCTTTTTCTCGCGGGAGAGTCTGTTTACTCGATTATGGGTTTTAAGGAAAAGGGTTTAAACATAACCTATTAGTTTCAGACAGGGGTTTATTTCTTTCGGTGCGTCGGTTGATCAGGCGTGTATTCCAGTTGTGGTTGTTTAGTTTGTTTGTTTGTTTGTTTGTTGTTTAACGCCGCACTCAGCAATAATCCAGCTGTATGACGTCGGTCTGTAAATAATCGAGTCTGGACCAGACAAACTAATGATTGATATCATGAGCGAGGGTGTACGTGGGTTCGAATCCCAGACGGGACTCCAAAAAGTAAGAGAATCTGTACTTTACTCAGAAAGCGTTATCCCAAATATAACATTTGTTTTATTTGACCACTTTCTAAATGGCATTCTGTGTTAATATTAATTTGTTTTTAAACATACATTTTATAAAAAAACAACAACATGTAAACAGTGTCGTTGAATGTTATTATATATTCAATAAGAATATTCAACATTTAAACGCGCGAAATATGTTATGTTTTCCCATGTAATTTGGGAATTCCGGGCTTGACAGCCCCCAGCAACCGCCCGAGACGACAACGTGGATTGGGTGGTCAGCCCCGGTGACTTGTCAGACTGTCGTCACGATCCACAGCGTGGACCGTTGCTAACAATATCGATCACTGGAATGTCTTGCCTAGTCTCGATTATTTATGACCGTCGTTATATAGCTGGAATATTGCCGAGGTAAGCAACAAACCAAAACCAACCTAGTACATGTAATTACACATTACTCAGTCGCATACGATATGTGTGTTCATGCGCGTAAAACAGAGCGCCAGAAACAGTCGTTCACCGAATGCGTATTTATAACATACACACAACACTACAACACCGCCTTCTTAGCTACACGTGCTTCGATCAGCGAGAGTGTTTACATACCTGTAGAACCCTTGGTGTTGTATTGTTCGCGGGAAGGTCAGAACTCGTGCACTTACTTGCTATAGGTTCATCAAGTGCAGTAAACGACATCATTGTAAGTGTTTGGTCATCTGCCTTTGGATCAGAATTCGTGACGAAGTTAAAGAAATAAATGTGAGACTGTTTGATTCAATCACGTGTATAAAAGCACTGTATATGTTTCAATAAACTTATTTTGATATATTTTTTTTTAATTGTGAAGAAGAAATAACTTAGACAGGTTAGAGAAATAATTTAAATGAAAGATTTTAGGTGTGCGAGATCGACAAGTGTGTAGGTATGACTAGAAACGTAATAAACAATGACGTTTTTGACAATAAACGGAAATTCGATAACTTGTCAGCAAGATAACAACATTCCAGAAATAACTTATTTCCGTGTCATTTTAGTTCGCATTGGAACTTTAATCGGCCTTTCACATATTCTTTTTTTTCACCATATAAAAAAACCCTTACATTTTCGTCTCATTGTCCCAAAATAAAATGAGTATTATTTTCAAGAATGCCCCATTTTACACATTTTACTAAATCTATCGCACACTGTGTCATTCACTCTCTACAAGCCAATACACGCTACGCACTAGCGCGGTGCACCCTGGGAAATTATGACATCATCGAGCTCATTTACATATTTGTATGCTCGCCATTTTGGTTAGCATCTAATACACAAGTGTTTTGGATAAGAATCCAACAAAAATCAGAAGCCATCCGCGTTGCTTCTTGATTATTTCTTTGTCAGTTTGATCTAGAAACAAACCCAACGGAACGAGCCGGCGTAAGTATGCTTTACTTTCCCTACAAGCCGAGATAATTCAATCCGGAACGACCCGGGGTGATCTATTTATCTTTGTTTCGTTTCGGCAGAGCTTGCCGTTATATTCTATCATAGCGTCACTCAGCTTTCCTTCTCAAAATGCAATTTAAGCGAATCGGGTGCACAAATACTTCATGTATTACGATGCATACACATTTATTACATACATGCTTGTGTTTTGCACATTTACTATGCATGTCTGATGCATAATTATCGGGAAGTTATGCAAGGATTGACTTCACTTTTTACTCGATCAACACACAGAATGACACATGCAAGCGAAGGAGTCACACCGACTTCCGCTGCAAAAAGTGTTTTGCCACTATTTGATTTTGTGAAAGGTTGTGTATAGTCGATATGTACATCGATTCTACATACCCCTGTTTTTCTTCTTCTGCATAAATTTATTAGACCATTGTTCATTAGACTCGTCCCCTAAATAGCCAGGGTTGAGCAGCTCGCTGCTGCCGAAGATCGATTTCAGACAGCAGGATTTTTTAAATATTCACATTTCTAGCAATTCCAGTGAAATTCCGAAGGCACTGATTTGATACGGAAACAATCGTATATAGCTCCTCTATTTCACACGCTTCTTGGAAATGATCCCTTATCGGACCACTCGACTTCATTGTTGTGAAATATTTTTAGACGTGACAGTTCGCTGTTGCTTTGATACCCCTAAATAGTGGCTGTTTACTGTGCAAACGAAAGTAAAACTTATGTTTCTGATGAACCATCAACAAAAAATTACAATTTGTGTGTAAACTACGTGTGCAATCAACACAAATTATGAATATACCCAAATTAATGGCTTCATCTAGTCAAGACTCTATACTAGACTCTACTCCATGATGCATATATTGGTCCACAAGTCAATAGTAGGTATATATCTAGTGTTTGTTTAATGATGGTGGAAAAGGCATATAGCATAATTATTTTTTAACATATCTGATTTTGGCATATTTCAGTTTGATTTATTTTAATGAGAACCACAGATTTGGGTTTAATATAACAAGGTATTATACCTCAGTGTATATCTCAAAATGACTTCTGCCCTCCAAAGTTATTTATGTATGCATTGCCACTCAACCCCTAAAATTTATATATTTTTTAGGGGTGGAAGTCTTACTTATATTTCATACTTGTAACTTAGTTAGCTATGTTTCAGTTTAAAAACTATCCAATTTTTAGCAATATTTGTTATTGCTCTATGATCATTTAACCTGTCGTTCATCCGTAAACTTACTTTACCCAACGATTATGAAACAACCATTATTATTACAGAGACAATTACTGCATCTCGTTAATGAGTGGTATTGAAAATGTCGCAATTTTTGTTATATGTCAATTTGGGTACAGACAACACATCGTTTGGGGTATTATACTTTGATTGACATATTATATCTGATCTTTGCTTATCCCCGTCTTGTGTCTCACCGAACAGCTGTACAATGCCACTGGTTAAAATTATCACGGAGCCAAGTGTCTGACCTCAGTATTCACTGTATGACTTTGTCAAGATATCTCTGATGAAATATGTTAGATATCCATTGGTATATTTTTGCGTAAACAGATATGAACGAACACACATCAGCTTTAAGATATGTGATTATTGTTGGTTGTTATGTGTGTATGCTTATTAATCTTGATTCAAATTCACCTGCAGTTTCTGAATCCTCATCCATTCCTCATTTAATATCATTTTAATTATGTCACTACCGGGGTGCTACGGATCATAGAATTAGTGGATTTGCACTGTAGGATTTACATCTTATGAATTGATTGGCAGTGCCAAGAAATTGAACAAGTGGGGACAAGTGCTCTGTTGACACAATAATATTGGGTCATTTGGAAAATTTATGAGGCCACGTTCTCGGTCAGTATAAACTTAAAACCGGATTTGCAGGTTGTTGATGCAGCATAGCTGACTACAAGTAATGTTACAGTGAGATGTATGAGACAACGAAAAACAGCAAATTCACATTCAATTAATAAAGTATTTTTTTTAGACCTGTCAAGAGACCCCATATTTATATAAAGTAATCAGCTACAGGAATGTGCGTGATAATGTACTAATAGTAAGTGTATAAATAGTACTCAATAAATGATGGCAGGAGTACTATAAATTCAAATCTTAACTTTCAATTTCCCTCTCTGCGAGGCCTTTTATATGGTGACCATTTTGTGACCAAACTCTTGGTTTGGATTCCATAATGAAGTCGCCTTGTAAATATTGCGTCTCTCACCTCTTGGTGACGACAGCTATTAAAATTGATCCCAGTTTCAGGAGCCAGAATACTGATGGCTTTCGAGCAATACATCAATCTTAGGCCTGCTGCTATCACCACAATGGGATGAGTTGGAAAAGAATGACTTTTGAGTTGCATTAACAATTCCTTTTTGTGTATTATATTGCAATTATTTTTGTTTCAGATACTTGCGGTTCGTTCATAGGGTATACGAGAAAGCCTTCAATGTGTGTGCTTCGGCAAGATGTCCTCAGTCTCGGGGTTAGGCAATAGGGGGGAGAAAGGCAAGGGCAAGTTCACGGCGATAAATATCAACAACATATATAAGGGCAAAACCGTTGAAACACAAAAGACTGCGGGTAAGTTGAAATGGGCTCTGCCAACTGTCAGTCAGTACAATTTTTCTGACATTTTACTTGCAGTGATTTTGCAAGAGACAAAATTAATGGCATTAGGACATTTTCATGATTATTGTCTCGCTTTGAGAAGATAATTCTTCTGTATCATTTAATACCAAATTTGGAGAAAAAAATCCAGCATATTTTGATGGACTTCAGTGTCCTGTAAAATGAAGCAACCTGAAATCCAGCAAGATTAAGTTTTCAATTTCTGACGAATTTATTTCAGTGGTGTTTTTTGAGTCATTCTATCACAATTGTGAAAAGCTGACTGGAATGGTGATATGTCAGTTGATGGTACAGCAGATTTTGAGATCGGTTCATTTTCTTGGATACTTCTGACCACTTGTTCTTTTGTTCAGGTTTTCATGTACAGTCATCATGAATTCGAAACGGAACAAATAGCATAAACCCTTTATTCACATCATTGTCAACATTATACAGTTTTTCCAGATATCATATTATTATTTACCACAGAAAATGTTCCAAGAAACAGGTTTGGGCTGATAGACCCGATGTATTTGGTGCAGATTTCAGGGCTCGAAAAATTTGTTAAACCCAACCTGTCCTGAGGGGCAACTAGATATTTTGTACTCATCCTGCAATGTTCTCACTTGATCCTATTAAATTTTGTATAGTTTTATGTTCTCAGTTATTATTACTATTTTCTGTAATTAACCTTCGAGTTGAAGGTATTTAAGACTGACAGTACAAAATATTAAAGTCACCTGCTACCTACATTCATCTCCACCCATTCAAAGTCATTCAGCCATGAACATTTCGTTTCCATTTTTTAGTCATGCTGTTTTAAAAAAAAATTAAATTAAGTTTTTGGCCTGTTTGGTAATCAAATCATGTTTTTTCTTGTCAATCCCACCATTCCCGATTAAGAACAGCCAATACCAGTGATTGAAATTGGCACTAGTCCTATAGCCCTTTCCAAACTGCCCAATAGTTTGGTTTCATAAGAACGGGTAGAAATTTGCAATTTTTAAGGGGTTTGCGAGTTATCATAAGGACTAGTGGACTAAAACTGTTAGTTTCTATTGCTGCATGATTACCCACACAAGATCATTCACTTTCTCTGTCATTTGAGAATCAGTAACAAGTCGCTTACAACAAAATATGTTTGCATCCCTTTAAAAAATAGTTTCGAGACTGCCATGTAAACGCTCTTTTGTTTATATATTTAACAGACAGTTGCCAAGTATGCCTTCTTTTTATGATAAAAGCAGAATGTATTTCATTATTACTACTATGAAAACATGTTCGGTTTGAAATTATCCTGCATATTTGATTGAAGACAGTTTGAGATAAATTGACATGATTAAAATAAATGTACTCGCCTGTTAATACAAGTGTTCTTCACTTCTTTCTCGCCCTGCACATGCTTCCGATCGTCCATACGAGTGGATGAGTGGATTTTTAGAGCCTTGGACTTAGTATTAAGCTCTGATAAGGAATTATTTGTGTCATGTGATGTTGAAGCTCGTTTTAAAAACAGTTTCTTGTTTGTTGTAGTCCCTCGTCAACATGGGCTACAAAGCTTGGGTAAGGTGGGAACAGCACGGCGTATGCCGCCTCCGGCTAATTTGCCCAGTTTGAAGAGTGAGAACAGTGGAAACGACCCGAATATCAGTCTTGTTCCGACCGGAGGTTCAGGTAAACATCTTTTTTTCCATACCCTAAGAGCTTTAATTGACAAAGTTGGGAACAACTTTATTCTCATTCTTATTTCATTGATAAAAATTTAAAATGCTATTTGCAGTTGAAAGTGAAAATCTACCAATTCCATATATTCTGAGAACAGTGTCCTGAATTGGAATAGCAAATATGTTAGGCCCTCGCTGATTAAGACATTGCATGAGCAATCTCACATAAGTCTGGGAAATGAAATTGTGGGTGACATATATATTTATATGTACTGAAAGCTTTTTTGAGTGAAATGTTTATAAACATTTTTGGTCAATTATCAAATGTTATGTAAATGCTATGAATATACTTTCTGCGAAGAAATGATCTCAATTCTCTGTCTCTACATTGTTGTGTAAATTTCTGAGATGTCCATTGCAGGATGGGGCACGAAAGAGGAGAAGAAAGAGGAAGCCAGTGGAAAACCGCCGCAACAGTTGCCGCAGCAGCCGGCTACGTCGGCGCCATCTGGGCAATCAGCAGTACCAACTACCAAGGTCAGTTGTAAGAGGGTTCAAGACTCACTTTCTTGACTTAAACTCATTTGTTTGCTTGTTATGTAAATTAGACAACAAATAAACATTATTCTGGTATTTTGGTTTGCACAAATGTATGCCAGTTACCAACTGTAATCCAACCGTATCTTGCTATTCAAACATTTGTGGTGAGCCCAAAATAATTAGATGATATTTTTACTGTCATTGATATTCATCCTGAGCCATTGAGAAGTTTTCTAAAATTGCTTGTCGAGATTGGACCAAACTTTCTAAGATGAATGTCTTTCAAATTTTTGAATAAAATTGTTTTCAGACCAGTGTATCTGGGGGCACCAACACAGGGGTAAAGTCATGGAGCAGTATTACTGGTGGGGGCACCTCACAGGGTAAGTTCTTGTCCCATCATAAGACACACAACTTTTGCCTTAATCTCAGCATCTCAAAAGATTTCTTGGCAAGTATGTCATCACTAGTCAAATGAAACAAGTTTTAATGATAACTGAATGTTGTTTATACCTTTATTTATATATTCATGTTGTATAAGCACATTTCATTCACTGAGCTTCTATTCATGAATTTGATATGAATATGTTGAGCTGTGTTACGTTATGAGAACGTAAACGAAAATCCGGGGTTTAGTTATTGTTTTGATTGCCAGGATCTCTTGTGAGTCATCAGTCACCCTTGTTCCAAGAGGAATTTCCAAGTCTAGCATTGGGGGAAGAAAAAGAAACCAAGGACATAAAAAAGAAGGAAGAAAAAACAGATACTCAATATGGACCAGGGCCAAGTTTGCGACCACAAAGTGAGTTATATGTGATCCAAAGCACTTGATAATTTTCAATCTCTGTGTAAGATTTACATTTACTTTGTAAATTTTCCTGACTACCTTATATGCAAGTCTGTCTGACCAGACCCTTTCACTCAATCACTCAGTTGATAAATTAAGGATGTTTGAAACATTCATTAAGCTAAACTTTGATCCTTTGTTTATTATGGAAATTGTGAATTGCAGATGTAGGGAGTTGGCGAGAAGGAGGTGGGCGTGGCGCCATGCAGCAACCACAGCCAAAACAAGACAGTCTATCACCGACGTCTTCACCATCACAGACCCTCACAGAAACACAGCCGAATGGCCCCCCGACTCCCGGTGGGGGCGACACCCCCTCTCCCTCCCCGCAGATCCCCCCACGACCCAGCTCTAACCAGGGCCCCACATCAACACAGGGCCCCATGCCCATGGCACCTCACATGGGCATGCCACACCCCCAATACAGAGGAATGATGCCACCCTATGTAAGTATTCATATTTAAGCATGTACAGTAAACTACGGTTATAACGAACTCAATGGGACTACTAATTTTAGTTCGTTATATCCGTAGTTCGTTATAAGTACATATACAGCATGACTACAGCAAGTAGTCGGGACCAAAAAGTAAGTTCGCTATATTGGTCAGTTCGTTATAAGCGTGTTCGTTATAACCGTAGTTTACTGTATCTGGATTATTTAGTAGTAGTCTTAGACAGCCAGATGATGCACTTTTTAGTTGAGCTTTGTGCAGTGAGAACTCCTATCTATCACCCATAATACTGATGGCCTGTCTCGCATATTATATTGCCGTATTACTTAGCAGAATAGGTCCCTTTCATCTTGTGCTCATATCAGTCACAAATGAGAATCTGATATGTGCATTGCTTATTGAATGTCATTTTGGGCTAGATATGACCATTGGTCATTAGAGACTACTAAACATCCAGAGGGACTAGTTGTTTTATCCACAAATCTAGTTCTTTTACATAACCACAAGTTCGATATGAGTCGGACTAGTTTCATATGACATGGTGTTTCCAGCTGTTATTGAATGCAGTGTTGTTGTTTTTTCTCATTCTATCTACCAATAGTCTGCCTCACAGTCACTAATGCATGATACCTGGAAGATCCGGGGTTGAATAGGTCTTTAGCAACCTATTCTTGTCGTAAGAGGCGACTAACGGGGTCAGGTGGTCAGACTCGCTGACTTGGTTGATGCATGTCATCAAATCCTAATTGCGTGGATTGATGCTCATGATGTCAATCACTGGATTGTCTGATTATTACAGACTCGATTATTTACCGATCGCCGTCATATAGCTGGAATATTGCTGAGTGCGGTGTTAAACAACAAACAAACACACACTAATCATTGCTAATGCTTGATTATATTCAGACTGCCATGACCTACATGTTGCTGTTTTAGATGATATTCACTCCCATGCTTGTACTTTGAGTGTTGTGATTTATGTACTAAAATCTGGTTTCAGATGTTTGGCAGAATGCCGACTGGCTATCCACCTAACTACCCAGGGATGCCACGGCCACCTTACCCTTATGATGGAAGGTAAGATAAAGGACCTCGGCAAACAATTCTAAATTTACTCTGCAATCAAACTGGCTATAACTGATTGATTTGGCATAAATGTGTGAATGTCAAATTGAGAATTTTATTGTGTAGTTGATAATATTTTTTAAACACTAAGTTGTCACAGAAAATCTTTATATGTAAGATGTGTCGCTAAAAAAAGAAGTAGTTGTGATGAAAGTGATGAAAATATGATTGGCAGGTAATAAATAAATTAAAAATATATTAAAGGCATGTATCTTGATTATTTTGTAGTAGTCTTAGACAGCCAGATGATGCACTCTTAAGTTGAGCTTTGTGCAGTGAGAACTCCTATCTATCACCCATAATACTGATGGCTTGTCTCGCAAATAAAATTGATTATAGGTAAGATAGAGACTGGAAAAATGAATAAAAGCACAACATTGGTTAAGTTGAATTTGTGACGGTCACACACGCAAGGACACCGTGACTTGCATTCTTAAATTCAAAAACAGCTTTTCTCCTTTGACTGATACTTTCATCTTGGACGTGTTAGATACAGAGGCCCACCTCCACACATGCCACCACGGCCAATGGATCGAGAACGAGATCGTGATCGAGACCGGGACAGAGGAGATCGAGAAGGAGGAGAAGAGGGTGTAAAGAGACCTGCCATCATATCGGATAAGGACCTGAAAGAGTTTGATGATCTTTTACGCACAGAGCCCAATGATGGTGGATGGGCTGATGCTCAAGGAGAAATTGATTATAGGTAAGAAAGGGACTGGAAAAATGAATAAAACGCAACATTGGTTAATGGCATAATAGCCAGGTGATGTAGCAAAATGTTGAGCCTCGGCTGTGACGACTCCTATCTATCACCCATAAACCTAATGGCTATCTGAGTTCTGTTAACCACAATGCAATGTACAGTAAACAGTATTTGGCATCTATTTTTATATTGAAAGGAACCAATGATTCTGAAAAATCTGTTTCAAAATATGCTCTAGATTTAGAACTATATACTTCAAAGCTTTAGTATAAGCTGTTGAAAATAATCTTGCATTTTTCCAAGGTTTAAATGAAGATATCCATTGATGAAATACAAACCGTTCTTTTTCTACCTTTCAGTGCTAAGCTTGTGTTCAGTGATGATGAAGACGAGTCAGGCAAAGAGCGAAAGTAAGTGTGATATGACAATCCCGGGATTAACATAACTTAATTTACTAGCCATTTAACATATAAGGACACCCCCTAAAACATCTGAATTCTACTAGCCCTTAGAATACCTGTAAGATTTCACAAGCTGACTTGGGTTTGCGTTCCTGCTAGCTCTCTCAAGAGATGTATTCAGAACTTTTGTTAAGAGATGTTTGACTTGTCGGGTTTTGTTGGCTAGAATATTATTTGAATATTTGCATTTCCTAGGAGAGATCGGAGACCAAGAGATATTCGTAAACAAGGAGAAGATCCACGAGACCGACAAGGTGAACGCCAGATGGACAGACAGCATGACAGACAGCATGACAGACCACATGACAGACCAGATCGGCATGGAGATCGTCCGATGGAAAGATACAGTGATCGACACAGTGACCGACACAGTGAGGATTCTGAACACGATCGGGACAGGGAAACTTCCAAATACGACAAAGATAAGGTAACTAGTTCCTTTCGGGTTGTGTTGAATTTTTTAGGTCTAAGGCAACTGATACTTATCATAGAGGCAATTAAATGTATCATGAGGTCTTTGTGATATTCAATTATTTCCAGGCCATTGTCATATAGTTGGAATGTTGCTGAGTGAGGCTTTCAACAATGAAAAATTGCTATTCTATTTCTGTATCTCTATCTGGCTTGATAAAGTAATGAAATTCAGTTGTCATGAACTAGCCACATGATGTACCTTTGCATTGAGTTTTGACAATGATAACTTCTATCTATCACCCATAAACCTGATGGCTATCTCATGAGTTCACTACTTGGGTATTACGAGGAATGGTTTATCACTCTTGCTTGATCCTTTCCTGCAATCTCTTCATTATCTTTCAGGATGACCAGGGTCCTCCAAAATCCCGAGAGGGATGGACACATGGACCACCACCCCCACAGTACAGAGGTGGCCCAAGGCCACCACCACCAGGAATGGATGGGGTGTGTATTCCTTCCTCTACATCTGTCAACTTAACAGTATGGATGTTTTTTTAACTAGTTATCGTCTCATTTTTCAGTTCAGAAATACTTTCGCTTCAGATATTTGGCTAAATGTGTTTTTATTAAATCTCTGCCTTGCCTATGGGATACCCTTGTGGGGATTCCGGGTTAGAAGAGGTCCCCATCAAGCAACTAATGTTGGCTGTAAGAGCTGACAATGAATCAGGTTTTTAGGCTAGGTGACTTGGTTGATAGTGTCATCAGACTCTGACAGTAAAATTAAGGGACAATTACAACCTGGTGTAATAGCCCTTGGTATATTGTCTACTTTTGCTTCAGCGCTGGCCGATGCATCCCTACAACTTCATGTCTCAACAAGGGCCATACCCTCCCCATTTCCGTATGCCACCTCCACCCCCTAACCAGAGGCCGGCACCCCCATATGGCCCACACCCACCACAATTGAACCGACACTCTGGAGCAGAGGATGAGGATGAGATTTGGAGACAGAAGAGGAGACAACATGGAGAAGAAGTCAATGCAGCTGTAGAGAGAGCACGCCAGCGACGAGAAGAAGATGAGAGACGCATGGAGGCTGAGAGGAAAGCTGCTGCTGCTGAGAAATTAAAGCAGCTTGATGAGAGGACAGGCAAAAAGAAAGAGGATAAGGTGGGTCTCTATTTGACTTGATGTCCAAGACATTTACAATGAATAACATAAACTCTTTTCAACACCAGTCAAGCGGCACACCAAGTTCCCAGAGACTCTTGGCTGATAGATGAAGCCTACATATATCAGGGAAAAGATAAGCATGTATAACATCTTTGCTTCGACAATGCTTACACCATTTGAAAGGTCTGATCCTACTGTATGAAAAATATGAAAGTTATGTTTACCACGTTATTTAAGTAATGCATTTAAAACTTTTAAAATTTAGTTTTTAGTGAAAATGTAACACATTCAAAGATCCAGATTAAGCACCAAGGAAGAGCAATCAGTGTTTAAGATGTGGAACTTTGTGGACATCATGCTAGGTTGCGACCTGAGAGAAGTTTTCTCTTGCATATGTTTTGGCATTAAACATTGTTTCGGAGCCAAATCAAACAAGGTGTCAAAAGCTGAAATGTCATTTGACTTGCATTACATGATCACACCAAAAGATAGTAGTAACTTAGATCAAAAGATGTAAGTTTGATAAATTTTAGAAATATTTTTGATTTTATTGATTACTTTATATGATTTGTTTAATGATTTACGTGAAACGTCTTTCTATTGTATTGTTCTTCGACATCTACACTATGGACCCGTTGTCAAGGCATGTGTCCCATAGTTTTTTTAAATATTCTTTAGAGGAAAAAGTTAATAATACCAGACAGTAGTGTTGAAAGAGTTAAATGTACAAGAACATCATCAGTCAACTATTTATTCAGCGTTCTGGATTTATGGATTTAATCAATGATTTTTGAACAACTCATTGTTGTCATTGCTTGAAAGGCAAGTTATGATACTATCTACAGACAGTATTAATTAACAGTGATCCTTCTTTCCTTCTTAATTTTGAGAACAATTACTTAATTGAAAGGTTAACTTGTCTAAGAATCTTGTTTACATAAGACAGGTTAGCAGAATTTCATTATGGTGGAGAGTAAAATGGAAAAAGCTGTCTCCTACATCTTGTACATTTCAAAACAAATTGTATTCGGTTCCAGGAGAGCCGAGATGGAGCTGAATCTGACGGTGGTCGATCAAGTCGTACTCCAAGTGAGAGTAGTGAGAAAGATTCAAGGGATGGAAAAGACAGATCTCATCGGGACTTGTCAAAATACCCAGCAACAGTGAGTGATTATTTCACTATTTATTAGATTAAATTTTTACAATCTCTTACTTTGGCGACCCAATATTATGAGTTACAGTGATGCCAATCTATTTTAATTGAGCTTTCATTACAAAATGCAGCAGTATAAATCAGTGTGAAAAATTTACTTGCCTGATGAGTAAAAGGGACATCCCTAAAAGCGTACATTCTACCAGCCCTCAGGATAACTGTCACATTAGACTGACAGACTAGTCCCAATTTCTATCCCTGACAATGCATTTCTACTTGACAGTATTAAGATTTAGTATTGGGTCACCTTTGTGCTCAGAGATGCTACTATATTTTACTACTATTGCATGGATTTGGTTTAGTTATTTGTAGACTGGTAGTTTGGTGTCAGTATTTGAGTTTTAAACAAAATGTTTGTTTGTGTTTTGTCTTATGTAGTTCATTGTTCTAATGACTTAATACTTTCAAGTTATCCTTGAAAGATGCAAAATGGCTACTGAACGAGTGAATGTTAACATGAGAAATGCTCATTATTCAGACGCATTGAATAAAAGCCTTTTGAATTTTGTTCTGTAATTGATAAAAGAAAATCATTTGAACTAAATCTGTAATTGTCCTGGAAATCGAGCATTTTCTTTTGTGCATGAGAAGGTTATGTGTTATAGAAATAGTCAGTGTATTTAGCTCAGAGACTAAACTCACAGCAAGGGTGTATCTGAGGTGAAACTGTTGTCACATCTGCTTTTACTATTTTCATTGTATCATAGATGCATGTTTTTACATATGCATGAAAGAAGCTTGTTTGTCCTGTCTTTCAAATAATCAATGGGAGCTTGACCTTTTTATCTTATTTTGCAATATAATCTTTTCTATGCGCTCTGTCCAATCTTTCTTACTGTGTTGTCTGTCTGTAGTTAGACTTTCTAACTTTTCTGCCTGAAAGAAAATCCAAAATTCCTTCCATGTGGTACCTATATATACCTATCTTGAATAACTATCGGATTGCCCCTTGCTAGACCCAGTTCAGTGGTGAGTTAGTCTCTGATCTCAATTTCTGACAGAGTAACCAGACCTTCTCCAAAGCCTATGCTCGGAATGTGCCTCCACGATTTCAAAAACAACAGCAGGAGCAGATGATGCGGCAGCAGACGTCGCAGTCCCCCTCCTCCCAGACCCCCAATCAACAACAGCAGCAGCAGCAGCAGCAGCAGCCAGCACAGCAGGGGTCAGGGCAACACCCCCAGTTACCCCAGGGCTTCCGGCCAGGGCAAGGACCACCACCTCATTGGGTAGGAACTCCCTACGATCCCCGGGCATGGGGAGGCATGCCACCACCCCCATTCATGGATCCCAGATATGCTGGAAGGATGGAAATGGCTGGTGAGTTTTTCAGTGTGTTGAAATTGTGCAGGCTGAGGCTCTCCCTTTCCACAAGCGTGTACTGGTGATTGAATAGAAACATGGGAACAATTTGTAGCACCAGGTCATGTTCCTTGTGTGTATGACAGACATTTGGACTAAAACCGTAACTTTGAGGTGGCAGTGTTTGAAATTTAGGGAGGCCCTGGTGGTATAGTAGTAGTTGTGTTAATCCCTCTGTCTCAAGCTAGCAACATACATGATGATGACAAGGACCCTTTGTTTTAAAAACTGCATGGTTTGTGTAGTGCAATGACTTGTACACAATTTGATACGTATCATGATAGGATAGATGAGAAAAGTGAATATATTCTACTTTGATATGACAGGAATACAACTGCTCATTTATATTCAAATGTCACTCTTTGCTGTTAAATTTCATGTAATTCTAGGACAAAGCCAATGCACCCTCAGATTTAATCGTTTTGATATGAGGATTTACCAGTACAAATTTAAAGATTATCCTTAGACCTGATAAATAAGATTTATGAAGCAATAAGTATTGATCCAGAATGAAGCAGATAAGAACATATTGTTTCAGACCTGAGCATTGTTATCATGACTGGCCTTGATAGTTGTTGACTTCAGATTTATGTTACTTGTCAGTACCATTGGGAAAACTACTGGTCTATCTGGCTAATTTAAAATATAAGTGATTTCTTACACTGATTATGTATAACCTGAAACTCTATTTTGCAGGCATGCACATGTACCCACCCCCACCAATGCGTCGCCGCACAGACAGTCATGGCTCTGGCACAGACAGTCAAGACAACGAGACCCGACAGCCAGAGCAGTATGAACGTGATCCACGAGACCCACGTACATGGATGGAGAGAGGATATCCACCTCCCCCACCAGGTGTGTGAATACTGTTCCTCAGCGTGAATTTTTGATGCGATAGAAACTAACAGTTTTTGTCCACTAATCCTTATAATGATAACATATAGCAAAGCCCTGAAAATTGCAAGTTTCTACTAGTCCTTAGGATACCTTAACTATTGGACAGTTTGGTAAGGACCCTCACCTCAGTTGCCAGGAACCCCTTGGGTACCTGTGAGAATGTATCCCCCATTACTTTATTGAGGTGACCAAATTGGATTGGGTTGTCAGGCTCAGTGACATGGTTGATTGTGCGTTATCGTACTTTGAGGTATGCTCATATCAACCACACTGTTATTAACAGGTCAGCCATAATATAGCTAGAATATTGACTGTCATGAGACAACAAACACATCTGCCAAGATGGTTCAATTCCATTCTTCATCACATGATTCTGTTGATAAGTTTGAACATGTGATAAGAGAGTTGTTCTTTTGTTGTTTACCGTCTCACTCAGCAATATTCCAGCTATAGCATGGCGGTCTGTAAATAATGGAGTCTGGACCAGTCAATCCACCTATTGATCTCATGAGCATCGATCCATGCAATTAGGATACGATGACATGCATCAACCAAGTCAGCGAGTCTGACTACCTGATCCTCTTGCGACAAGCATGGGTTGCTGAAGACCTTACCGGATCTTCACTGGTCATAAGAGAGTTACAGTTTGAGATGATGTTTCTGTTTTTATAGAAATTAGAATTGTTTAATATATTACAGTGCATATTTAATTCAGTACATGTGGCACTAAAGTATTTTAGTTACAAAATCTCTTCTATTTCCCCCAGGTCCATATGATGAGATGAGAAGAGGTCCATACTTTGACCCAAGGATGTACCACGACTATGAAAGATACGACTATGATAGAAAGTGAGTTATTTTGTCTATAGTTACATGCACTTTTGTCTGATGGCAAATTTAATGATTGTAATGAATAGGTTGTAAACTTGCTTCTCTTATTCAATATGATTAATATTTTCAGCCACGTCAGCCTACAAATTTTAAAAAAATTCTTAAAAGATTCTTCCCAACTATCTGTATGAACCATGGAAAATTTATTAGGGTTTCAGCCTTTTGACCACCCTGTCTGGCGCTCGGCATTAAGGGGCAAAAACAAGGACTGGTCGGCTCAGTGTCAGTATACTGTGTCTGATTGGGGTATTCATGTTAAACTGCAGCATGGTATCTCAGTGGGCTAGCATGATCAAATCAGCATTATTCCAGATGAGTACACGCACGTGTGCATGCCCCTTGCTATGTAAGTGCAATAATCTTGAACGCGACAATTTAAACCTCATTTCAACCCACCTCACCTCAAATGTTTATCCTAACTTCTTCATCTTTCTAATATGCTTTGACTGTTGTTTCAGAGATTATGAGCACCAGGGGGAGCTGGGTGACAGAGATGATCACAGGGATAAGGAAATTGATCAGGATGGACCCCCACTTGCAGACAAAGCCCCTAAGGATCTTGAACATCGAAGCTCTGTGACAAGGAGCCCAGTTGTACAGAGAGATCCCTTTGATGAAGCAGTTGGCAAAGATGACAAATTGGAAAGTTGGGATGTTGATGAAAAGTGAGTAGTTTACTGAATGATACAGATTTGATTATTTAAAGGTGGTGTTGATATAACTTGAAAATTGGTGACTGCTCTGTAAAATAACATGACCAAGGTGAAAAGTTGTTTACACTAATTCACTTAATAAAGGAAAGGATTCTTTTCACTGAAGCATGGAACGTATGCAATATATTTTTAATCATAAATTTCAGATCTGAAGAAATTCCACCAGAGCCCCGAAGGCAGAAGCCTGACTTGGACAAGAGGGAGGACAAGGAGTCTGATTTCAGGAGAATGAAGGACTGGGGAAGTCATAATTTTCAAAGCTCACAATCAAGACACGACAGAGGCCCACCATCTCAACCACAAAGAGCATGGGGAGGAGTCGATGAAGGCAAATCACGTAAGAAATATTACTTTGGATTGCTTTGGTAGTTACATGTGAATGTGACCTGGCCAATTATCAATCACCATATCCAATGAAGGCTGGTAGAATTTTATGGTTTAAGTGCGGTCCTTATTTTTTCATTATTTGAGCAAGTAGTTAAAATAGTGTCCCGGGATAAGATTATTTAGAGGCTGTCGTGATATGGCTAGGATATCGGCGCAAACCAAAATAACAATAGCTTAGTGATTAGATTGCTTTGTGAAAAGCCCTGCTAAAAACTTTTGCAAACTTTGATTATTCATTAAAGGAGAAACAAGACTAAAAGAAAAAAAATCGCTCTTTGTTTGTACTGATTACACGCTCGTGTCTTGTCAGGGAGAGACCATCACCCAAGTTGTCCACCACCAATACCTCCACAACAGGCACAGTCTGCACCACCACCACGCAGCAACTTCATGTCACTCAAGCGAAGTGCATCCAACAACTCAACCAGCTCGGCTGCATCATCAGAAAGGAAAAGTGATTCACCAAAGGAGCCAGTTCTCCATGAAAAACCAACCAGCTTGAGGAAAGAACCAAGCAGGGTAGGACCAACAGTCTGTTTTTCAGTTTCAAATGTGATCAAGAATATTATTTGAGAAAATGTTACGGAAGAAACTGCACACAAATTGAAAATGCAGTCTACTTACAAGTGGGGTAGGACTTCCTTGATGAGAATTGCCCCCCATATTCTGTTAAAATTGAAGGCAAATCATTATTTTTTAAGACTATTAAGTGATTTTCTCATGAGCTGGTGATCAATGTTAGTATAATTTTACTAATATTTGTTTTTGTTGTAGGAGTCGATCAAGAAAGAATCCCAGAGAGAGGTAGTGGCAGTCCCAGATTCTTCCAGAGCCGAAACAGTCTGGAGCAGAAGACAAAGTGAAAAGTATGTGAGAATACGTTAAACAAGATATGGACTAAAGCTATGCACAATAAACTGAATAGTCTGGTCTTCACTTTGAGAGAATAACAGTACAAAATATTTTTTCTTTGTTTTCACACAGAAATGCTGCTAAGGAGAAACAACAGGAATCTGCCCCTGAGCCACAATTTGAACGTCGTGAGGACAAGAAGGAAAAACCCCAGATTGAGAAGGATGGATTTGACGACAGACGGGATCGAGGGCCTGGCAAGGACAGACCGCCTGCAAAAAAGAAGAAAGAGGAGCCATACATGGACAGGTTTGAGCGAGACCGTGACCGAGATCGTGGTGATAGGGACAGAACCCGAAGTGTTCCTGGTCGTGGTAGAGAGTTTGTGCGTGGTCGAGGACGTGGCAGGGGGCGAGGTGCACGAGGTGGACTTGGTTCTAGCCGAGGGCGTGGAAGAGGAGACTTTCACAGTATGGATAGACCATTCAGAGGTCAAAGATCAGACAGGGGTCAGTCCTTCGGTCACTGGAAAGACAGGCCTGAAGATGATCAAGCTGAGGGGGAGGATGTAGACACTTCGAAAAGGCGACGTGGACGTGATGAGGAAAGTGATGTGTCTGTGGATGAAACAAGTGGTACCTACAGTGAAAGCTCGAGTGAGAGGACGTCGGAAGCCAGGGAAGTTTCTCAGGGAAAGGATAAGGAGAACAAGGATGTGAAGTTGACGAAAGAAACAAAGGAGGAGATCAACAACACTCAGAAATCTGCAAGTCAGCAGAAGGACAAAGGTGCACCTCATCCTCGGGAAGAGCGGGGTAGGCCACGTAATAATCCCTGGATGCGAGATAGACGGTACGAAAATAATGACCGATTTCAGCCAAAGCCCTATGGGGAACGTGCTGATCTTGATGACGATAGTAAGGAAAGGGGAGGTGGCTATCGACAGTCCAGTGCAACTGCCAGTGCCAATGCTGGGGGCTTCACACCGAGAGGGGAACCCTCAAGACGAGGGAGAGGTGAGTTCATTTGCAACAGGTTTTGTCATTTAACACTTTACTTGCTTTAGGGCGTTCTAAAGTTAAAGGGAATGCTTAATTGAAGTTTAGTTATGATTGTCAAGGATTGCACACCTGTTTTGTATTGCACACTGCAAATTAGGATTTTTCAGTTATCAAAAAGAAAATATGAGACAGGGTGTTTGGTAGTGAGGCAGACATTGATGAAAATCAATTGCCTTACCATTTTCCATAATCGTTTAATCCCTGATTTAATCACCTTGTTAAAACTCAAACACTCCCAATGCATGTACCTGTTTTGTATTAATTGTGATGTGTTGCATCCAGGTGGAAATGCAGGTCAAGGTCCGCCGAGGGGTGGTCGAGGCAGAGGAGGGAGGTACTTCTCGGCCCCACCTCAGAGGGGTGGGTACAGTCGCCCACCCATGACCAATGGAGATAGAAGAGATTATGGTGACATGGGACCTCAAAACAGGTTAGTGAACAGGTTGTTGACTCTTCAGTGGATGGCTATGATGAATGAATACTTTATGATATTTGAAATGATATTCTGAGTTGTTTGGAGGATTGTATTGATCAAGAAAAGATTATTTTTAACCATAATAGGACTGACAGTAAATTTCTTGAAACTCAAGAAACACCTTCAAGATCACAGATTATATAATTTGAAATGATATTAGAATTATTTGGCAAGCAACATTAAATTTGAATTTGACTATCTGAGGCTGCTTAAATTTTGCTATTTAGAAACATATTAATAATGAAGTTTTAAGGTCTTCTGTGAGTTTATTTTAATGCTGTATTTTACTTTCCAGACGGGATAGGAGACAAGAAAGAAACCCCCCTCCTCCGAGATTTGCCCGTAGAGGTGGTATGAGTGCTGAACGAGGACGGGGTTTTGAACGTGGTGGTAGAGGTGGTCGATCAAAAGGGAGAGGAGGAAGTGCTCCCCCTACAACCAATTCTAAGAAACCCCCATTGACAAAGCAAGCGTCAAATGAAGGGGAAGAGTGGGAAACTGCTTCTGAAAGTAGTGATGTCCTTGAAAAAAAGGATCCAAAAAACGAGATAAGAGACGCTAATAAAGATAAGCGCGATCAACCCTCGAAAAAAAGTTTTTCCAGCCAGCGGCCTCTTAATGACCGCCAAAATAGACGTGTAAATAATAGTGTGGATTCTAGGAAGTCCAATAGCATGGAGAGGAGGAATTCAAATAAGGAAAAGTCCCCAAACTCGACAAAAAACGGGGCAGGTCCGGCGAACTCAGTACCAAAAGCCAAGGCAACTGTTAATGTGAACCATAAGGAGAATGTGAAGACGGTGTACCGTGTGGATGGAATTGTGCCCAATGATCCCACGGCCATCAACAACGCCATTAACAGTATGAACAACAGGTGAGATAGAAAATCTAAATTGAATCCTTTATGCAGGTGCTGGCAGCAGAAATAGTTGAAAAACATAATTTGCTGTTTTTGTACATATTCAATGAGGGTTGTCCTTGAGATTTGCCCGTACGAATCATAGCTTTTTAATCCAGGGACCCCCTGAATCTCGAAGATTCAAGAGACTTAATTACTGTTTACTCTGCTTTTAGTGACTGGTGGTCACAATGTGGCACCTGGTTGATTGTGTGCCATAATATTATGTTGCTGTAACCTGATGACTGGGATAGTTTGTTTTATATGTTGGCAACCCCTGGTATTACTCTGTAATTAATGAAAAACTTGGAAGTAGATCTTGTCAGCCAGATGATGCACTAACTGATTGAGCTATGTGCAGTGATAACTCCTATCTATCACCCATAATACTGATGGCTTGTCTTCTTAACATAATACTGTTTTGTAATTTTTTTTGGTAAATGATGTCCAAGTACTCAATGGTTCAGGACATGAATATACTTGGAATATTGCTGACTACCTGGAAAAAAAACACCTTTGAGGCTTCAATAACTGTTTTCATATTGGTTTATCAATAAATTGTGCTTGACAAAATATTCTACCATGTATTAATTAGTGTCCAACCCAGGCCGCGCGACTGCTAAAAAATATCAAATCGCCCCTCATAAAAAAGCAAAGCGCGATCTGTCGCGCACAGTAATTTCTTGTACAGTCACTTACTTTATCAGCTGTTTATCCCTACGTTTAGATTCAATACTCACTAAATCTTTAATCAATTAACAAAGAAAGACAGTTCACAGCAAACATTGTAAACAACTGTCGAAGACCGATCGATAACAACTGGGAGTTCGAACACGAGTGACGTCCCTTGGGTTGCTTAATAAATTATCGATAGGATTGGCATAGGAAACGAAATTTGATTTACTTTAGTAGAAAACGTATCAAAACTTTGATCAAAATTATGTTGTATTTTGTTGTTTAGTAATCAAAAACCTTTGACAAGATGTTTAAGAAAATAAATATTCTATCTTGAATAGTTCTGAAAATATTTTTGAGCATTTTAGTTCGTTTTAGTTTCGTTTCTGAAATCACACAATATGAATCGCCGACTGTCATAGCAGACAATCTTTTGAATAGTGAATGACCATGTCGCGCAAAAACAAAAGAATTACAGACTTTTTTAATCAAAATAGAAAAAAGCACAAAGCATTATTCATTTCAGTTCTTTATTCTGATCTGTTACACTTTTATATGATGATGTTCCAGTACATAATACAAAATAAAACATTTTTGAAGAAAGCAATTATCCCCCCCTTCTTTTTCAAAATCCCCCCTACTTTCTACATGATGGGGGCACAAGTCCCCCCTTGATTTTCAATTCTTGGTTGGACACTGTATTAATGTATCACTAACCTTAGCATACTTATCTTGGATGGGCACCCTGCCTAAAAAGTGGCATCTGTTTGTCAATGGTTAAGGTAACCACATTGAGAAATTATGAAACTCATTTTTAAAATTCATGAAAAATATGCCAGTTAAATTTGAAAAAAAAAATTGTCTGTGGGGATAAAATGTAAGCAAGAGATACAGGAACATTATAGACTAGGACTGAAAGTTCTGACTTTCCTTTAAGAAATAACACATTGTAATTTTAGTTGTTTTTTTGTTTTGTTTCAGAAATAAGAACATGGGGAGGAAGTCGGACCTGTCAGACGTATCAAAACCTTTGAAAAATGAGAAGGAGAAGAAAGACGCCTTGGCTAATATTGACATAAACAACTATGCAAGTAAGTAACATTTCATTAACCATTGCAGTTGAATTGATATTGATCTACTTGTTAAATGGCCCCTGAAGGGATTCTAGGGAATATTGCACCAGAGCATACGATGCTTGCTAGATTTGAGCATTGAGGGATGGTGTCTTGTGACACGGAATATTGTTTTCTGTGGTGTTAAGCAGCATTCATTCACACACTTAAACATTAGGATTAAAGTTCTAAAATACTATAAACAAGTTCTTAATTGAGTTCTCTATTGAGTTCTTAATTCCTCAGAATGTTTACATAGCTTATCTGAACTGTTTCCCAATCTGGGGTGGTCGGGTAGCCTATTGGTCCAAGTGGTCGCTCGCAGCGCTGAAGACCTGGGTTCGCTTCCCGATATGGTAACAATGTGTGAAGCTAATTTCTCATGTCCCCCTGCCGTGATATAGCTGGAATATTGCTAAAAGTGGCATAAAACCATACTCACCATTTCCCAGTCTAATCCTTACACTTTACGGATAATGAGGAAATAACTAGCAAGTAAGGAGTGACCACAAATCAACCCTCAAAACTGGGGTATGATATGAAAAATGACAAATAGATACCTCTAATTTTGACACCAGCAGCATGCAGTGATGAACATTTGTAATCTGTCAATCCAATGAAAACTGTGATTTGATTTCTTTTTCACCTGAGCATGCTTGTTGGTTAATGCAACTAGTTGGAATATGATAGATTGTTTTAAGATTGTATGTTAATATGGAATCAGTAATTAGGAAGGAATGCCTGTAGTGCATAGAAATGAACCTAGAATGGATGCTTATTGCTTATATTTATCCAATTCTTGAAATGTTTTGGCTAGAAAAGAATTCTGCAAAGATAGGTATGAACTTATTCTGCTAAACTTATGAAAGCCTTCAAAGTTTAAGAGATGTTTTGTTAATTTGCAATAGGTGTTTACTATACTGTTTACTATAAAGAATTTTCTTCACATGAATTACTCAAACATTTAACATGAAAGCATTTTTTTTATCAAACTTATTGTGCCATTTGTATGAACCTACCATATTTTAAGGCAATTATGTTATTGATATTATGTACTTGTTCTTTTTCATTATTGACAATTTACAATTTACTGGGTGCGATTTCCACATATTTGGCTTGCAATGATGATTCTTATATCTGTCAATCCAATGACAATTTATATTGGCTGATTATACTTTAAAGCAACTGAGCAAGCTAAGGAAACATGTTGATCTCTGATACCATTCTCAAGAGTAGATGCCATGTGGAATCTAGTTTATTTACCAATTGTTTGCTTGTTGTAGGTGTGGTGGTTATTGATGATCAGCCAGAAGTGACGATCGATGACCCCAACTTTCTGTTTGAGAACAATGAAGGCTTTCAGGAGGTCACATCAAAAAAGGCCATCAAAATAAAACAAAAGATGCAGGAAGCAGAGATGAAGAAAATGTCAGAGACTCATAAGAAACGGGACCCAGCATCAAAGGTACGAGATATCAGTCAAATAGTCAGAGAGTTTTGTATCTTCCCTTGAAGGGATTCCTTTCACTGTTTGGCTGCCTGTCTAAATAAGTGTACAGGCAGCAGTGTTTGGACAAACACTAAACTAAGCATTCACTGGTCCTGGGTATTTAATGAAATCAAATTGCGGTAAAATTACTCGTGCCAAGTTTTCCATAGAGCAGTTTGTTATTTCTATCGCCCAAAAGAAGTTTTTGAGATGCAAATATGGCTCCATGTATATTTTGATTCATATTTAAGGATGCCATGCATTAGGTGGATATGGTACAGGTATGTACCACATTTTATGGCTGCTGTTTCCTGTTGTCTAACAACACTTTGACAGGGGATCAGTTCAGGGATTCAACAGCAGAATAGTTCCCCAGTGCCTGCCCTTGATTGTAAGATCAACTATAATTAGGATTAGGTGTTTGCAATATTGGACCTTGTTGACTCCCATTGACCCTGATGGCTGGTATTGATGCTTGTGCTATCAACCACTGGTTGCCTGGCCCAGACTCAATTATCTACAGGCCATTATGATGTAGCTTGAATATTGCTGTGTAGAACAACTGTCCCCTCAGAGATGTGGCCTCACCCAGACCAAATGGCCTTTCCAAACTCAGTCACAGTCGTAAAAACTAACATGCCCACTAGTCCTTATAATTATAACATATAGCAATCCCCTTAAAAATGACAAATTTCTACTCGTCCTTATGATCCCTCAACTATTGGGCAGTTTGGCAAGGACTACAGGACTAGTGCCAATTTCTAACACTGCAGTCATTGCATGGATTACCATTGTGATATGATTGTCACATTGATGATCATTGCAAACAGTCCTTCATACCGCAAACAGGGTGATAACTGCTGATGAACGAGGAACCACTTGCACTCCGATATTTCAGCTGTCACAGGTGAAGGACAGGTGTTTCTTGTGTTGAAATATGTCAGGTTGATATTTGTATCACACCAACAGCATGCGATGATGAATGTTTGTAATCTGTCAATCCAATGAAAACTGTGATTTGAGTTCAATAGCATCTGAGCATGCTTGTTGGTTGTTGAAATTCATGTGTGTTAAGTGAGGATTGGCTGACTTATTTTATCTGGATGGCATCGATTGTTACTCCATGATTTCAACTACCAGTTTGCCTGGCTAAGACTTGATTATTTACAGACAACTGGGATATCCTCAGCAAGTATTACTTGTGTTGTGAAATGCCCCACAACACAGAATGGTGTTATAAAGTCCATTTCAATGTTGAATGATGTATTTTTACAGGTAATTGCGAAACCGAAAGGTCTTACACCAAAGATAGAGCGTGCCCGATTCTGCAAAATGAGTCGTTTGCCACCACGTTTCGCCAAACAAAAAGAGCAGAGGGAAAAGGAGAAAGAGGCCAACCTGGATGTTATGCCCAAGATTGAACAGTGGAACAATGACCTCGCTAACAACATCCCAGCTCCAGCCCACCTCACGAATGGAGACGTCAATAGTAAGTGTACACAATACAAACTTTCAATACTGTAAGATGGGGCTTCGTGTTTATGTAGTTTTGCATGGTCATGGGATTTAGATGACGTGATACAGCACTTGTATTGCATGATTTTGATTTGTCAAAATTAAATATTTTGTGGTATATGCTATTCACAGTACAATCTGAGTTTAGACAGTAGTATGAAGCCTTGTGACTAAATCTTTATTTGGTCTAGTAAGCTCAGCTAATAGTCAATAAAATAGTCTAGCGCACCAAACATCCGAAAGGTTGACTACAGTATTTAGCAAATAGTTGACATGGCATGAATGTTGTGTAACTTCTAGTCTTAAATTACAAATGCAATACTAGAAGATTTCAATACCTCCAAATTATGGACCTCTCAAACAAGATACATTGTACTGTGAGTCTGTTCCAAAAACATTCTCTCGTCTACTTGCTCGTATTTGTCTCTGCATCATTTTGAGATGATTTTCATGTTCGTATATTGGGAACCTAATTTGAAGCCTGATTCCCAACAGCTTTTGAAGACATCTTGAACAGCTTGAATATTGTTTTCATATATTTGTTTTAATGTTATTAAAGAAAACCACATTATTTTCATCTGTACGCAAGAGTTTTATTTACTGGTGTATTTCAAAGTAATTTCTTAACTTTTAGACTCTGCTACCAAGTCAAACCAGCAACAACAGCAACAACAACAGCAGCAGCAGCAACAACAACAACAACAGCAACAACAACAGCAACAGCAACAACAGCAGCCATCCCAACAGATGACTGTTGCCATGTCTTCCCAGAAGCTGAGTATGCAGTCCCAGGTGCCACCATTGTCGATGACGCCAGCCCCTATCCCTACTGTGAGTGCGTGGACTAAGCCCATCAACTTCTCCATGACTCTGGGGCCATCGCAGTCCCCCGTAGCGGTGGATAACAAGATGGACAAGGGCGACCAGCACGACAGCGGGATAGATGTAAGTGACCAGCCTAATTCTACCGCCTCATCTACCCGGAGCTCCCCAAGCGCAGAAAACAAGCATAAGGATGAGTCTAAGGTATAGAAGCAATATTGAAAGAGAACGAGCTCGGCTTGCCTCACAGTTGTCGTCCAGCCTCCTCGTGTTTGGTTGTAGTTTCTTGTGGTTCAGTTTGAGTTTTTACTTGTACCCTGCATGCTACAGAAATGTTCTCATCACCAAAAGATTCCAGTTTTCTTTGGATACCAGGTTCGGAGAAAGTGAAGACCCTGTATTATGTGTTTAGACTGTAAGCATGGTTGTAGTAGGACTGATATAGTTTCTGTTAGACTAATTCTAGACTGCTTTCCCATACCTTAATGAATAACTTGTTGATAAGTTAGCATGAACTGGGCTTTCTTTTGGCCAATTCTAGATGATTTTGCTATTGTCTAAATATGTTTTGTCTGTTTCATTGCTTCTTTTTACATCAGTGTCACACTTGGTTGATTTTGATGTTATTTTCTTTTTACATCTTAACTATATTTAGAATTCCCCAGTTTAAGTTCAGAATGTAGGACTATGATTTGCAAATCTTCAATTATTTGCTTCTTGAGAGAAGACACAATGTGAATGTTGCTATACATCTCAATTTATTTCAGGATAAAATGCTGGAAGAGAGAATAAACAAAGAGCTGGAAGACACACCAAACTTTGATGCACCAAAACCACAGCCACAGAGGCAACCTAAGGTACTTTTAACTTGTCACTAATGTTACTTGGGTAATGATCAGTTCTCGATTTTCACATGGTTGTATTAGTTTCTCTTGATGCATGTAGGTGTGATTTCAGCCATGTGCTTGTCTGTCCACCTTTGTGGCGTAAACAGCACTAGTGGCACAGTTTTCAAATCGCAATTGCCTGTGGGAGGTTATCGACCTGTGAAGATCTGGAGTAAAATAGGTCTTCAGCAACCTATGCTTGTCGCAAGAGGTGACTAATGGGATCGGGTGGTCAGGCTCATCGACATGGTTGTTGCATGTCATCGTATCCCAATTATGTCGATCAATGCTCATGTCAATCCTTGGATTGTCTGGTCCAGACTTGATAATCTTTCAGACCGTCGTCATATAGCTGGAATATTGCTGAGAGCGGCGTTAAACAACTAACAAACAGTATAGGCTATCAGCTTAGTTAATTAACATATTGACAGATTGTCAACTAAAATGGCCTGAAGATCTTTTTCAAAAGTTTATACAATTAATAAAGTGTCCTAATGCAATTTGTCTCCCGCAAAACACTTGCAGCTTCATGCCCAGCTCATGAATTTTAAGAAAGTGGTAGTTGTCTTCAACCAGTGAACAATATTTCTGTGATATATTGACAGGAGTGGGTAACCTTGCCTAGATGAACACTACCAAGCTAACTGTCGTTCATTTTCAGATGAGCGTCAGCATGTCACGTGAACTTCTTAAGGGGAATTCCTCTATCTAAAAATATCGTCAAATAGGGTCGGTATCATCATGCGATTCAGGCTAGAAATGATGCAGGCTTTGAAGCCAGACAGATCTTTATATGTCAGTCACGAAAATGAAGTGTTCATTTGACGTTACAACCGAGAATGCTTTACTTACCAAAAGAAATCACTAAGCTCCACACTGTCGTGTAGGCATCGGGACTTAAAGCCAGGCCGCCTCAAGTGGTCATCCCTGTCATCAGCAACTCATCTAGCCTTAGTATGACTCAAATGCACATCCAAAGTTTGATGTTTAAGGCTTGTTTCGTTATGATTTATGTATCTGTCAAAAAAGGATTGAAGTTGTATTTGTTGATGTTTATCAGCCAATGAAGACAGTGCCTCACATGAGCAAATTTGATGATGCGCATTGCGCTTCATGGTAAGTTTTCTCATGTGAGGCACTGTCTTGGTCAATCTTTAAGTAATAGTTATTTAGTTGTGTTCATCCATTGGAGTGTAGGGCTGGTGGGGTAGCCTTGTGGTTGAAGTGTTGCCTCACCATGACGAAGGCCCATGTGTGCGCAGTGTGTGAAGCCCAAATATCGTGTCCTATCCATGATATATTTGGAATAATACGCAAAGTGGCATAAAAACCTACTCTCATTAATTGCTGTGTGAGTCACTTCATGTTGGGTAGACTATAAGATTTGTGTTTCTTTCAGCCAAGCCGCAGTGAAAAAATGAGTGTGAAGGAGGCCCTGAACAAGGAGAGCAACAAGGCTGTGAAGAAACCCGACTTGGTCAAAGATAAGAAGCCCGACCCCATTCAGATGCCGCCTAGTATCAAAGACCGCTTCTTCAAGGCAAGTTTGTGTTCAAGCTGAACCATAATTGGTTGGATGTCTCATGGTTCTGGCACTAGCTCTTATAGATGTTTCATTATCCTCATCAGGCAGACAAACACTGGGGATTGCTGTAATATTTATTGCCGTTAGTGTTTCTCTGAATTAAATAATGATTGAACATAATAGTGCTTTTGAATGTAGCTTGTACTTACATGTATCCTTTGAATTATTTTAAAACACTTACATTTCTGTAATTTTGAGTCTTTTTGTGACCTATTCCAACAATTAAGATATTTTACTAACTATTCATACTATTGATTACAATACTGCATTGTAGATTATCTCATTAAAATCTAAGTTCTCGCTGCCGCTTAACAAAGATCTGAGGACATCCAATTATGGGTCATGTCAGAACGACCTTTCGCGAACTTTGACCGACAACTGATATGACTAACAAGAAGTCGACATCAGCCAATTAGAAAGCAGCTTTCTCGAGCTTTACGGCACTCGTTTCAACCTGGCGACTTCCATTTCAAACTACGCTTGAAAAATATGTTGACACAGTTCTTGATTAAAATTTTGAAAACTGAACAAACAAACATTCTGGAATGTGTAATATATGGTTGAGATTGTATGGCAGTGCTTCTCACGTACTGTGCAACACCTCCTCCGTTCAAATGTTTATCCCTCGGAATTGAGAGATAGACGATAATTTTGACGGAATCAGTCGTACAGGCCGTAACTGTCGTTCTGAATACACCGTGTTAATGTTTTCAAGGTTTTCTGGTAAGCGACACTTTGATTGGTCGGATGAAAGGTCGTTCTGACATGACCCGTAATGGGATGTCCTCAGATCTTTGTTTAGCGATGGTGAGAACTAAGATCTGATTTTAATGAGATTGTGTAGATTATATGCTGTATATGTGCTAAATACTTGTAATTTTTAGAAAATGTGCAGACAGCTTCACTGGTCTCCCTCAGGTAGAGGTAATTGATTAGTGAAAAGAGTGTTTTGTGAACAGTTCATGTTTTCAACTTACAGAGTGATGATACTGAGCTGAAACTGGAGTTTGAGTTTGATGAAGCTCTGACGAGCTACCAGGCTGAACCTCAACAACCAGAGAAAACTGAGATTGCAGAACCCCCGAAGTCTGTGACAATATCCAATGATGTTACTTCAGCAAATGGACTTGGTATCAACTCCCCCACTGCCCATGCTACCCAGGACCTTAACCTAAAGATAGCTTCAGTGAAGAGTGTGTGGGAAATGGCACCTGGTCCCTTTGACCAGCAACCGTAAGTTGACAGCTTGTAAAATATTCATTGATGCCCTAGCCAATTTATGGTCATTTTAATTTGAAATGTTCTTCCACAGTTTTATGAATGCGAAATAGGAGGCATTTTTAGAAAATTCTTAACCTGTTCAAGGCATCTGTGAACATGAAATGGTGATTCCTGTGAAGGCTAACGGTTGATTTTACTGATATTGTTTGTTCCATCAAGTAAAGAAACCAGGGAACACACACAAATGTCTTTGGCTGAAGACCCGGGTGTGATTCCCCACATGGGTACAATGTGTGAACCCCATTTCTGGTGTCTCCCGTGGATATTACTGGAATATTGATAAAAGCTGCGTAAAACCATACTCACTCGTCTGCAGGTGAATGGGGACAACAGCGTGATGTGAGGTTGTGATTGGTAATAATCACTTAATTACTGGCTAACTTTCTGTTCATGACTCGTAGTAGTCTTTGTTTCAGTATGTAACTGGTAATATTTGATATCTATATGGAATGCAGTAGCATCATGGAACGAAGCCCCTTTCTGGAATCCAGGGCAGAATCGGCTTCATCACCCATGCTTGTTGTACGACTTCCTGATGATCTGCTGGTCATGTGTATCATTGTACCCTGACAGCATGGATCGTTGCTAATGCAATCAACCATTGCTTTCTCTTACCCACACTTGAATATTTTGTGGCGGGCGTGATGTAGCTGATTAAAACATTTACTCATGAAACAATGGATGACATGAGGGAATTGATTGATTAAAATAGTATGTATTTTTAATATCCTTCATTCATTTGTTTTGTACCTTGAAAATTTATTTTCCTATGTAGCCTTGCTCTTCCTTGAGAGGTATTTGTATGATAATTGATGTTTCCAGAATCTCAAGTGGATGTTCTCTGGCTAATGCTCTGTCAACAAACAGTGACAGCGTGGCTAGCGCCAACACGTTCCCTACGTTCACGTCCGAGGTGGAGACCATTGTGTCAGCAACATCAGTTGTCCTGGAAACAGTTGTCAATCGTAATGAGAACACCAGCAGTCTGTCTCCTGGTCCCAGCACGCTGTCGCCTCGACCACAGGACATACAGGTGTTCGTACCAGAGGTGCCTGACCTCAAACATCATGAAAAGATGCCCATGGCTGAGCCCTCTAATGTCTGCAAAGTAAGTATGCCATACTTTAACTCATCCTAACTAACCCATGCTTGTCGTAAGAGGCAACTAACTCGATCAGGTGATCAGACTCGCTGACTTGGTTGAGGCATATCATCGTGTCCCATTTGCGTAGATCGATGCACGTCAATCACTGGATTGTGTGTTTAGACCTGACTCGATTATTTACAGATTGCCGTCATGTAGCTGGAATATTGCGGAGTTCAGCTTCTTTTACGAGGCACTTAAATACTTGAAGTGCATTGTTAAACTGAAATAACTCACTTTTGATAGCATTAGATATTTTTAAGCTTGAATGAATATTAAGAGTGTAGATATATGAATTGTGTGTTCTGTTTGCTCATCTGAACCAAAGCTTCATGTGAGCCTATGTAGAGGCTCATTGTTCTTGTAGAAAGGTTTTGACATCTGTGAAACCACAAAGCCTATGATGCTGACACTTTCCAAGTATGATTCCAGCATTTTTTCTGAAAACTGCTCAATTCCTATCCTTTTCTAAACATGACATTCGTGTTTCAAATTATTTGTTTTATTGTATTGCAAACATTCAGATGAAATAACTTGAATTTTGTTCATCCATGCTAACTGTAATTGATGTCACATTCATTGTCTTCCATTGCTTGTCATGCTAGCTGTTCGTCCATTCAATTAACTAGTCTGTAGGCACAACCTGGTCTGCCCATCTTGCAGGTAAAGCCTCAACAGTTTCAGCCTCACAGTGCCGGTGGCGGTGGAAACTCGATGGGCCAGCCCACGTCCAATGTGCTCCAGAACATGTCCGCTGTACCCAGTCCCCCCGTCGTCCTGCCTAGTCAGCATCCTTTCCAGCCCATACAGCTGGGGTCACAACTGCTGACACAGGAGCCCTCTCGGGTAAGTCATTTTGCTTGTGATAATGGTGCAAGGATGATTATCAGTTTGATTCACCACGGAATCAGAAATCTTATAAACAATGTGCAGCACATTACCATCACTAGCTGAAAGAAAAATGTGCAGATGCATCTAAAGTGCTGTTAACGTCATCACCCATAAAATTGATGGCTAAGTTCTTAGATTTTTATTATATCCCCAAACTAAAATGGTGGGGTATGTATATAGTTCTGTCCGTCTGTCTTCCCTTACAAGGACATTTTTGTGTGCGACCTATAACTTGAAAACTACTGCATAGATCTTTTCAAACTTGGTTAACACTTTCTATACCAATAGAAGAGGTGCAGTGCGAAGTTTGATTTTGATATTTGGAATTTCTGAGGAAATATGAATTTTTACGTTTTGAACTTTGAATGGTTTTTTATGGCTTCAACATTTGTGCAACCTATAACTTGATAACTACTTCCTTGATCATATTCTAATAGGAAAGGTTCAGTGCAAAGTTTGATTTCGATAAGAGAAATTTGTGAGAAAATATTGCATTTTTCATGTTTTGAACATAGAAATATGTTGGTGTCGGAAGTCAGGGGTATAAGTGAGCCCTGCTCACTTTTGGCCTTGTTTCTTTTCTGTTTTTGACATGTACAAACTGTAAAATTGCAGAATACTGCCAGGGTTCGAAATTAAGTTTGAAAGTCAAGGGATCCTTGTCAATAAAGGGCAGCAAACCTCAAGGACTCCGGAACCTCTTTTAATTAAAACACTACCTTTGTTGTAAATATTTGTCTTTGAAATAATGCTGTTTTCTTACTCTACATTTTCCAGTTCTCACAGCCCAACTACGGGTTCAGTTTGTCACAACCTCAGGCGCAGATCGGACAGGCTACTCTGACACAGCCTAGTCTCTTCCTGCCCACTACTCCTACACAGCCGGACCTGTTCCCGTCACAGCTCTCTGCATTTGCTCGTAACCAGCCGTATGGACAGACGGCACAACAGAACACCATCATGGTGTCCTCAGCTACCTCCTCTCTCATGTCCACAACAATCAAACCACCAACACAGAATGCATACAGTAGGTTGAGCCTTCTCATATACTTGGGTGTTAAAGATATAATGTAGCTCATGATATCACTCCCTCGTTTGTATGGACTGTTGTTTACAGGCTGCTGGCATGTGTTTGTAACATAGCTCAGTGTGATGTTATGTTGACATACACACTTATAGAGGGCACCCATGGGATTCTGTAGCATAATAGATCCACATTACTCCAGCAAATAAAGTAATCCTCGAACGGTTACGTTGCTTCAGGCTTCTATTTAGAGATCACCAGTCCTCGGCTGGAACATTGCTGACTGCGGTGTAAAATTTTAGTGGAGAAGTGGTCTACATCTACATAATGATGCACAGACGATTTCAGGTTTTGAGTTGACTCAAAGTGTAGTGGGGCAAGGATGGCCCAGACGTCTAAGGCGCCGCGATTCGCTGAGCAGAGTTGCGTCCGTTTGGCATGCCAGAAACCTATGATTGTGGGTTCGAATCCTGGTTTGCCCCATTTGTTTCTAGGTTTGTCAGCACCATACCCGTGCTTGTGGGTTTCACCGAAGTGGTAAACGTCTGATATCTGCATCACTTTGCGCTTTCCTCCCACATTAAGCTGACACGCCGTGATATAACTGGAATACTGTTTAAAGCGGCGTAAACCAAACTCACTCAAAGTGTAGGTTTATTTTTAGCTTGGTGCTCGTAATCTCGATTCAGAAAATATTAAGTTTGATGCAAACATTGCAGTGGATTCTTGATCATGATCTTTATTGTACAGCTCTGTTTACTATTTGTGAAGAACGTTTGTGTTTATTGAATGGTAGTAGCCATCTTCACATACATTTTCAATCTTTCAGGTCAGCTCCAGAAGAGTATGCCAAGCATGGGCCCCAGTTCGCTGCAGTTCAGTCAGAATCTTAACAACAATTCCCTGCAGCCATCACAGATGTTCATTCAATATGACCCTAGTCAGCTGTTTGGTACAAGTCCCTTACTAGGGAGTACACAGAATCCTCAGAACAACTCGCAGATTCTCAGCTCACAGCTAATGCAGCCTAGGTAACCATAAATTCTGTTCATACTTCTAATTGCAGGTGGATTAACATTGTGTATCTAGCAAGTGTTGAATTCAACTGAAAAGGCCTGGTGTATATGCTTTCATGATAGTTGTGAAAAGAAATTTTGAAACTTTTCCCATCTCACACTATGCATTTCTTCTTTATTCTTGATCCAATGTGGAAACATGCTTGTTGTCAAATTCATGGAAAATGTGACCTGTTTTGGATCAGAATATCTATTTGTAACAATGATACCATTTCCCATACCAATGTTGTCGTCCACTGTTTTCCTTGGTCTAAACAGTGATTTGAATATATGAATATATTATGGCTTCTGAATCCTGCCTGTGAGGTCATGCTTCTCTCCATTAGCTCCCTTGGTGTAATACATCCCATGTTGAAGGGGACTAAGATTAAACCATATTGTTTGTGTTCAGGAATGCAGTACAGAATGTGCAACCTGTACAGCCGACGTCATCCTTCTTCCAACAGACGCAACCCTCACTACAGCAGAACTTCTTTGCTCAGCAGCCGACTTCGGCACTACAGGTAGAAATAGTAGCTTATATAATTTAATGAAAGTGATGATGATGCTTCTACACACTTCTCCCGTGAAATATTTTGACATTTGTATGCAGTCCTTATAGACTCAGCATCTTGGAGGGCAGTGGGTAGCCTAATGGTGAAGCGTTGGCCTGTACTTGATTTCCACACTTGGTACATGTGTGAAGTCTATTACTGGTGTCCCCTGAAGTGAAATTGCTGATATATTCATGCTCAACATATTGGAATCTTTTCCAGTCCATATTAAGTGATGTAGTTTCTATTGATGTGTGTGATGTTTAGTGTTTTCTGTCAGCACCATACCCGTGCTCGTGGGTTTCACCAAATGATAGATGTCTGGAGACCTGCATCACTTCAGGCTTTCCTCCCACGTCAGTCTGATGCGCCATGATATGACTGGAATACTGTTCAAAGCGGTGTTAAGCCCAACTCCCTCACTATGATGTTTTTGATGGGTTCCTGTACAATATGTTGTTCTTGTCCAGGGTGCTCTCCAGCAAGCGGCAGCTGGCCAGCAGTTCTCAATGCAGACGTTTGGGAGCCAGGGTGGACTTGGACTTGCTCTTACACCCCCTGGTCACACCCATGGTCAGGGGCTCAGTCTCAACCCACAACAGCCCAGCAAGTCCTCACAACAGTATAACAACCCTGTACTGCAGCAGCAGTCACCACAGAGCACTCCAGTAAGTTGACAATCGCCTATGCTATAGTAGTCATTTTTGTTTTGTGCCAGAGGGATTCAGTATCCCCATGACACAATCTAGAGTACCATTGAAGGCATATTTGTGTCCTACATGTGCTTACTATTGTTACAAGAGAAATTTCCAAGTTGAAGTGGCAAAGAAATGAAACCACATCATTTTAGAAAGCAGACATTTGATTAGCTCAAGGAACCACACATCCTTAATTTTAGATAGGGCGGTCAAGGTGCCTCAGGTGCTAGTGTCCATAGCTGTAACCATTGACTGTTATGTACCTTCCACTTGTACTTTTACAAAGTCATTTGTTTAGATATCTTCAGCAACCCATGCTTGCCGTAAAAGGCGACTATGCTTGTTGTAAGAGGCTACTAACGTGATCGGATGTCAGGCTCCCTGACTTGGTTGATACATGTCATCGATCCCAATTGCGTGGATCGATGCCATGATGTCAATCACTGGATTGTCTGGTCCAGACTTGATTATTTACAGACCACCGTCATATAGCTGGAATATTGCTGTGTGCGGCGTTAAACAACAAACAAATTGTTTAGAAATTGTCACTACATACTGACTGATGTTTTGTGTTCCTGCAGATGAAGTCTCCCCCTCAGAGCATGTCGGGGAACTTGCTGAGTTCTTCATCGCAGTCTCAGAGTTCCAATGCCAAGCATTTTAGTGGGCAGATCTCCAACAGAACAACTCAACAGAGGTTCCAAAATGTTCAGCAGTTTCAACCAAAATTTGGTTCTCAATTTTTGGGACAGCCCATGCAGACTCAAGGTATGTTGTAATGATTGTTTGTTTTGATTCAATTTGTTTTGCAGACTTATAGTTATTTGACACACACCACACCACACCACACCACACCACACCACACCACACCACACCACACCACACACCACACACACACTGTTGGAAATAATACTTTGAATCTGTAACAGATATGATATGATACCAATACCAGCAACCTATGCTTGTCTACGATACATATCAGGGGGTCTGACTTGGTTGATTGCAACTTGGTTAATGTACTCTCACCCATTTCAGCTGCTCCAGTGGTGAGACATCAGATGATGGTAGGGAACATTGTACGCTCCAGTGCTCCCCCTCCCCAGCAGAGACCAACGTTCCCAAACCCAATCCAGCGACCTGGTGTACAGATCCAAGTGCAACAGCAACAACAACAACAGCAACAACAGCAACAACAGCAGCAACAACAGCTACAGCAGCTACAGCAGCAGCAGCAGCAGCAGCAGCAGCAACCACGACACACAACCCAGTCACCCTCCTTGAAAGCTCAGCAAGCCAAACAGAGGCAGGAAGCTCTGGCTCTAGCCCAAAATTTCCTGAACCCGCAAAACAAAACTACGATGAAAAACACATCCAAGGCTGACAGTGTGACTGACCCTTCTGCTGCTGCGACAACCACAAACACAAATGAAACCAAACCTACAGATGTCTCCCAGGATAAGAAGTAACCTGGGAACCTGTTGTTTCTATTGTGGACTATATATTCTATGATAACTGAAGAGTTTAAGAATTAAATTATTTCTGATGTGATTTCAAGTGACGTGTGACGAGTCTCCGAACTCCATAATACAAATGTGTAACCACTAGAAACTATTGTGTAGTGTACCAAACCAATGTTACTGTGATGAACATTTCTGTTTAGCAGTTGCATCATTGACTTTTAGAAACTGTGTTGATGAATATTATTCTGTGTGACTTTTCACGGACATGTTCAGTGTTGGATTTTTATGTGTATTAAGACTGCCTGAAGAACCTTACTCGTCAAGTTATGTGCGCTTCCGTGGAGGTGAAGGTGATATGTGCCAAGATGATGCGGTATTATAGGCTGATAAACCATCCAGGCGTGAAATCGGCACTCGCAGCTCAAGGAATGTGAATTGGACATTGTGTTAATGAGGTAGGGTGAAGTACCGAATGTGTGAAGAAAACGAATCTCAGGTGTTGTCGAGTCTGTAAGGTTTACTTGAGCAGTTTCATAGCCCCAAGTGTCCTGTGCAAGGTGGCAGTGGTTAAGAGAAAGGTGGTAAGGTGTCTTGATAGCATCTGATGATTTTAATATGACGTGCCCATAGAAGAAATACTTGGTGTGGGAGATGGGCAAATATGATGCTTATCAAAGCCTTAGACAGCTATGTGCTGGGGAAGTATATTTGTGTACACATTGGCTCGATGCCCCTAAATCTGGCTTTGTTCTAAAATCTCTGTATGAAAGCCAGATCTCTTAACATGATGGAGAAATAACATTTCTGTGGTATAAGTATTTCTTATGATGTGGGAAGGTGGAGTAAGGTGTTATGGCTCAATACCAAGGTCTAACTGGTAGAGTTTGTGACTCAATCTATAGTAATATATTGACGTAAAGAGTCACCCTGGTCCTAATGATGAAGATGTTTACCAAAATGGCGATTGAAAATTGTGGTTCGATCAAATTTTTTATTACACACAATGTGTAGAAAGAAATTCCTCTAAGGAACTATGGTGCCCCCAGATGTTTTACAGGATGCATAGCCCCTGCAATCTTGTCTACTAACTGAACTACCATACCCCTGTTGTGAAGGGGGCTTGGCAGTGTGTTCAGACTCTGCAACAACCCAGTGCCCCGGGTTAGCGGATCTGACATGCTTGCCTTGTGGGTTCTCTCTAGCTAACTAATAGGTGTTTCCTCACTGTTTTAACTTTAATTTATAGTAATTGTGTTGAGCATGTTACAAGTGAGAGATCGAATGTGGGATAAATGTATCTATCGGGTGAGTGCGTGAACACAGTTGATAAATCAAGACTGTGTGTGAGGAATGTACTATGCCTGTTGTATTTAGCCCGTGGTTTGAATCCGTGAATGTCCCTCATTTGTTGTCCAGAGTACATCTCAACACTTTTCAAACTGGAAATCTCAAAGTTTGGACGATGAGCAATCATTCCAGCTTTGACATTTTTTTAATGGGTCTGAAGAAAGATAATCATTTGTATGTTTGTGTATGTATGTTCAGATCTATGCTGCTGCAAATTACAGCTGTATGTAGCTAATGAAAAAAATAAAAATGCTTGTACATTTATAAAGTTATTGTTTGCTTTTTCATTTCAAGACTGGTATATCAGGGATGAACATGTCACTTGACAAAGTTCAGTTTGAGACAAGTGATGCATTGTATAAATGACCTGATGGCAATATGTAAAAGGCATGGATGAAGGTTATATATATATGATAGTCTTAATGATATATTGTTTCCTGCTGGTTGACAAACAAGAAGATCTCAGTTGGACCCCAATGAATAGGAATGATTGGCAGTGATTTTCATATACTTGTTGCTTCCCTGAATCCATATAGCAAATGGAATAAACAAGTAAGGAACCAACCACTTCGTATCCTTCGTGGAGGGGAGGAGCAGGAGGCTGGGATTTTTTACCAGACATTTTTTCAGCTTCAGCTGCAAAACCCAGATATATTTTTTTGATTAAAACTAAAAACCAAAATATTTTTTTCTAATACACATTGCAACAATTGACATTATTGTGGCAGACAATTTTATTTTTTTCCAACAAGCATATATATTTTATTTTCAATATTTTTCAGGAACAACTTATTTTTTTGTCCAATAAAATCCCAGGCTCTCCCTCAGAATATCAAATTGTCAGTCCCCAAGCAGTGACTAGCCTGACACAATGTGCTGCTATAACAGTATCATGCTGTCCTGAAGAGGACACCTTTGGATATCATTTGTTACATATATGTATTTACCAGTATCATGACCAGGAGTATCATTGATATGCGTGAACTGCTTAGAAATTATGAATATCAAATACCATTTATAAATCCTCAAGATTTATAGAAATATTTTGGACGTCTTCTTCACACCAAGTGACCTTGACGTTCAATGTAATCCAGTCCCATGCTGGAAATTTGAAACACCACGCAAGATTGCATTAAGTAATGTGTTACTTGTTGCAAACTTACATGGTGTCACAGTCATATGAGTAAGTGACCTTCAAAGGAACTTTGACATTTGACAGGTATTGAGTTCATTAATGTAAATTTATCTCAAATGATGGGAAAATGTGTTGGTACGTGTCCCTGTGCACTGGTGAAGTAATGCAATGTCTGTCTGGGAGAGTAGTTGGATGGGTGACCTCGTTCTGCAGTGTTTCTAGGGCATCAGTCCTGACCCACACTGAAGCACATTTAGGCAAGTGACTTTGTTCGAAATGCACCGAGTGTATGGAGGCTAGCACAATATTACTACAAGAACCCTACATTATAATGTGTAACTTTAACATGAATGAAACAAAAGTTAATGTAATTTGAACTGTTTTGTAAATTGACCCCTTGACCTTATGTGGAGGTCACCCAAAATCTGATGTTGGGATTCCCCTACTTGTTTACTCATGTATGAATACTCTTGTTATCATGTACACAATCTGCTTTGACATGTGGTGTGACATTGACTATTTTGGAGGTATCTGGTATGAAGTCTCCAACATTTTTACAAAATGTGTGGTTCGGAAAACCAGTTGCGACGGCTTACAGGGTAACGGTTCTTATAGTAACATGCTACATGTGTAAGACTTGGTCAATATCTGGGTGGACACCTTATAAATTACCTTTGGTATGACCTTGACCTACATAGGTCACTCTTGACGTTTTACGATCTTGGACCTGCCCTAAGAAAGAAGTACCAAGTTTCATTGACCTACCATAAATTCTTGAATTATTGTCAATGTGTCAAAAACATTTTCCAGGTTTATAATGGAGATATGCATGCTATTTCCTTAAGTCCTGTGTGGTTCCAAAACCTCCCAGTATCGGTTGTCAAATTCAGGTATAACCTTAAAACATGCTGTTCGTAGATGACTGATTAGGATCTGCATTGTGGGTGCAATGACATCCTCCATTATCTAGTGTTTATTATCTCCTTTCTATTTGGATAAATTCCCCATCCAATTTCCAAAGCTTAGTTTTTGAGTCAAAAGCCAAAAGTGGGAATGGGTGGCAGAGTTGCCCCCTTTGGACACGCCAGAAATCAACGATTATGGACTGGAGTCCCTCATGTACTAGGTTTGTCAACACCATATCCATGCTTGTGGGTTTCACCAAAATGGTAAACGTCTTGAGACCTGCATCACTTGGGGCTTTCCACCAACATTAAGCTGATATGACTGGTATACTGTTCACAGCAGTGTTAAATCCAGCTACCTCAAAAGCCAAATATCACAACATTCATTCATTCACTTGCTGTAACGTCTGCTGCAATCTGAAAGGAAGAATCTATCCACTGGCTCATGCCAAATCACAAAAGACAAAACAATCTGGCTTTATATGTTTACTGATTCAAATAGAAACAATACAAAATATACAGTGGTATCGTAAACACATAGGTTGGATCCAGGAATTCCTAAAGGGAGCAGGTTCAAATTCTTTAGTGGGGTTGTGTGTGTCAAAGGGGGTTCACAGTTTGAATTCTGAACTTCAGTGGAGGAGGGAGCTGTTTAAAAATATATCTGAACTTCAGTAGGGGTCAAATGAAACACTATGTGGGGGGCACTAAAGAAACAGTCTTATTTCAAAGATACAAAGGTATCGGATTAGGGGACAATGGCTCCATGTGCCGTCAGTCTGGGAGAGTAGTTGGATGGGTGACCTCGTTCAGCAGTGTTTCTAGGGCATCAGTCCTGACCCACACTGAAGCACATTTAGGCAAGTGACTTTGTCGAAATGCACCGAGTAACCTTAAAACATGCTGTTCTTAGATGACTGATTAGGATCTGCATTGTGGGTGCAATGACATCCTCCATTATCTAGTGTTTATTATCTCCTTTCTATTTGGATAAATTCCCCATTCAATTTCCAAAGCTACAAAGGTATCAGATTGGGGGACAATGGCTCCATGTGCCCTGGATCCCCCCCCAGAGTTACCACAGTACTGCTTCAGATCACTGATAGAAACAATGTAATGGTTTCACTATATGTCATGGTGAGAATAACCTCCTACAATCAGGGATAGGACTGGAGGGTTTAATCCAAGCATCGATTCATCACAACTACCCTATGTCAATCAAACAATATGACTGACCAAAGTCATTGACAATAATTAGGGTACCTTCCTGAATTCTTTCCCAGGCAACTTAATGAATCTAAGACTTGGCATTAGGCTTTGTCGTCATATCGGGCAGGGAAATATATATCATAGGAATAATCAATACTATATAGCAATAGCTGTACCGGAAACTAGCTTACACATTTGTATAAATAAAAAAAAGTTACTGTCCTCGAACTATTAATTTCATGCCACATTTGTGAAATTTGGGTTTGGAAGTCCTGGACCTTGGTGTGTGAAAAATGCTTCCAAACTTGATTTGAATACAAAGAAATCACATGATTAAGGCACATGCAAAAAAGAACTACTTGTTCACTGAAGCCCTTAAAAGCACTCTCATATCACAACCTTTACAGTAAATGAAAGAAAAAAGGCCCAAGTGACTCAGGTCAAAGCTTGAATTGAGGCTCGATGATGCAATGTAGGCGATTTTATGCAACCAAGTGGTGACCCGGCCACTCTTTCTTTGAAAAAAGTTTGATACAAAACAAAATCCCTATATATTTCCAATTGCCAAACTGTCAAACTACAAGCGCTTGATCAGTTTATAATTCATGGTCTATAATTCATTCATTATATATCAACACCCACACCCACCATGTATCATATAAACTGGTTGAAAACTGTACATATCCATTCCCATTAAACAGGTGGTAGGGGTCGTGGACATAAAACATAATACATTGTGGTGAAAATGACAAACATACTTTACAAATGACCTTTACCTACGTAGGTCACTCATGACATTTAACTGTCGTGGACCTGCCCGAAAGAACAAGTACCAAGTTTCACTGACCTACAGTAAATCCTTTGAGTTATTTTAGCCTATAACCTTGACCTTTGACACGACATATCAATGTGTCAAAAACATTTCCCAGGGTTATAATGGAGATATGCATGACATGACAGAAGACCAAGCACTGCGGGGTTAAAAAAATGTGTGGCAGCACTGGACGTCAAATTCAGGTCAAATCTTACACATGCTATTCATAAGAGACAACAAATTAGGATCTGCATGGTGGTTTCAAAGACATACTCGAATATTGATGTGATAGGGGCTATGGACATAATACAAGCCGATGGTCACCCACAGTGACGGTATAGTTTCATCAGTTCATCATTCACGTTGGAGAATACTGATTTTTAGGTCTATTGCTTCACCAATTAATATATTTTCCAGAACTTGTCACTTGCATGAATTTAAAATGAAAATATATAGTAAAGCAGTCAGGAGTTTGGGTGAACTAGTTTGTTATCGCTGTTATAAGGGTAACGCTATTTTTCAGGGCATTATCATTTGCAGAAGCCTGAGGTCTTCCATTAACTGCCCAATGAAGGAGGGCAGTTGAAAAGACCGAGGGCTTCTGCAAATCAAAATGTCCTGAAAAATAGAGTTACCGTTATTATAACTAAAATGGATGGAATTTGTTATCAAATAAAAAGAAACAACAATATCAGTTTTGAAACATTTACTGCAATCAACATGGATGTCACTGACCCACTTTTACAAACAAGGACACGTCATAGAACAAACCAGATGACGTCACTACTGAACGTGACGTCACCTATCCCTATCCTATGACGTCACCTAACAACGGGCGTGATAATGGCCAAGCAATATGAGGGCATTATCAAGTAACAGTGGCCCGCTCATTTCTGATAACATGTGGGCGGTTTAATGATCATTCTATCCATTTTAGCTATAATAGAACATAATATCCATGTTTCTTATAACCATGTTGTACAATGCCATATTTCATTCCTTGGTGATAGATTGTTTGAGGAGGGTTTTGTAAGGTTGAAAAAAGTAAATCTGAATGTAAAGCAGATAGATATCAACAATAATATGAGAACATATATCCTTGTATATTATTAATACATTGTTATAATCAGATGTGGATGAGCATAAATTACATTTTTGATATGACCTTTATCTCAAATTCTGTGAGACACCATTGCTAGGATTGGATAGGATCATATGCCATGTGGTTTCGGAGCACATGTTGAAAATGTGAACCAGGCATTAGGGACCTGTCATTTATTACAATGGGGGTGGTGGGTCAGAGGTTTTTAATGTACTGAAAAAAATCACCCTCCCCTAAAGCTTGTCATATTTTTTAATGACCCTTCCCATGTCGTTTTTGTACATTTTTTTCATGACCCCCCCCAGAAAAGACAAATGCAAAAGCACTTTATAATTTATATATGTCCACTTTTTTCAAGACCCTCCCTAAATATGAGTATATTTTGTATGACCCTCCCCCTAGAGACTGTCATATTTTTGTGTGACCCTCCCGATTCCCTCTGACTCATCCCCCCACCTCCCTGTTAATAAATGACCAGTCCCTAAATAACAGACAAAATACATCAATAGCTCACCTGAACCATTGCACAAGGTGAGCTACCATGGTCTTCAATGCAACAAGCAAACCAAACCCAAAATTCATTTAAAGGTAGGTAAACCCACAACACAATGACAAGACAGAATATCCAAAATATATTTGTTTCACAATAAAAATATAAAATAAAAAAATGTCAAAATTAATCTTAAACACAACTGACACAAACTTAAAGAAATACTTCCAGGTACACACAGTATGTAAACAATACAACAGGAAAGTACCGTAATACAGTAATACAGAAACAGAAATACCATCCTCTACTATCCAGGGTATTATATCTCCATTTTATCATTTATTCTCCATCGATAATGGACCCACCGCGGCATAGCTTCGTTTCAGGGTGATGATTTCTCTTTTGCCACAGAATCGACAAACTGATCTTCTCAATGAAAGTTCATCATAGGTCTACAATCAACTGGTGTGCCCTATATATTTAAAGTAAAAATTTACAAAGAAATACAATATTTTATAAAACTAAACTTTTAGCTGGAAAAAATATTTACTTAAGTTTTACGACAGTGGAAGGGATTCTCAGGGGTATTTTAGATGCTACACAACAGACAACAATTTGGAAGTGTCTCTTCTTAACGTACACACTTCTCTATATGTTTCTATGGTTCAGGTTTCTTTTGGTGATGAGTATACATGGGGCTAATGAGTGAGTGAGTATGGTTTTACGCCGCTTTTAGCAATATTCCAGCAATATCATGTCGGGGGACACCAGAAATGGGCTTCACACATTGTACCCATGTCGGGAATTGAACCCGGGTCTTCGGCGTGACGAGCAAACGCTTTAACCACTAGGCTACCCGACCGCCCTGGGGCTAATGAGGACTTTACTCCTGTGGCTCAGGTTAGGGTATCATTGTATATAACTGCTATAACTGATAATGCAGCTTGAACCAGACCTAAGGCGAAACTATGGACAGCCCAGGGTATTTATCATAATGGAATGGAAACTTGATACACTGGATAATCGTGGATTCAGAAATACAGTTGTACAGAAATAGTACTACGAAAATACAGTCCTAATATCACAGCATACAGATGTCAAGGCTCAGAGCCAGGCTACACGATGTGACGAGACTTGAGCAGTGACAATGCTGCTGTCTCTGTTTGCACCGTGTAAGCCTGGATACAGATCAGTTCACATGTCATACAACATACACATCCACTCACCAGTGATCTCTAACAACAGGCTACAATCAACAATGATTAGACCATGCATGTGTATGATGAACAACGATTAGATCATTCATGTGTATAATGAAAAATATTTAGACAATTCATGTGTATAATGAACAAGATTAGACCATGCATGTTTATAATAAACAATGATAAGACCATGCATATTTGAACAATGATTAGACCATGTATGTGTACAATCAACAATGATTAGACCATGCATGTGTATGATGAACAACAATAAGATCATTCATGTGTATAATGAAAAATATTTAGACAATTCATGTGTATAATGAACAACGATTAGACCATGCATGTTTATAATGAACAATGATTAGACCATGCATATGTGAACAATGATTAGACCATGCATGTGTATAATCAACAATGATTAGACCATGCATGTATATGATGAATAACGTTTAGATCATTCATGTGTATAATCATAAAATGATAGACCATGCATTTGTATAATGAACAACGATTAGACCATGCATGTATATAATCAACAACAATTAGACCATGCATGTGTATGATGAAACATGCTTAGACAATGCATGTGTGAACAATGATTAGACCATGCATGTGTATAATGAACAATGATTAGACCAAGCATGTGTATAATGAACAATGATTAGACCATGTATGTGTGTAAAGGTGATCGGAATTAGCTGGGTTGTGGTTAGGGAGGGGTTGGGTGGGTGTGGTAGTTGGGTGGTGTGGTAGTTGGGTGGTGTGGTAGTTGGGTGGGTGTGGTAGTTGGGTGGTGTGGTAGTTGGGTGGTGTGGTAGACTGAATGCTACTTCAAGCACAGGGATGCAAGGTAAGCATGTGGTTTAATACATGTTGCACAGAGATGCTGCATTAGCTAAATATCTCGACATTCTTGTCGACAACATCCAAATAGTTGTCTCCACATTTTGATCCCTGACCTATGGTAACATTGATGCAACCCTCGGGAACTATGTCGTGTTCTGCAGCTGGGTTATGGCACACTGCACTGAGTCCTCGATGTTGTCAAACACAGGAACTCCTTCTCGGCTGGCCATGTCACTCAGGTACATCCTTCCGCGATTGTAGTCAGACAGCGCTCCCTTTGTCAGCTGCAGGAAAATCAGCATTTCTGATTAAATGCAATGTTTTTATACTTACCTGATGCTACAAATATCCTATAGGTGTAGTGAGTGAGTTGGGTTTAACGCCGATTTTAACAGTATTCCAGTTATATCGCGGCATGCCAGCTTAATGTGGGAGGAAAGCCTGAAGTGATGCAGGTCTCGGACGTTTACCACTTCGGTGAAACCCACGAGCACGGGTATGGTGCTGACAAACCTAGAAACATAATCGGGGGCAACCAGGATTCGAACCCACAATCATAGGTTTCTGGCGTGCTCAAGGGATGCAACTCTGCACAGCGAATCAGGGCGCCTTAGACGACTAGGCCACCCGTGCCCCCCCTATAGGTGTAGCATCAGGTAAGATAAAAAATAATATACAGTGATCGTTAGCCTAGTCCGCAGGGCTAAACAAAGCCACTCGTCTGTTCATATTGACGAAAGGCGAATGTGCCGGGCGAGAAGGAAGTGAAGGAACACTCGCCCTACCACTACGTATCAATCTTATCAGTTCATCTCTGATTGTTTTCAATAAAATATGCAGGATAATTTCAAACCCAAATACATATTAATTTCTCGTATGTTCGTAGTAATGATAACAAAATACATGTCACTTATGTCATAAATAGATGGCATTCTTTGCAACTGTCTGTTGAAGAAATAAACAAAAGTGTGTTTGTGAGTCAGGTTTTCAAAACTATTTTTTAAAGGAATGCAATTATATTTATTACTTTTGTTGAAAGCGACTCGTTACTGATTCTCAAAGTCAAAGTGAGGGTAATGGCTTTTTTAGTCGGGAATGGTGGGGTTGACGAGAAAAAAAACATGATTTGATTACTAAACAGGCAAAAAAATGAATTAATTTAAAGAAAACAGTATGACTGTAAAAAGCAAAAATGAAATGTTCATGGATGAGTGACTTTGAATGGGTGGAGATGAATGTAGGTAGCAGGTGACTTTAATATTTTGTACTGTCAGTCGTAAATACCTTCAACTCAAAGGTTAATTACGGAAAATAGTAATAATAACTGAGAACATTAAACTATTAAATTTAATAGGGCAAGTGAGAACATTGCAGGATGAGTACAAAATAATATTGACTTCCCCTGTAGGACTAGTTGGGTTTAAGAAATGTTTTCAGCCCTGGCCAGTGAGTTGTGTTCAACATGACTTTGAACAAACGAGTCAACTCTCGCTGGCAAACCAACGATCTGAGCAAAAAATATTGACTTGTCTGGCTTTCCACTTATCTGACAAAGAGTGTTTCAAACTTTTTATCACTTACTTCTTACCAACACGATTCACAAAAACACTTCTGTAAATCATGAATGCCTCACCAAATTAATGCAAGTGTCAACAAACACAAACAGGCAATCCCCAATGGAATATAAATAAGGCCTCGCTATTATATTAATATTATTGTGGCTATTTCACTACACCCTGTTGTTTCTGAGTGTCACGACCCGTGAGGATTCCGGGGTAGAATAGGTCTTCAGCAACCTATGCTTGCCGTAAAAGGCGACTATGCTTGTCGTAAAAGGCGACTAACGGGATCGGGTGGTCAGGTTCGCTGACTTGGTTGATGCAGGTCATAGATCCCAATTGCGTGGATCGATGCTCATAATATCAATCACTGGATTGTCTGGTCCAGACTCGATTATTTACAGACCGCCGTCATATAGCTGGAATATTGCTGAGTGCTGCGTTAAACAACAAACAAAACAAACAAATCTGAGTGTCCCAGCATCAACACCAGAAGTGTACGCCGTTAAGGGAATATCTGTGTCTGGTTATATGTTTTGTTAAGATTTGAAATATTTTAATGGATGTGTAAAGAAAAGAAGCCAGGTCATAATGGAAAGGAGGGTTTGTCAGACCTTCAAGCAGAGAGGGAGCAGAGTAAGTGAGTGAGTTGGGTTTAACGCTGCTTTTAACAGTATTCCAGTCATATCACGGCGTGTCAGCTTAATGTGGGAGGAAAGCCCGAAGTGATGCAGGTTTCAGACGTTTACCACTTCGGTGAAACCCACGAGCACGGGTATGGTGCTGACAAACCTAGAATAGTAATTGGGACGAACCGGGATTCGGACCCACAATCATAGGTTTCTGGCGTGCCCAATGGACGAACTCTGCACAGCGAATCGCGGCGCCTTAGGCGACTGGGCCACCCGTGCCCCCGAGAGGGAGGAGAGTAAAGATTTGTCTGAATGAGATGGAGGTAGATCCTGGACTGTCACCCACCTCTTCCCCAGCAATAACTGTGGCATCCTTCATCTTCTGAATACACAGCACCACGCGGCAGCCCAGCCCGATGTAGTAGCCAGCCTGGAAACAGAAAATTACTCTTACGATGAAACAATTAAATACAGATTATTGGCTGAGTGTGTTTTCCGTATTTTAAATATAATATCTGGAATAAATATTCTTTTATGCAAACCTATAGTTACTGTTACTTTAATGTCAGATGATTTTGATATGATACAAGAAGCCACCCATGAAGATCAGGGTCAGAAATGGTCTTCAGCAACTCATGCTTGCTGGGCTCGTAGGAGGTGACAATGTTTGTCGTAAGAGGTGACTAACAGGATCGGGTGGTCAGACTCGCTGACTTGGTTGATGCATGCATCCCATTTGTGTAGATCGATGCTCATGATGTCAATCACTGGATTGTCTGGTCTATTCCTGAGTGCGGCGTTAAACAACAAAGAAACATCAAACTACCTGAAGCAAACCTAAAATTTTGCGACACATTGTACACTAGTAACAGTTGTATTTATTTCACAGCTGAAGCCCATCACGGAGGTGTTCCTTAGACTCTAGTGCAGGTATTACATGTTCCTGTCACAATGTGGTTGATATAATGCTAACAAGGCTTTCTATTGTAAGTCGCTTACCTCCACCATGGCTGCCAGGCCTCGTGTGTTCCGTGTGAAGACGTACAGGAGCAGACGGCATCGCTCTCGCAGCGCCACCTGCATGGGGATGAGTCTCGCCACCCACTCCGACACGTGTGGGTCCTGATAGGACATTCCGTTGCGTCTGGATGACAATGGTTACTTTATTACAGTTAAAAATAATTTACCTGGTATCATATCCAGTGAAGGGGAAGAGTGAGTGAGTGAGTATTGTTTTTCGCCACTGTTAGCAATATTGCAGCAATATCACAACGGGACACCTTAAAACAGACTTCACACATTGTACCTATGTGAGGAATCGAACCTGGGTCTTCGGCGTGACGAGCGAACGCTTTAACCACTATGCTACCCACCGCCCCCTGGAAGGGTAGGGAAAAAAAAAGAATGATGGAGAGGGGGTTAAAAGGGTTTAAAAAGAAGAGGAACAAGAGGGAAGGGAAGTAAAAAAAGTAGAGGAAGAAGAGTCGAAGATAGAGTGAGTGAGTGAGTTGTGGTTAACGCCGCTTTTAACAGTATTCCAGTTATATCATGGCGTGTCAGCTTAATGTGGGAGGAAAGCCCGAAGTGATGGAGGTCTTCCACGTTTACCACTTCGAGGAAACCCACGAGCACGGGTATGGTGCTGACAAACCTAGAAACATAATCGGGCCGAACTGGAATTCGCACCCACAATCACAGGTTTCTGTCATGCCCAGCGAATCGCGGTGCCTCAGACAATTGGACCACCTGTGCCGCCAGTTGAAAAAAGAAGAGCTCGAGTGAGTGAGTGAGTGAGTGAGTGAGTGAGGTATTACATCACAATATTCCAGAAATATAAGGGCAGGGGACACCAGATGGCCGTCACACATTGTACCCATATGAGCAATCCCACCCGGGCCTTTAATGCTACCTCACCGCCCTGTCAGAGGAAGACGAAGAGGAAAAAGATGAGAATGAGATACATACAAGAAGAAGCAGAAGAATAGAAAGAGAATGGGGAAGTGGGAAAAGGAGAAATGGGAAAAGGAGAAAGGACATGTTTACTCACTTCAACATTGGGACTGCAATCTCCTCACGCCAGTTGGACTCCCCACAGCTTCCCCCCAGGTACACGTCACGCGCCTCCTCCGTGCCTTCCTCGTACACCTCGGGGCGGTAGCGATCTGAAGCACACACAAAGTGTTCTACACAGCTGTGACACTTCCATTTACAAAATAACACTTGATCCAATTCTTGTTGATATTGGAGTTTAATATCGAAACAGGATGTTATCAGCTCACATTTTGTGTAGATATTTAATAGCATGAATATTGGCAGGGGTGTGTGGCAGGGGCGAGTGGCAGATGCGTGTGGCAGGTGCGTGTGGCAGTTGCTTGTGGCAGGGGCGTTTTGCAGATGTGTGGGGCAAGTACATGTGGCAGGTGCTTCCGGCAGGGGCGTTTTGCAGACGTGTGGCAGGGATGTGTTGGCAGGTGCATTTTGCAGATGTGTGTGGCAGGTGCGTGTGGCAGGTGCTTGTGGCAGGGTCATGTGGCAGGTGCGTGTGGCAGGTGCGTGTGGCAGGGGCGTGTGGCAGGTGCGTGTGGCAGGTGCGTGTGGCAGGTACATGTGGCAGGTACATGTGGCAGGTGCTTGTGGCAGGGGCGTTTTGCAGATGTGTGTGGCAGGTGCATGTGGCAGGTGCTTGTGGCAGGGGCGTTTTGCAGATGTGTGTGGCAAGTACATGTGGCAGGTGCTTCCGGCAGGGGCATTTTGCAGACGTGTGGCAGGGATGTGTTGGCAGGTGCATTTTGCAGATGTGTGTGGCAGGTACGTGTGGCAGGGTCATGTGGCAGGTGCGTGTGGCAGGTGCGTGTGGCAAGGGCGTGTGGCAGGTGCGTGTGGCAGGTGCTTGTGGCAGGTACATGTGGCAGGTACATGTGGCAGGTGCTTGTGGCAGGGGCGTTTTGCAGATGTGTGTGGCAGGTGCGTGTGGCAGGTGCTTGTGGCAGGGGCGTTTTGCAGATGTGTGTGGCAAGTACATGTGGCAGGTGCTTCCGGCAGGGGCATTTTGCAGACGTGTGGCAGGGATGTGTTGGCAGGTGCATTTTGCAGATGTATGTGGCAGGTGCGTGTGGCAGGGTCATGTGGCAGGTGCGTGTGGCAGGTGCGTGTGGCAAGGGCGTGTGGCAGGTGCGTGTGGCAGGTGCATGTGACAGGTACATGTGGCAGGTGCTTGTGGAAGGGCGTTTTGCAGATGTGTGTGGCAGGTGCATGTGGCAGGTGCGTGTGGCAGGTGCGTGTGGCAGGTGCTTGTGGCAGGGGCGTTTTGCAGATGTGTGTGGCAAGTACATGTGGCAGGTGCTTCCGGCAGGGGCGTTTTGCAGACTTGTGGCAGGGATGTGTTGGCAGGTGCATTTTGCAGATGTATGTGGCAGGTGCGTGTGGCAGGTACATGTGGCAGGTACATGTGGCAGGTGCTTGTGCCAGGGGCGTTTTGCAGATGTGTGTGGCAGGTGCATGTGGCAGGTGTGTGTGGCAGGTGCGTGTGGCAGGTGCTTGTGGCAGGGGCGTTTTGCAGATGTGTGTGGCAAGTACATGTGGCAGGTGCTTCCGGCAGGGGCGTTTTGCAGACGTGTGGCAGGGATGTGTTGGCAGGTGCATATTGCAGATGTGTGTGGCAGGTGCGTGTGGCAGGTACATGTGGCAGGTGCTTGTGGCAGGGGCGTTTTGCAGATGTGTGTGGCAGGTGCATGTGGCAGGTGCATGTGGCAGGTGCGTGTGGCAGGTGCTTGTGGCAGGGGCGTTTTGCAGATGTGTGTGGCAAGTACATGTGGCAGGTGCTTCCGGCAGGGGCATTTTGCAGAAGTGTGGCAGGGATGTGTTGGCAGGTGCATTTTGCAGATGTATGTGGCAGGTGCATGTGGCAGGTACATGTGGCAGGTGCTTGTGGAAGGGCGTTTTGCAGATGTGTGTGGCAGGTGCATGTGGCAGGTGCGTGTGGCAGGTGCATGTGGCAGGTGCTTGTGGCAGGGGCGTTTTGCAGATGTGTGTGGCAAGTACATGTGGCAGGTGCGTTTTGCAGACGTGTGGCAGGGATGTGTTGGCAGGTGCATTTTGCAGATGTGTGTGGCAGGTGCGTGTGGCAGGTACATGTGGCAGGTACATGTGGCAGGTGCTTGTGGCAGGGGCGTTTTGCAGATGTGTGTGGCAGGTGCATGTGGCAGGTGTGTGTGGCAGGTGCATGTGGCAGGTGCGTATGGCAGGGATGTGTTGGCAGGGGTGTGTGGCAGGGGCGTGTGGCAGGTGCGTGTGGCAGGGCGTGTGGCAGATGGGTGTGGCAGGTGTGTGTGGCAGGTGCTTGTGGCAGGTGCGTGTGGCAGATGCGTGTGGCAGGAGTGTGTGGCAGGTGCGTGTGGCAGGTGCGTGTGGCAGGTGCTTGTGGCAGGGGCGTTTTGCAGATGTGTGTGGCAAGTACATGTGGCAGGTGCTTCCGGCAGGGGCGTTTTGCAGACGTGTGGCAGGGATGTGTTGGCAGGTGCATTTTGCAGATGTGTGTGGCAGGTGCGTGTGGCAGGTACATGTGGCAGGTGCTTGTGGCAGGGGCGTTTTGCAGACGTGTGGCAGGGATGAATTGGCAGGTGCATTTTGCAGATGTGTGTGGCAGGTGCGTGTGGCAGGTACATGTGGCAGGTGCTTGTGGCAGGGGCGTTTTGCAGATGTGTGTGGCAGGTGCATGTGGCAGGTGCATGTGGCAGGTGCGTGTGGCAGGTGCTTGTGGCAGGGGCGTTTTGCAGATGTGTGTGGCAAGTACATGTGGCAGGTGCTTCCGGCAGGGGCATTTTGCAGAAGTGTGGCAGGGATGTGTTGGCAGGTGCATTTTGCAGATGTATGTGGCAGGTGCGTGTGGCAGGGTCATGTGGCAGGTGCGTGTGGCAGGTGCGTGTGGCAAGGGCGTATGGCAGGTGCATGTGGCAGGTGCATGTGGCAGGTACATGTGGCAGGTGCTTGTGGAAGGGCGTTTTGCAGATGTGTGTGGCAGGTGCATGTGGCAGGTGCGTGTGGCAGGTGCATGTGGCAGGTGCTTGTGGCAGGGGCGTTTTGCAGATGTGTGTGGCAAGTACATGTGGCAGGTGCGTTTTGCAGACGTGTGGCAGGGATGTGTTGGCAGGTGCATTTTGCAGATGTGTGTGGCAGGTGCGTGTGGCAGGTACATGTGGCAGGTACATGTGGCAGGTGCTTGTGGCAGGGGCGTTTTGCAGATGTGTGTGGCAGGTGCATGTGGCAGGTGTGTGTGGCAGGTGCATGTGGCAGGTGCGTATGGCAGGGATGTGTTGGCAGGGGTGTGTGGCAGGGGCGTGTGGCAGGTGCGTGTGGCAGGGCGTGTGGCAGATGGGTGTGGCAGGTGTGTGTGGCAGGTGCTTGTGGCAGGTGCGTGTGGCAGATGCGTGTGGCAGGAGTGTGTGGCAGGTGCGTGTGGCAGGTGCATGTGGCAGGTGCGTATGGCAGGGATGTGTTGGCAGGGGTGTGTGGCAGGGGCGTGTGGCAGGTGCGTGTGGCAGGGTGTGTGGCAGATGGGTGTGGCAGGTGTGTGTTGCAGGTGTGTGTGGCAGGTGCGTGTGGCAGGGGCCTGTGGCAGGGGCGTTTTTGCACCTGTGTTCATGTGGCAGGTGCTTGTGGCAGGGGCGTTTTGCAGATGTGTGTGGCAGGTGCATGTTGCAGGTGCGTGTGGCAGGGGCGTGTGGCAGGTGCGTGTGGCAGGGGCGTTTTGCAGATGTGTGTGGCAGGGGCGTGTGGCAGGTGTGTGTGGCAGGGATGTTGGCAGGTGTGTGTGGCAGGGATGTTGGCAGGGGCGTGTGGCAGGGGCATGTGGCAGGGGCGTGTGGCAGGTTCGTGTTGCAGGGGCGTGTGGCAGGTACGTGTGGCAGGGGCGTGTGGCAGATGCGTTTGGCAGGTGCGTGTGGCAGATGCGCGTGGCAGGTGCGTGTGGCAGATGCGTGTGGCAGGAGTGTGTGGCAGGTGCGTGTGGCAGATGCGTGTGGCAGGAGTGTGTGGCAGGAGTGTGTGGCAGGAGTGTGTGGCAGGTGCGTGTGGCAGATGCGTGTGGCAGGAGTGTGTGGCAGGAGCGTGTGGCAGTTGCGTGTGGCAGATGCGGTTGCAGGGGCATGTGGCAGGTGTGTGTGGCAGATGTGTGTGGCAGGGATGTGTGGCAGGGGCGTGTGGCAGGGGCGTGTTGCAGGGGTGTGTGGCAGGTGTGTGTGGCAGATGCGTGTGGCTGGTGCGTGTGGCAGGGGCTTGTGGAAGGTGCTTGTGGAAGGTGCTTGTGGAAGGTGCTTGTGGCAGGTGTGTGGCAGGTGCTTGTGGCAGGTGCTTGTGGCAGGTGTGTGGCAGGTGCTTGTGGCAGGTGTTTGTGGCAGATGCGTGTGGCAGGGGCATGTGGCAGGGATGTGTTGGCAGGTGTGTGTGGCAGATGTGTGTGGCAGATGCGTGTTGCAGGGATGTGTTGGCAGGTGTTGGCAGGAAAATTGAATTTCCGTGAGAGGAACTATCCAGCAAGGCAAGTGGCCCTTTTCCACTAGTCATTTCACTAGCCACTGTTTAGTAGACAAGCACTGGTTTCCTGGCTGAGCACTACTGGCACTTACTGAGAACCCAGTAAACTGGGGACAGCATCCTTGTAAGCAAGCTGGAGAATAGGGGTGGCTTCTGGAAAGAGTGAAAGAGGATAGTTTTACATCACTTTAAGCAATAGTCCACAAATATGATGACAGGGGGCACCAAGAGCGGGCGTTACACATTGTAGCCATGTGAAAATTTCAAGCAAGTCGACCCACCTGCCTCTACAGGAACGCAAAAAATAAACATAGTCTTGCAGCACATCCTATCTTTCTCTACTAGGAGTTGAAATTAGCCACAAGCCTCTGTAACTCACTTGATATTTTTTCTGGTATATTTGCAACATTAGATCATGAAGATCATACTGTAAGGTTAGAGAAGAATATGTAAAAACAAAAAATAAAAAAATAAAAATAACAATAAAGAATAAATAACAATAATAAAGAAAATCACATGCACTTCCTAACGGATGAAATATATGTTGATACCCACTACATATATTTCATTCCATTTTGGACAAAATGCTACTAATATATTTTATGGCTGCCTCCAGTTAAGGTAAAAAAGAGCATCCATGTTGAAAATCACTCCACATGACTTTTTCAATATGGCTGAGATGGTGGCCATACTTTCAGTTTAAGCCTTCTGGTTGCAGAGAAATGTCTAAATTGTGAAACTTTATGACACATGGAATGGCAGTGTGCCACAAAAGTAAACATAGTAATACAAATACAAACCCTATTTTAGTCAATCTCATTAAAATCAGATCTTAGTTCTTGCTATCGCTAAACAAAGATCTGAGGACATCCCATTACAGGTCACGTCAGAACGACCTTTCATCCGACCAATCAAAGCATCGCTTACCAGATCAGAAAAGTGACAGTCGGAATGTGTTTTCTAATCATGCAACCTTGAAAATGTTAACACAGTGTATCCGAATGACAGTAATGGCCCGTACGACTGATTCTGTCAAAATTATCATCTATCTCTCACTTCCGTGGGATAAACATTTGAAAGGTGGAGGCATTGCACTTCCATACAATCTCAACCATATATTAGACATTCCGGAATGTAGTTTGTTCAGTTTTCAAAATTTTAATCGAGAACTGTGTCCACATATTTTTCAAGTGTAGTCTGAAAGTCGCCAGGTTGAAACGAGTGCCATAAAGCTCGAGAAAGGTGCTTTCTAATTGGCTGATGTCGACTTCTTGATACCGGTAGTCATTTCAGTAGTCGGTCAAAGTTTGCGAAAGGTCGTTCTGACGTGACCCGTAATGGGATGTCCTCAGTTCTTTGTTTAACGGCAGCAAAAACTAAGATCTGATTTTAATGAGATTGTATTTTAGTAAACTAAAGACGATGTTATCCATAAATTGTGTCTGCAATGTCATCCATCAACTTCCAAGAAATGCCTAGCAAACAATGTGCCACGAGATAAGTGTACGTAAACATTAAGTTGTTACATTAGTTGTTAATAGACCGTCCTTGTGAGATATTTCACCTTTCTCTTCGTCTCTGTAACTATACAACAGAATTCCTCGAAGGAGAAGGCGTCATGGACTGGACGCTGCTGATAGAGCCACTTGATGTCCAGTTCCAGCCCGGAATAGCATTTGTAGCCCAGCTTGACCTGGAACAGAGGACAGCCTTAATTACATTTGCTTGTTGTTTAACACCGCACATAGAAATATTCCAGCCATATCCTGTGATTGACATCATGAGCCTCAATCCACTCAATTTGGATACGACGACATGCATGAACCAGCTTGCGTCATTTAGCCCGGAACTTCACAGTGCGAGTTGATTTAGTGCACTATGAACAAAAGTTGGGCTGGATGATGGAGGAAGAGTGAGTGAGTGAGTTGGGTTTAATGCTGCTTTTAACAGTTATTCCAGTTATATCACAGCGTGTCAGCTTAATATGGGAGGAAAGTCCAAAGTGATGCAGGTCTCAGACGTTTACCACTTCGGTGAAACCCACGAGCACGGGTATGGTGCTGACAAACCTAGAAACATAATTGGGGCGAACCGGGATTCGAACCCACAATCATAGGTTTCTGGCGTGCCCAAGGGACGCAACTCTGCACAGCGAATTGCGGCGCCTTAGACGACTGGGCCCCCCGTGCCCCCTAATGGAGGAAGAGACTCAGAGTGGAGACATTTACTCTTGGTTCACAAACTCCTTGGGTCTGAGTGGAGCTGTCAAACTAGGAAGCTGATGAAATCTTTTGAGTGAGTGAGTGAGTGAGTGAGTGAGTGAGTGAGTGAGTGAGTGAGTGAGTGAGTGAGTGAGTGAGTGAGTGAGTGAGTGAGTGAGTGAGTGAGTGAGTGAGTGAGTGAGTGAGTGAGTGAGTGAGTGAGTGAGTGAGTGAGTATGATTTTACGCCGCTTTTAGCAATATTCCAGCAATATCATGGCGGGGGACACCAGAAATGGGCTTTACACATTGTACCCATGTCGGGAATCGAAACCGGGTCTTCGGCGTGACGAGCGAACGCTTAAAACACTAGGCTACCCGACCGCCCCTCTTTTGTTAAGATACAATCAAATTCAAATAATAACTAGCATAAAGTAGGTCCGAGGTATTGGTGCATCTGCTGAGTTTGGACAACAAAATATGCTTGCACAATTGCTGTGTTAATTTATGAAAGTAGAGAGACATTCTTACATCTTCTTTGGTCATCTTTCCCCCGACGTTACCAGTGATGGAATTAAAAGTCTCTCTCAGTTTCCTGTTGGCAAAGATATCACAGATATTACAATTATTACAATATATTACAGAATCAATTCGGTAATCCAGTCTGGACTCCACCAACCATGATCATGATGATTGTTAGCAACAAACTTCCAGTGCATACCTAGCTCCCTCCATGCCTATCATTGTGACATCCAATCCCCACATTACCTGTCTATATCGACCCTGCTATATTCTATGGACTTTATAACAGCAGTCAGCAACATTTTTGTTGTTTAATACAGTACACAGCACCGACAAGCTTTAACTTGTAAATAATCAAGTCTTGAACAGATTAACTGATAATATGAGCAATCTCCCACATTGTTGGGATACAATGACATCCAATCAACTCGGGGTACCCGTGCCGCAATCAACTCGGGCTACCCATGCCGCAATCAACTCGGGCTACCCATGCCGCAATCAACTCGGGCTACCCATGCCGCAATCAACTCGGGCTACCCATGCCGCAATCAACTCGGGCTACCCATGCCGCAATCAACTCGGGGTACCCATGCCGCAATCAACTCGGGGAACCCGTGCCGCAATCAACTCGGGGTACCCATGCCGCAATCAACTCGGGGTACCCATGCCGCAATCAACTCGGGGAACCCGTGCCGCAATCAACTCGGGGAACCCATGCCGCAATCAACTCGGGGAACCCGTGCCGCAATCAACTCGGGGTACCCGTGCCGCAATCAACTTGGGGTACCCATGCCGCAATCAACTCGGGGTACCCGTGCCGCAATCAACTCGGGGTACCCATGCCGCAATCAACTCGGGGTACCCGTGCCGCAATCAACTCGGGGTACCCATGCCGCAATCAACTCGGGGTACCCATGCCGCAATCAACTCGGGGTACTGGTGCTGATTGGGTACTGAGTAGAACCTGGGTACCCACAGGACTATCCGGATGGTTAGTCACATGATATATTGTTTAATGATAAAAATTACCTAGAACTCCATGGATACACTACAAGTCGCTAATCTGGGCATATCTTTCACACAATGCACGCATAGCTTCTGATTTTTCTAGGTTTGAATACAGATAAAGCTTTAGTCAGCTTCAGTGTATATGTGATCAGATCGTATTTTAGTGTAGGGGTGTGTATCTAAATACTTTCTGTCAGAGCTCCTTTCAAACTATTCCCAATCGGATATGATGTACCCAACTCTTGAGACCTGCAGCTGGTACCCGGGTAGGGTCATGTAATAGGGGGTTGTGTACGGGTAGTAAATTTGGACTCATCCCAGCCCTACAATCAACCAAGTCACTGATCTGACCATCTGACCAATTCTAACCCAGGGAAACCGACAACAAGGAACAGTTGTACATTCCTCTCAAAAGCACCACATATATATAGTAGCCACCTCCGTCAACATGCTGACATGACAGTTGTATTTCTTCCTTGCGTCAGCTCGAACAATGATGCCGATTTATAGTGCTATCAAACTGAGATACCATGCCGCAGTTTAACATGAATACCCCACTCAGACACAGTATACTGACTCCGAGCCAACCAGTCCTTGTTTTAGCCCCTTAATGCCGAGTACCAGGCAGGGTAGCAACAAGTACCATCTTTTATCGTCTTTTGATTTGACACAATCAAAATCCGGACCTTCAAAAACCGGACCTTCCGCTCTCTGGGCAAACGCTCCACTACTAGATCGGTCCTAGCCCTACAATCAACACAGTTACTAATCTGACCACCTGACCAATTCTAACCCAGAGAAACCGACAACAAGGAACAGTTGTACATTCCTCTCAAAAGCACCACATATATATAGTAGCTACTTCCATGAACATGTTGACATGTAGATGACAGTAGTAGATCTTCCCTTGTGTCAACTCGAACAATGCACTTACAGCAGAGCGGCCCCAACTTGTGTGTGGCCGAATTTGACTGGCTGTGCTCCATGGTTTAGTTCTAAATCTTGGACCCGCATATTCTGAAAAGAAAGGTTAATTTCCTTGATTTTCTGTGTGTTATTGAAGATAGGTCAAAACACAAAACCTGAAAATAATACATCTAGGTTGTGGTCTAAGGGAGTTAACTCATCTAATGTCATTAGACATTATCCCACCTTGTTTTTTAGAAAGTTTAATAAACATAAATATAAATTCAGAATCATCATCATTCATTAGATTTTCATATGAGTCACAAAGAACAAGCATGAAATACTTTCCGGTTGTGCGCAGGGCAAGAAATATTGTATGTTTTTCAATTTCTGCTCCGGAAACGATCACCCACTGACATTTTCAGTCTTAGTCCAAGTCGTTGATATGGAAACTTGAAAATAAAGTGGAACAAAGATCCCTAACTATCAAAAGGCACCAGTTTACCACTAGACCTATCTATGTGCCAAGTTTGGTTAAGATATCTCTCATGGTTTTTGAGTTCTGCTCCAGAAACGAAACGTGACGGACGGATGGACATCACCCATTCCTATATCCCCCTTCTACTTGGTGCCGGGGGGTACAAATGGAAAGATTTTTGGCAATGAGGGTTCTTACTTTCCCCAGAGACCATATAATAGATCTATTATATGGTCTCTGCTTTCCCCAAACATCTATTCGTTCAGTTCCCATTCCTAGATCTCAGTGTTATTTATTCTCAGGTACTGACTGGTCCCTTCATAACACTGTACAACAATGGTCAACTATCTTGAGCCATTCATTCTCTCTAAATGACTAGTCCCTTCATAACACTATACAGCAATGGTCAACTCCCTTGAGCCATTCATTCTCTCTAAATGACTGGTCCCTTCATAACACTATACAGCAATGGTCAACTCCCTTGAGCCATTCATTCTCTCTAAATGACTGGTCCCTTCATAACACTATAAAGCAATGTTCAACTCTCTTGGGCCATTCTTTCTCTCTCAATGACTGGTCCCTTCATAACACTGTTCAGATGACGTAATGTAATCAATTTGTGATGTCATGAACAATGGATGATATCATAAGGTATTTTTCACAACAATGAAGCACTGTGACATATAAGGGCTTCAAGTGACCAATCAGCATTGAGAGTCACTAAAATGCACATGAGCAAATCTCCGAAGGTTCTACCCCAATTGGTAATATTCACCTGAATGAGCCCCGTGGCTGTGCACTGCAGAGCTTTGTGAATGTTTGTGAAAACAGGTATTGCATTTCTCTCAACGATATCCATCAAAACTGTCCGAGCTCGAACAATGTCCCCCAGTTCTCTGAAATGTACATGAGCAAGCACATTAAGAGGACATCCAATTACAGATCACGTCAGAATGACCTTTTGCAAACTTTGACCAACCAGTGAAATGACTAACGAGAAGTCAACATCAGCCAATCAGAAGGCAGCTTCCTCAAGCTTTCTACAGCACGAGCTGCAAACAGGCGACTTTCATTCTAGACTATTCTTAAGAAAAATACTGATTCAAAATTTGAAAACTGAAAAAGAGACAATTCTGGAATGTCCAATAGATGGCCTAGATTGTATGACAGTATACTTCCTAAGGGCTAAGGAAAGCCTTTCACATTTCAAATATTTATCCAACAAAAGGGAGAAGCAGACAATGACAGAGTTTGTCATACAACGCGTAACTGGTGTTCGGAATATCCCATATAAACCTTTTCAAGGTTGCTTTCCCGTTTTGGTAAGAGACGCTCTGATTGGTTTGATGAAAGGCTGTTCTGACGTGACCCGTAATGGGACGTCCTCATATTTGTTTAGTGGTAGCGAGAACTAAAATATGACTTGAATGAGATTTGGTCATAGACAATTACACTTTTGAATCCCATGAATAGGGGTATGATGCTGACAAACCAAACATCCGAATCAGGAAAAATCTGAGATTCAATCCCTTCGTCATCTGATCCTAAGGGAGGCAACAGAGCACAGTGAATAGCGCCATCTGAGCAACTGTCTTCCCCCTCCAAGAAATCAGTGTAAAATGGGGGGTTCACCGTGATGAGGGACTTTCTCCATCAAGCACCACTTTCTCCCACGAGTCGTCATACACCAGCACCACCTGGCGACGGGAACCTGAAACAGTTGGGAGGAAACTAGAGGTGTTTGCATGTACTTGAAAAACAGAAGCAGGCCTGTCCCCAATGTACCACAATGTACTTCCTGTCCAATAACTTTACTTCCACAGCTTGACCTTAACATCCAACAATTATTCTGGACAGTACAATCGAGTAAGTGACTATGGTCTTACGCCGCTTTTAGCAATATTTCAGCAATATCATGGCGGGAGACACCAGAAATGGGCTTCACACATTGTACCCATGTGGGGAATCAAACTCGGGCCTTCGGCGTGACAAGTGAACGCTTTAACCACTAGGCTACCCTACCGCCCCTCAGGACCAAACAAGTAAAAATGCAACAACAACTGGCAACAAATGATACAGCCATGTCTCACAATAACATCACAAAGATGACCTTCACCTTTGATAGACATAGTATCAACATTAGATGTAGTAGGATTTGTAAAGATATGTGCAAATATAAAGTTTAATGTCTGCACATGGTCTGTAGAGACCTTGTTTTTCAAAAAGATAAATATTGACCTTGACCTTTGACAAATCTTGACCGAAACCTTTTCGTATCAGGGCCCCATGCCAGAAGGTAGGCCTACATACCGAGTTTAATGTTTATTGCATTTATACTTTTGAGAAAATGTAACCACAAACGTTTTTGTGCTTTTTCTTTCAAATGAGTGAGTGAGTGAGTGAGTGAGTGAGTGAGTGAGTGAGTGAGTGAGTGAGTGAGTGAGTGGGGTTTAACAATATTTCAGTTATATCGCGGCACGTCAGCTTAATGTGGGAGGAAAGCCTGAATTGATGCAGGTCTCAGACGTTTACCACTTCGGAGAAACCCACAAGCACTCTTTCAAATGACAAAAGAATTCCCCAGGGCCATTTGGAAGAATTCCATCTATGAATAATCTTTGATGTCAATAATTATGTGTTGTAGTCATTAGGAAAACCTAAAGCAGTCGCCTTTCACAGGGCTACTAATATAAATTACAAACATTCTCAGGAGACATAGAAAATATGTGACATGACTGAAGTGTAAAGGATGCAACTCTGCACAGCAAACTGCAATGAGTTATCAACTGGGCCACCCCTGCTGCCTTACAGTAAGGAGGTTTGAACACACGTGAGACCTGTGAAGATCCGGGTTAGAATCGGTCTTCAGCAACCCATGCTTGCCGTAAAAGGTGACTATGCTTGTCGTAAGAGGCGACTAAAGGGATCGTGGGGTCAGGATCGCTGACTTGGTTGATGCATGTCTTCACATTCCAATTGCATGGATCGATGCACATGCTGTTAATCACTAGATTGTCTTGTCCAGACTTGATTATTTACAGACTGCCGTTATATAGCTGAAATATTGCTGAGTGCGAAGATAAACAACAAACAAACAAACACACATGAACATGTGGAAGCACCTACCGACTAGATACGCCACTTCCACCATGGACACCACTGCCCTGGTCTGGTTGTCAATCATGAAGAACAGAAGCTGCGCGGCCTGAAACAAAATGATTGGAAATTTATCAATTCTATCGATATTCCTGCTGAGTACATCTGGTACACACAGTATTGGGTAATAGGGCTGGGTCTGGTAACTCGGGTACTCGGGTACTCGGGTGGGTCCGGAGTAGGACCCGGTACCAACAGGACTAACCGGACCTGTGGTTAGTCACGTGATATATTATTTCATGACAAAAACTCACAAAAGCTCAGTGGTTACACAACAAGCTGCTTACGATCGCATTTCTTTCTGACGATGCACACATTTCTTTGGACTTGTATATGTTTGAGTAAAGATAAAGCTTCAGTCAACTTCAGTGTACGCATGATCTGATCATTTGAAACATGTATCTAAATAGTTTTTGCCAGGGCTGCGATAAAACAAATTCCCAATCAGACATTTTGTTCCCAACTCTTGAGACCAACAGTGGGTACCCGGGTAGGGTCGGGTAATAGGGCATCACAATTGTCAATGGTCCATATAGTAACACATAAATGATAAGTTCAAATCTAACATTGATGGCGAGCAATGTCATCACCAGATATTGTACTGTTGTATTTGTGTTTGTACTTGACTCACGACAAAGCAATAGAATGGAGAAATTATAGCCTACATTATAGAGGATGATCCTGAACGTACCTGTTTCGCCCTGTCCTCTAACTCAATCAGCTCTGGTCTCCAGCTGTTTACTTGCTGCAAACACAAGAAGTCAGGAAATGTGTTAGTTCAAGGATTGCGTCCTCAAAACTAGAGCATGGATGTTTGTTTGTTGTTTAACGCCGCACTCAGCAATATTCCAGCTATATGACGGTGGTCTGTAAATAATTGAGTCTGAACCAGACAATCCAGTGATTGACATCATGAGCATCGATCCATGCAATTGGGATATGATGACATGCATCAACGAAGTCAGCGAGCCTGACCACCCAATCCCGTTAATTGCCTCTTACCACAAGCATAGTCGCCTATTACTGCAGGCATGGGTTGCTGAAGGTATTCTATAGGGATGCACAGATGGAGGTATGTATGTATGCATGTGTATATAATAAATATATATTTGAAAATCATATGAATACAGATCAATGAAAGGCATAAAAAAACAAATATTCCAACTCACAGGGTTATAGAAAGTCACGGATTGAAGTTTGAGATAAGGGATGGCCTTCTCCTGGCGCCATGTTGCTCCAGCACATGATCCACCCAGAAACACTGTAACAAACAACTTGGTGTTACAGCCAATCAAAACACTCAATATCATAGTCTGGCTGGTCATGTAGCTACCCTGCTTTGAGGGTTTGCTCCAACATTGTAATTACTGTACTTGGAATGAGGTGCACACAAAAACAGTAGCATCTTATTGTTCAGAGCTCACTGACCAAGACAAGTTGTGACTTATCTTACTGTCCAATGAAATAATTTCTGCTGTAACCTACCTTGGAAAGAAGCCTGTAAACTCTCTGAAATTAAAGAGAATCAAACAAATAAGTTTACAAACAATGGACAGTTGCAGCCCTCCCCCAAAATGAACACAAGCTCATGTAGCTCACCTGTTCTCTCAAATATTGTAGATCACAAAGGTGTGTGTATTCACTGCAATAAACACCCCAGATCCTTAGAAAATTGACATAGTAACTTAGTCCAAATGCTGAAGGAACGTTTTCAATCTCATTAAAATCAGATCTTAGTCCTTGCTACCTCTAAACAAAGATCTGAGGACATCCCATTATGGGTCATGTCAGACCGACATTTCGCGAATTTTGACCGACCAATGAAATGACTGACAAGAAATCGACATTAGCCAATGAGAAGGCAGTTTTCTCGAGCTTTACGACACTAGTTTCAAACTGGCGACTACGCTTCGAAACATATTTTGACGTATTCTCGATTAAAAAAAATAAAACTGATATGAAGAACATTCTGGAATGGCTTACAGATGGCCTAGATTGTATGGATATAATCATAAAACCCGTAACTGTCGTTCGGAATACCCCAGAATATTTCGTGGTTGCATGATTAGAAAACACATTCAGACCCTTAATGGGATGTCCTCAGATCTTTGTTTAGCGATAGCGAGAACTAAGATCTGATTTTAATGAGATTGGAACGTTTTTGATGATAGTGCCCTACGCAATATTATACCCCTTCTGAGTTATTGTTTTCTGTAAAAAGCATCTGTAATATACACAAGAAAATACCGACTGTGACTGATGATTATAAAGATGACTTTCAGATTGGTCTAGAGGGTGGTCAGGGATGTTCACCTGAGTCGGGAACTTAATACGGTGAATACGGTATTCATAGAAAGTTTCCAATAACACCTAGCATTGCCATTTCATTGAGATAATGAAAATGAAAAAGTCAACGAGAGAAGGAAGCAGTCACCATTTTATTATATTATAATGCAATGTCACATATTACCATACACAGGCAAGGAAACAAACAAAATACAACAAAATATAGAGAAAATCTCACTTTTGTCTTTTGATACAGTTTTGTTTGTTTTGTTGTTTAATGTGCACTCAGCAATATTCCAGCTATATGATGACAGTCAGTAAATACTCAATACTCCAGTGATTGACATCATAAGCACAAATCTACACCATTGGGATACGATGACATGCATCAACCAAGTCAGCGAGGCAGACCACCTGATCCCATCAGTCTCCTCTTACAGCAAGCATGGGTTGCTGAAGACCAATTCTAACCCGGATTTTCACAGTTTTGATATCAAATATATCAACACGAGTTCATAAAAGTTTACAACTTCAAGGCTTAGTGACAAATGTTGATATATTTGATATCAAATAACACAGGGGTGGCTGCTTGTACAAATCTGGACTTATGTCGGTTTATAGTGATAGTTTATAGAGATACTATGCCGCAGTTTAACAGTGAGTGAGTTGTGTTTAATGCCTCCTTTAACAGTATTCCAGTTATATCAAGGCGTGTCTGCTTAATGTGGGAGGAAAGCCTGAAGTGATGCAGGTCGCAGACGTTTACCACTTCGGTGAAACCCACGAGCACGGCTATGGTGCTGACCAACCTAGAAACAGAATCGGGGTGAACCCGGATTCGAACCCACAATCATAGGTTTCTGGCGTGCAAAAAGGACGCAACTCTGTACAGCCAATTATGGCGCCTTAGACGACTGGGCCACCTGTGCCCCCGCCCCTAGTTTAACATGAATACCCTACTCAGACACAGTATACTGGCTCCGAGCCGACCAGTCCTTGTTGTAGCCCCTTACCCTTAATGATGACAACAAGTACGGAACCATCTTTTAACATTTTTGGTATGACTCTGCCAGGGGATCGAACCACAGATATCCCCTTCTCCAAACAGACGGTCTATCCACTAGACAACGGAAGCGGTTCGAAAAAGTTTAAGTCATGAGTCAATGAACAGTATTTCTGTGACGACACCATGTCGAGGTGAAATATGGTTCAATGTTGCGATCAAGATTATTGCACTTAAAAGCAACATGCGTGTTTGTACATCTGCTTGTACTAGTCCGGACTAGCTGGTTTTATAGTTCTAGCCCATTGAGGTACCAGGCCATAGTTTAACATGACTACCCCACTCAGGCACAGTATACCAACTCCGAGCCAGCCAGTCTTTGTTCTATCCCCCTGATGTCAAGGGCCAGGCAGGGTAACAACAAGTACCATCTTTTTTAAAGAAAATGGTTTGTGTAAAACAGAATACATAGTATATCATATTAATATCTTTTGTGTCTGCACAATTTTGGGCAGGTTTATCTGAGTCAGTAATTGACACTGACAGACATTGGTGGTGGTGGCATGTTACCTTTTCTTTTTCTTCTTATCTCATATGCATCTGGTTTGTTTTTCAAAATGGACTTTGGTTGCGGGAGAGTAGTGCTGAAATGAAAACCGTAATGAATTAAAAATACAACCTGAGAATTACTTTATCCAGGTGCAGGGTGAGTCTACTTGTGAGCAGGGGTGGGTCTACTTGTGTGCAGGGATGCATCTTCTTGTGTGCAGGGGTGGAAGTATTAGTCCACTTGTGTACAATGGTTAGGGGGTTAGTTTATTTGTGATGCATGGGTGAAAGGGTTAGTCTGTGTTTCAGAGGTTAGAGGGTTAGTTTAATTGTGTTGCAGAGGTGAGGGGGTTAGTCTGTGTTTCAGGGGTTAGAGGGTTAGTTTAATTGTGTTGCAGGGGTGAGAGGTATAGTCTGTGTTTCAGAAGTTAGAGGGTTAGTTTAATTGTGTTGCAGGGGTGAGAGCGTTAGTCTGTGTTTCAGGGGTGAGAGGGTTAGTCTGTGTTTCAGAGGTAAGAGGGTTAGTTTAATTGTGTTGCAGAGGTGAGAGGGTTAGTCTGTGTTTCAGAAGTTAGAGGGTTAGTTTAATTGTGTTGCAGGGGTGAGAGGGTTAGTCTGTGTTTCAGGGGTGAGAGGGTTAGTCTGTGTTTCAGAGGTTAGAGGGTTAGTTTAATTGTGTTTCAGGGTTGAGAGGTATAGTCTGTGTTTCAGAGGTTAGAGGATTAGTTTAATTGTATTGCAGGGGTGAGAGCGTTAGTCTGTGTTTCAGAGGTTAGAGGGTTAGTTTAAATGTGTTGCAGGGGTGAGAGGGTTAGTTTAATTGTGTTGCAGGGGTGAGAGGGTTAGTTTGTGTTTCAGGGGTTAGAGGGTTAGTTTAATTGTGTTGCAGGGGTGAGAGGGTTAGTCTGTGTTTCAGGGGTTAGAGGGTTAGTTTAATTGTGTTGCAGGGGTGAGAGGGTTAGTCTGTGTTTCAGAGGTTAGAGGGTTAGTCTTATTGTGTTACAGGGGTGAGAGGGTTAGTCTGTGTTTCAGGAATGAGAGGGTTAGTCTAGTTGTGCTGCAGGGGTGAGAGGGTTAGTCTGTGTTTCAGAGGTTAGAGGGTTAGTTTAAATGTGTTGCAGGGGTGAGAGGGTTAGTTTAATTGTGTTGCAGGGTAGAGAGGGTTAGTTTGTGTTTCAGGGGTTAGAGGGTTAGTTTAATTGTGTTGCAGGGGTGAGAGGGTTAGTCTGTGTTTCAGGGGTTAGAGGGTTAGTTTAATTGTGTTGCAGGGGTGAGAGGGTTAGTCTGTGTTTCAGGGGTGAGAGGGTTAGTCTGTGTTTCAGAGGTTAGAGGGTTAGTTTAATTGTGTTGCAGGGGTGAGAGGGTTAGTCTGTGTTTCAGGGGTTAGAGGGTTAGTTTAATTGTGTTGCAGGGGTGAGAGGGTTAGTCTGTGTTTCAGAGGTTAGAGGGTTAGTCTTATTGTGTTACAGGGGTGAGAGGGTTAGTCTGTGTTTCAGGAATGAGAGGGTTAGTCTAGTTGTGCTGCAGGGGTGAGAGGGTTAAACTGTGTTTCAGGGGTGAGAGGGTTAGTCTCATTGTGCTGCAGGGGTGAGAGGGTTAGTCTTATTGTGTTACAGGGGTAAGAGGTTAGTCTACATGTATTCACTGCCAATATAACATCTCATGTAACCATTTCACAATCTACAATGGAGGCCTACCCTTTCTCATAGTGATATTGAAGCTCATCGACCAGAACACAGAACTCCCCAAATGTGATGTGATCAGGAACGCAGGGACTGCCATACTCCACGGCACAGTGCACCATCTCGAGAACTGGAGGCAACACAATGTATCAAATATATTAGTTATCAAAACAGATAAAATACATAAATTTATGTATTTGTCATATTGGGATTCTTGTAAAACATGAAAGCATGAAAATAGTAAATAAATCCTAATTACTAAGAAACTGTACCTCAGCCAAGTCCCGAAGTGGAGTTGTGCACGCAACACTCGGCAGGGGTAGAAACAAACAGTTTTAGTCCACTAGTCCTTACAATGATAACATACAGCAAAACCCTAAAAAATGGCAAATTTCTGTTTGTCCTTATGATATCTCAACTATGGGGCAGTTTGGCAAGGACTACAGGACTAGTGCCAATTTCTAACATTGCAGTCGCTCCTGAATATCAGGGCACTTGGCTGAGTATATGAATGTGAAAGGTGGTGATTAAACCCAATCGCCGGCCGTACCTCACGTAATACACGTAGGAGCTGAACAGCCCAATACTTGCTCCTGAGCTCCAGGAGTACTTGGCAGAGCAGACGAATGAAACCGAATGAATATCATCTGCCTCAATTACATGTTGTTGTTTTTTAAACATTATTTATTTCCACTTGGCACAGTGAAAGGGGATTGATAAACAGGCAGAGCCTATATAAATATCTCTCCCTGACAAAATTTGAACAAGCAGCAGTAGAATAATTATACAGTAGTATAGACTTGGTATTAAGTCATTTGTGGTACATCAAAGGTAAACAGTTGCTAGTGACATTTATATAAGAGTGCATGTTTAGACAAATCTTTTGTTCACAGAGAAGAAATGATGTACAGAGTCAATGATATTCAGCAGTTTTTCTTTGCCTAGCCTGACTTACATGAATTACATGTACTAGCGGATAGATTGCCCTGCTCAAAGCCTTTAATACCCATGAAGATCCGGGGTAGAATAGGTCTTCAGCAACCCATGCTTGCCGTAAAAGGCGACTATGTTTGTCGTAAAAGGCGACTAACGGGGTCGGTTGGTCAGGCTCGCTGACTTGGTTGATGCATGTGATTGATCCCAATTGCGTGGATCGATGCTCATGATATTAATCACTGGAATGTCTGGTCCAGACTCGATTATTTACAGACCGCCGTCATATAGCTGGAATATTGCTGAGCGCGGTGTTAAACAACAAACCAAAATCAAAGCCTTTAACATTGATTAATGAATAATGGCAGGCAAGGAGGAACCCCAGTTATATAATATCTTTGCAAGTAAATGAAGAGGCATACTATTGTACGATCCAGTTAGTAACAGAAATCATAATTGAGGTGACGATGAGTCAGTGGATCAATGACTGATGTATCAGCACTGTTTGCCGCTTAAACCTTTAAGTGTAACGTAAAATAGGTGGTGATGAGGGAGGTGATGGTTCAGTAATGAATCGACTATTTACGAATAGCGCTTGATGAAACAACGTGTTGTGATTAAGACAAAGGAGTGAAAACAAGTGACTGGGCATGTGCTATCAGTGTATTTTAAGTTTGGAATGTAAGAGAACAGGAATATGATTGTGAAATGACCACAGTACTCTAAATATGAACTTAATACTGATAAATGTACAACATCCTGGAGTATATAAACATGATAGAAATATATTGTGTGGTATTGAGCATGTTAATGTATAATACCTTAAACATGGTATAACAAACCCACTTGCTATTATAAGAGTGAGTGAGTGAGTGAGTATGGTTTACGCCGCTTTTAGCAATATTCCAGCAATATCACGGCGGGGGACACCAGAAATGGGCTTCACACATTGTACCCATGTCGGGAATCGAACCGGGGTCCTCGGCGTGACGAGCGAACGCTTTAACCACTAGGCTACACGACCGCCCCCTATTATAAGATAACTTACATCTAGAGCTACGACTGGAAGTAACACAATGCATATATATATAGTAGATTATGGTTATAACAAACTTAAAGAGATCACTAATTTGAGTTCGTTGTAAACCTGTTATACATAAGCATTTAGGCGATCGGAATCGTTTTCTAGCTGCACCATACACTATTACCGTCTTACTATTGTTAATTGAGGACAAGGTGTGAGTACTTAATCCAGTTAATCACTTGTCTTCAATTGTTTATTGCTGCTTTGCCGTGGATGTTTTGACAGGCTACTTGGTGACATGTGAGGAGCTCAGAGATTAACAGTTGGTTATAAACATAAACATTGTCGTGGACAGAGTACATGGGGACCACAAAGTGTGTTCTCTATATCCGTTATTTCGTTATAAGCGTGTTGGTTATATAAATCAATTATATATGATACAATATTGAGCAAATGGCTGGGACCAAAAAAATACTGTCAATCTTGAAATTAAAGCGAACGTGAATTAAATGCAAAAATGCGGGTGGTCTTTGCTCACATTAATTTAACTTTGTATTTATGTCTCCAAATGACTACCACCAATAATGCACACATTGAGAAGCGGAAATACCAACTTGAATATAAATATAAACACAAACACGGTTTATTGCGCAGCAGTTGTAACAAGTCTATAACAATGTGTGTGAATTAGTGAGTTGGGTTTAACGCCGCTTTTAACAGTATTCCAGTCACATCACGGCGTGTCAGCTTAATGTGGGAGGAAAGCCCGAAGTGATGCAGGTCTCAGATGTTTACCACTTCGGTGAAACCCACGAGCACGGGCATGGTGCTGACAAACCTAGAAACATAATCGGGGTGAACCGGGATTCGAACCCACAATCATAGGTTTCTGGCGTGCCTAAGGGACGCAACTCTGCACAGCGAATCGCGGTGCCTTAGACGACTGGGCCACCCGTGACCCCATATAACAATGTCATTCAAAGAACAGGAATTACACAATTGGCATCTGGTGAGTTATCACTGCTCGGATCAAGAGTTCTACCCACTTGTATCCGGCTTGTTGACACCTTCTCTTGCCTTTGAACTTCCTTAATGCCAGTCAACTGAGTAAACATATAAACTGTGTGTTGTTTTTAGGAAAACACTGTTTATTGTTTTTACGGAAGTGCTCCACTCAGTGCTAATAAGCAGTGCTATTTGCTGTTTGACTGGATTCAGGTAAGGATATGTATCATTCCACTGGGGATGGGGTAGGGGGTCTAGAAAAATTCAAAGCCTTAGGCATATACCTAATTAAAACAGGACTAATTAGTCGCATTTAAACCCCAAATAAAACATTAAAACCAAAACTACCTAATCTAACAACCACCCAACACACACAGCTCCCTTAGTTCGTCCTCCACCCACTCTTGGCATTCATTCCAAATCTCAAAATTTCAAAATCACTATATAAGCAACCCCTAAAGCCCCCCTCCTGGGTTGCACAAACTCAATTTTCCCCTTTTCGGAAACACATTAAATGGACTGGCCGGCCCGTGTGCGACATACGCTTGCAGTCGGAAAACGCACGTTAAATCTCCAATATAAGTAAGTAAGTAAGGGTAGGGGGAGTCGCATTGATTTTGAGTCACATTTCTGGCTAGGGGGCAGCAGTCATATTAATTTGGAGACTATTAATTTCCAGATTTACAGTTGTTCATTATAAGCGTTATAAGCATTATCAGTTCGTTATAAGCGTGTTAGTTATAAATGTAGTTTGCTGTATTACTTACACCTGGAGCCAACACAATGTGTCTTCTATATCAAAATCAATAATTAGCTACCAAACCTCCCACCTCACATCCTCTTATTACGTTCATTGTCCCAAGCAAAAATAGTTAAAGAAAATTGCCATGTGTGGTTCCTTCTTTCTGATCTTTCGTAGGTCAATCATTGACCTTGACCTACCTTGAGAGTGCGAAGGGTAAAGGTTCAGCTCACAGAAGGCACGTCTGAGGATGGAGATGGGCAGCTTGTTTTCTCCAAGGTCATACCGTTTGAACACCTCCCATAAGTCGCTGAAACATATTTGTTTGTTTGTTGTTAACGCGGCACTCAGCAAAACTCTGAGGCAAGAGAGTTAACTGACTTTAAAAGTCCAGTTTCCACCCTTGCCAAACTAGGCTGGAATTCCTGGGCTCGATTGTAGCGCCACCAGTGGCTATCACGAGTTATGTCCCTTCAATACCTCTCCTTTGGACCATTCAGATTCCACCTCTCGTATCACTTGCATTTGCTTCAAACAAAATGGCTGAGCCCAGTCAAGACAATCTGATCGATTATCTATATCTATATTGTTATAAAACGGGTCTTACACCACAAAGTGCCACAAATCACGTGAGCACCTTGATAAAAATGACAAACAGATTTTGAAAATCTCTGTTGGCGCCGAGTTGGCAGTGCACATGCTTTGCAAATCCTGCAATCGACCGAAATCTGCATGACAGTTTACGAACAGGATTTCCTTACGTAGCGCAATTTTGATTGGACTATGCATAGACTCGTTAGACCAGCCAAAATGTAACTCCATAATACCAGCCTAGTTCGGCAAGGGTGGAAACTGGACTTTTATAGTCAGTTAACTCCCTTACCTCGGGAAGATGGTTTGTAACTAACTGATTTTGGACCAGAGACCCCAGTGATCGATACCATGAGCATCGATCCACGCAAATTGGGATATGGCAACATGCATTAACCAAGTCAGCGAGCCAGAACACCCGATGCCGTTAGTCGCATCTTACGACAAACATGGGTTGCGGATCTTCATGGTTCCACTGAACACAGATCAGGCACATACTTTTCAAGGGAAGTTAAACAACACCTGATTTTTTCATATGACTAGAGTTAATCTGTCATGACAATTTTTTACGAATTTTATGCCAAATTTGTTTGTAAACAAACTGTAGCGAAAACTAAGATCTGATTTTAATGAGATTGGCTTTGAACAGTATTCCAGTTATGTCAAAGCATGTTAGCTTAATGTGGGAAGAAAGCTTGAAATGATGAAGGTTTCAGATGTATACCACTTCGGTGAAACCAATGAGCACAGGTATGGTGCTGACAGACCTAGAATCATAATTGGGGCGAACCATGATTGAATCCCCGATCGTAGGTTCCTGGCGTGCCCAAGGGATGATCTTTTTAGTTGATGGTCATTTTGATAAGGAAACACCAATAATATCCTCTAAAACTAGTAAGGTGTAGTATGTTCTTGAACATTGTCTTTTTACACCAAAATATTTTGCTCACATACATATACATATACATATGAGTGTCATTAAAAGTGAGTGTGAGTGAGTAAGTGAGTGAGTGAGTGAGTGAGAGAGAGAGAGAGAGAGACATAAAAGTGAGTGTGAGTGAGTGAGTGAGTGAGTGAGTGAGAGAGAGAGAGAGAGAGAGAGAGAGAGAGAGAGAGAGAGAGAGAGAGAGACAGAGAGAGAGAGAGAGAGAGAGAGAGAGAGAGAGAGAGTATGGTTTCACACAGTTTTTAGCAATATTCCAGAAATATCATGATGGGGAACACCAGAACTGGATGTCACACATTGTACTCATGTGGGGGATTGAGCCCAGGTCTTCGGCGTGACAAACAAACGCTTTAACCACAATGCTACCCCGCCGCCCTACTTTAACTTTAAGTTAGACAAATCTAATTACTTGTTTCATAGATCTGTCACTTTTTACCCACTCAATGGGTAACATCTGTGGCAAGGAAGGCCAGCCTTGTTTACAGTTTACTTGGTTTATGAAGCTGCCGACTCCCCAAAATTGCAATGCGAAATACAATGCAGTGTTTATTTCTTATTCTACCGACCAGAAAAAAGTTAAATGTAAAAACACAACTCATTTACTTGTCGCTATCAACATAAATAAATATTCAAAATACTATAATTACAACCTGTACACATCAAAACAAAATGAATGACGATGAAATGTAGGAGGAAATAGAAAAAATATATTTGAAATTGGATTCTCTTCATTTTTATTTTGTCAAACTGCCAACATGTATTTATGGGCCAAACATCTGTTCACCCCCAAAAAATAAAATGGCCTAACATTTTAAATCAAATGAATAGTTACCATGGTAACATTGGAATTTTGACAAAGTTTGTTTTCACTCCAGCAATTACTTCCTTGAAGGAAATGGATAACACATACCTCCACCAATGTAAACCTTAACTCTACTGTGCAGATTTACAGTGTAGACACGGTTTTCATGTCCGTACCACAATATTTGGAAGTAAATTCTTAAATAAGCATGATGACAGTAGTAGAGCAAAAGGGGAGAAAACACAGCTGTCGCTCTTCCATTGTTTCTGAACTTCCATCAATGTTATAAAACCTACTGGCTGTTTGGGTAACTCGATATGGAGTTTTTGAAATTGTGGTAACACCTCGTAGGAGGTATTACAATCATTGTAAACCCTTGATAGAACAAAAACTACGAACAGCCTACGAGACGCACGTGTAGATTACGTGCCAATTCGAAACCCACGTGCTGAGGTCAGTGGTTTCATTGAACCGAGTTCACGACTGCAGGCAATATTTAATCTCAGATACAGGTTATACATTTGAGAGTTTTTGTTACAGTTATTTAATTAAAAACGTTGTTAATGCGATGAGTCGGTTTATAAGTTGGACAAACCATGTCACCTCGAGATTACTAGAGATTGTAAACCCTCACATTCGGGAACGTCCCTCATGTGAGTGTTTACAATCGCTAGTAATCCCTCGGAGACATGGTTTCTCCGACACATCAACAACAGATCACTGTCATGACAGAAGCACATGACCTTGCTGACAAAATAATTATAATTATTATACTTATTCTGCCAGTTCAGTTCACTCCAGTGTCAGGAGACCAAGTTGGAGATAATCTCCAGTCCCTATGCTGGAGAGTGAAATGCCCCATGAACATGCGGAGCCGCTATAGAATCTGTTTGCCACTATTTTCATTCAAGGATCTACCATGTCCAAGGGATAAGGATCGAGTGATGGTAATTAACCTACCCTTACCCTAACACAACTATAACAGGGGTTAAAAAATACCATTGCCTGATAATATACATTTTCTATCATGTCAAGTAGAGCACACAAAATGGACTGGGTCAAGTTTCATGAAAATGTAATAGGGGGGTGGGTACCCGGGTAGTAAATTTGGACTTGTCACAGCTCTAGTTCACAACAGTCGACGTCCTGTCCCTTTACAATGGGGAAATTTGATAATCAATATTTTGACAACATTAAGGTCAGCAGCACAACCATTACAACAGCTGAGATTAAACTTTAAAACGTTGTCAGTTTAACATATCACCCATCACGACCCTTGGATAGGTCTCTGATGGAGGTGAGTATATCGGGGAACGAGTTGAATGTGTTCAGAACAAACTCGCCTACACACCGACACTGACACTGACAGTCCGTCCGCAGGGCTTAGTCACTGACAGTGAGTCAACACAGATAATATGTTCCGAGCCGGGTTCCGTTCTCGGGGTTACTCTGAAATGTTCGCGGAACACTCAGTCATTACTCCTGCCATCTGACGTGACATCTATAATTACAGCTGATAAATGTCACTCACCGAGTGTAATCGCCAAATATTTTATCCACCACATCCTGGGGCCCCGTATTCAAGCTGTCAACCTCTGACATCGACTCGGCGTTCAATTGAGACTTCTTCTGGTGTTGAGGCAGACAGCCCGCCATTTCAGTGTTGACTGAATTACGTTTCACACCATCAAACCAGAAAATTGCGAAATGTCTGGAACATCTTTCGGTTTTGGTGATTGCTAAGGGAGGCAACTTAATTGTGACCAATTAAAATGCGTACCGCCACCAAAATGTATCAAGCATTTCTATAACGCTCCGATTTTCATTTTTACATTTGATTATAAGTAGTGCAATATTATGTTTTGTCAATGTTCCGGTCAAATATGATGTCAACTTTAGCTTTAGGTTTCTTAAATATTGTGTGCGAGACTTGTACTTCTTATTTCGTTTCTTCCAAAATTCTTCTTTTGGAGCACGCACCTGTCAGAAGTTACTTCCCTTTACAAGATTGCACATGGTGGTGGTGTTCGTGCACATTTAGAAGTCACTATGGGAAAAGCAAAATCAAACAAGAAGTATGCAGTTATGAAGCGTATGATCAGCTTGAAAGATGGAAGAATCAAGAAAGGTGACAGGCTGAAGAAGAAGAAGAAACCCAAGCCAAAGGGACCATCACAAAATATGTCCATCAGAGAACTTCCACAGACATCATCAGCTATGTTTTTCCAGTACAACACACAACTTGGACCACCATATCATGTTCTTGTTGATACTAACTTTATCAACTTTTCTATCCAAAACAAACTGGACGTTATCCCATCAATGATGAACTGTCTATATGCGAAATGCATTCCCTACATAACAGGTAATTAATAATTATCAATTAATTGATACATCCAAATCTGTTGGCTGTCAGAGATAACATAATATTGGTGCATATTTTGGGCAAGATATCTGATATTTACTCATTTACTGATATTTCATGATAAAGCAATGTACGTGCAGATGTTTGACACTTGTTGGTCTGATCATGCTCATGGGTAAATAGTTATAGTAATTTGAAGCTCTTCTGAGCATGCCGAGAACATCACCCGTTGACTGTATAAAACATAATGGGAAAGACTTTCGCCTGTATCACCCCTCCAAAAGTTATGTATGTATGCATTGCCACTCAATCCTTTTAAATTAATCATGTATATTTTTTAGGGGGGATACGGGCAGAAGTCTTCCAAATAATGGGCTTAGATGTAAGACTTTGATGTAAATCTTTGCCATGGTTGGTTGGTTTGTTGTTTAACGCCGCACTCAGCAATAGTCCAGCGATATGATGGCAGTCTGTAAATAATTGAGTCTGGACCAGACTATCCAGTGATTGACATTATGAGCGTCAATCCACGCAATTGGGATCGATGACATGCATCAACCAAGTCAGCGAGTCTGACCATCCGATCATGTTAGTCGCCTCCTAAACAATGCTAAACGGATAGATGCAATATTCACTCACTGACTCACTAGATGTAAAACATGCACACAATCCCAGGCTTGCCCTGTTCAGAGTCAGTTGTTTACCATGTTTTCAGCTTGTCAAGATTAAGCTGGAATATTGCTGACTGTTTAACTAATTCATGAATTGTTCAATGTTACAGATTGTGTGATGGCAGAATTTGAAAAACTTGGCCGTAAATACAGAGTTGCTCTGAGAATTGCAAAGGACCCACGCTTTCAGCGTTTGCCTTGTTTGCACAAAGGAACATACGCTGACGACTGTCTGGTGCAACGTGTGACGCAACACAAATGTTACATTGTAGCTACGTGTGATCAGGCCCTGAAGCGAAGGATACGGAAGATACCTGGCGTTCCTATCATGTTCCTATCCCAACATCAATACACCATTGAGAGAATGCCTGATGCCTATGGTGCCCCCAAACTGTAAACTGAACTTTCCTGCAATGTGACCCTGCAGCTGTTTGATAATAATACTTGTGTGTCAAGTGGATATGATTGGCCAGGTATCAGAAATATATCACATGTTACTGGGTATTGGCAAACTTCAATGTCATAGGGATTTCTGTTGGGAATAGGTCCCTAGCAACCTATGCTGGTTGTAAGAGGCGACTTATTGGAGCAGCTGATCAGACTTGGTTGATGGCGTGTCCACATACCATGACGATGTGGATCGTTGCTCATAATATCAATCACTGGATTGTTTGGTCAAGACTTGATAATTTATAGCTAGAATATTGGAAAGTGCTGCGTTAAACACAACAACACATGCACACACATAATGTACTGTATACCTTGAATGCAGGTGTTAAAAAATCTGCCTATGCTACGATATTTAACGTTGGGTCTATTGACTTGGAATAATGTCCCTTTGTACATAGATGCCAACCCGATATTGACAGTTAAGAGTAACTGATAGTTTTCTTTGGCTATGCAATATACATTTACTCCATGAGGTTCAGTCTGTTGGGGATTTGTAAACCTGTGGAAGAAGTACAAAATTATTTTGGTTATGGTAACTTATTTTTCAAATGTTGTACAAATACGCTTTTTTCTGGAGTTCTGATTATTCCAGTCAACAGTTGAGTAGGCTAAATTGTGTGTAAAATTTGTAAAGTAATGTTGAAACCCTTCGTTGCACATCAATGTGTACCACAATTATATCAGAACATTGACTCCTTGTATGTTGAATCTTTGATAATGTATACTTCTTGGTTGACTCTGAATATATTTAATGCATTGATCAAATGTGTTGATTCTTTTTGTTTTCCATAACTTCTTGAATTACTCTGTGGGTGGTTCGGGTTATTGACCTGTGTTTGTTATGATTGCTTGTCATCGTACCCACCTGGTGTGGTACATTGTTCAACATCAATCAGTTGTTTGTCAGATCAAGACTTGATTATTCACAGGCTGTTGTTGTGTAGCACGAATAATGATGAGTGTGGCTTTAAAAAAAACTTGAATGTTTTTACGCTCACAGAAGAAGTGAATTCAGAGTGATTGAGGCTGGTTTTATGCCATTCTCACCAGTATTTCAGTCAGGCCAGGCTTTTTTTATTTTTAGGATTACAAATTTTTCAGCCCATAGTCCAGGGTTGGAGGAGAGGAAAAAAAAGCCAGATGGATTTTTAAAAAATGCAGGATGCCTCTGGCATACTTTGTGAACATATTTAGTGCTCAAAAGACCGCCATTTGTGATGATAAAGCCCCTTGTAACAATAAAAATTCTACCACTTACCGGACAATTGTCAAGGGAGGCTATTCATGTTCGGCTTCAAGATCAACAAAGATCAATTATGTATCTCTTTACTAGTTTACAATGGTAAATTCATATGTTTTTAACTGAAAGGTGAGGATAACAAATAAAATAACTTACTACCAGGCTGTCGGCAGGAAAAAAATATATGGAAATCTGATTATTATTTTTTACATTTTCTCAAAAATTAGAGTCGGCTGGTCTGTGATCCAAAACATATTAAACGCCTGGCCTTATGTCACAATGTGTCAGCTTCATGTCTGAGGAAAACCGGCAGTGATGCCAGTTGGAAGATGTTTCCCACTTTGGTGAAACACACAAGCATGGGTACGGTGCTGACAAACCAAGGATCATAATAGGGCAAATCTAGTATTTGAACCCATGATTAGCAGATCCTGGCACAATAAAGGGATGAAACTGCACATCATTCTGCAGCTGGACCACTAATGCCCCTTCAATTGAGAATTAGGACCCACTTGAAGATACAATAAAACAAAACTCAAACAGAGAATATAAACAGTTTATTTTAGTTTTCAACATCCCCAATAATTTCTTCATGATCCCCCATCTTCGAGGGCAACTTCGGACTGAGCCTGAACATAGAACGCACCTTGTTTGTAGTACTCCATAACTCTCACATAGAATGGCTGACCAAATGAATCGATCACAGTGGGAGACTCGGCCAGAGTACGGATGACCTCATACTTGCTCTCTTTCCCCTCCTTGCAGTTTTCTGTTGACCTGTCCAGAACAAACTCATTAAAGCCAGGTGCTTCGTTCATCATCTTCTGCCCCCAGGGCTGCAGAGCCAGGGCCTGGAAGATGCCATAAGTGTTGCACCTCAGGTCGGAGAATGGCTGCTTCGCGATGTCCCACAGAACATTGAAGGGTTTTGGGAATAGATGACTGAACCAGTTCTCCGTCAGGGCCAGGAACTCTGCTGTCTGGTCCTCCACCTGAAGTATAGAGAAATATGGGGGTACTGAAGCTCACCTACCAGGGATCATCAAATATCAGGTTGCCAACAGGTTCAGTGTCGCAGAAAATTCAGGTCACGTCACAAACCTGAATCAAAGTACCAGTATAGTCAAGTACAAAAGTAACTGAAACATATAATGTTATTGATAACTGAAAACATATTACATGGGTCTTCTAGTTGTGCATGTAACTGCTGTGAAGAAGAAAGTCCATAAAACTTAGATTGTCTGGTATGCCGTAACAAAAAGTCAAGTCATGTTCAGAGGATTTATCAGGGATTTGAAACTAAGTGCCCTTTTCAGACAAAATGGGAAAGTCCTTAGTTTCATAAATTCAGGGGTATTTTAATGTTTCATTCAATGCAAATCTTGCTTATTAGTAATAAATGGTGCAAAGCCATAACATGAATTATTATAACATATTAACGTAGCAAATTTTGTTTCAATGTGGGAATTTTTACTGATAATTGCTTCAGATGTAGGGCTGAATATCGACCTCTGAGCAGGTCTAGATAAATCCATGTGTTCTAAAGAATTAATATTATTATTTCCGCCATATCACTATATTAATTCCTGTTAAAGAAATAATTAATAAAAAAACTAAATATATTACCTTGAGTTGAAGGAGTGAGGCAACCGCCCGCAGACACCGTGCCCTCGTCTCAGAGATGGAGTTCTGTATGAGTTTGCCGACACGCTTCATGAATACTGTCATCTGGCTTCCTGCACAAAGATATCAGCTGACTTTAATACATACATCCAGCCTTAGAAATTCCTTTTTTGAAAGATTAGTCCAGAGGACTAGTGGAAACCTTATTTTACTAGTCCTCAGAGTTTGTGGCTAGTCCTCCTTGAACGCAGCAACAATGTATACAATGTTTACATTATCTATAAGTTTTGTTAAGTTCCAATTTGAAGCAATACTGGGGGCACGGGTGGCCCAGTCGTCTAAGGCGCCGAGATTCGCTGTGCAGAGTTGCGTCCCTTAGGCATGCCAGAAACCTATGATTGTGGGTTCAAATCCCGGTTCGCCCAGATTATGTTTCTAGGTTTTGTCAGCACTATACCCGTGCTCGTGGGTTTCCCCGAAGTGTTAAACGTCTGAGACCTGCATCACTTCGGGCTTTCCTCCCATATTAAGCTGACACGCCTAGATATAACTGGAATACTGTAAAAAACGGCGTTAAACCCAACTCACTCACTGAGAACTGGTTCAGAATAATGACCCTCAAGCACAATCATTTTAGTCTTGAAAGGATTCAGTTTCCAAAGTCAGCAATCGGCATACCTAGTTTTTCCAGTGCCAGTTTTCCATCAATCGTGCTGCCAATAAAGCTGATGGTATCGATGGCTGTTGCCTGGAGACTGGAGTCGGCTCCGTCAACACTGTGGAACACGAGGTTGGTGAACTTGTTGAACTTGCCACACACTTCCTTCGGATGGTACCTGGCCAGTCCTCCGAAGAATTTCATTAAACCTGAAACAGGCATTAGGATGTCCTTGTAGTCAACATTGTATTAAGTTGTCATCTTGGAGGTTACGGTTGACAAACTTTGTTTCTGGTTTCAATATGGTCACCATGACTTGCATTTATAACATAATCATCTGTCTACATGCTCAACCAACCCATGAAGATCGGGGGTAAAATAGGTCTTCAGCAACCCATGCTTGCCATAAAAGGCAACTGTGCTTGTCATAAGAGCTGACTTAACGGGATTGGGTGGTCAGACTTGCTGACTTGGTTGATACATGTCATCGTATCGCATGGATTGATGATCATGATGTCAATCACTGGATTGTCTGGACTGGATTATTTACAGACTGCCGTCACATAGCTGGAATATTGATGAGTGCGGCATTAAACAACAAATAAACAAACAAACAACATGCTCAACCTGCTGGTGTGTTTACAACGACAATACGTGGGGTGTATATAACTTATAAGAGACAACTTTATCTAAAAAACAGGCCATCATCTGAGTATTTACAATGTCTGTGTGATGCCACACCCCTTGTTATAGCGCAAATAATCGCGATGACCATGGCCTTCAGAAAACCTATGATCTGACAACATATATGTCTAACCGGACGTGTATATTATATTTTGTTTGTTGTTCAACACCACAGTCAGCAATATTCCAGTTGTATGATAGCATTCTGTAAATAACTGAGTCTGGACCAATCTATTTAGTTGCATCTTATGACAGGCACAGGTTGCTGGAGATCTATTATCTTACAAAGAATCCGAACAGGTGTCTTCATTAGCAATCAGACAAACTCGTCTCATTCTGAGCTTGTTTGCTACAAAAGAAAACCCTGTTTAAGGCTGCTTAAACACCAAGGGCTATTAAAGACTGTGCAAATATTGTATAAAAGCAAGACACTACGTGTGAAATTTCTAAGCCAACACTGGCTTCCACAGTAGATATTGCTTGGGTGAGATCAAGCGATACCTACACAGTGTCGACCATTGTGATGTCATTGGTTATCATGACATCAAAATCAAATGACATCACTAATGGCTCTGCTACTGAAGCTGTTAGCAGTACATCTTACACTTAAGACACTGCTTATTACTGTCTACAAACTGTAAAAGTTGGAAGAATGATGTTGGATGATAAATAAAATCTCACCCTCGTGTCTTTTGATATAAAATATATCCACACTTGTTGATATATTTGATATCAAAAGACATGAGGGTGAGATTCTCTATTTCTAAGCCAACGCACCTGGAAGCAGGAAGCCCCCCATGGGATCGGACTCCACAGTGGACATCATATCCTCCATTCTACCCACAATGCCCTGCTCGTCAAGGAAGACAATCCCGTGTTGTTCCTGCGCCACGTCTGACAGGAGTTCCAGACAGTTGAGCTGGACCAGGATGTCGTCCTTGTGCACTTCATTGACCAGCTGCTGGATGTAGCCGGCTTCTGCTGACCGCTGCAGGCCGATGGGTGATGCTCGACTGATGTCCACCACCATCTGAAGTCAACATGCATCTGTTAGGCGATATTTGTTGGATTACAGATACACTGAGTCTAAAAATATGATATGCATAAAGAAACAATCTAACTTGCAACAAAGAAAATATGTGACTACAATGCGATAAACTGTCATATGCATACTGCAGCTTATTGTGACAACAAATAGACATGTAAATTTACTGCAGGCTATAAGAGCCTATAAACTTTGAAACTACGACAAGTGATGTACCTGCCACTGGCCTACGGGCAGGCACTTATCTCGAACACTGCAAACGTGACCCCAAAGTTCACTATATCCGTTATTTAGTTGTAATCAATTTTTAAATGGTAAAATATATTACAAATGGCCTAAAAAAAACAGCCGATCATATCTGTCAGTTCATTGTATCCAAGCGTGTTCCTTATAAACATAGTTTACTGCAGTAACATACAACTTTTTGTTTTCAAAAAAGGAGCAAAACAATTTTGGTGATCCTAAACCCTAAAATATATGAAACCCCCCCGAATATCAATGGTCAGTCCATAAATGACAGTCACCTGGTAGACTCGGAACTTGACGGTGTCATTCTTTTCCATGGCTTTCTCAAGCTGCTGCTCCATTTCCGGACTGTAGAGGGCTGCTAGGCCATCAGGGGTCTTGCCTGGACAATGATAACAGAGTGAGTTGGGTTTGATGCTGCTTTGAACAGTGTTTCAGTCCTATCATGAAGTGTCAGCTTGATGTGCGTCCTGTATGCTTACAACCTTTGTGTGACCCATGGGGAACTTCATGGTGCAGACAAACCAAGAAATAAAATCAGGGTGAGTCTGGGATTCGAACCCATGATTATAGGATTCCTCGCAACAATAGGGGTGCCTTAGAACTGTGCCCCTGAAAAACGATTTGTGAAGTGAAATGCGGTTTAACGTCAAAATTTCGCCCATAGTGTGACATGCATGAATGTGTGTGTGTGGCTGTTTGTACTAGCTTGGACTTTTGGGATGTTTAATGTTTTGGTGAAACCCAAGAACATGTATAAGGAGCATAATTGGGATGAATCCAGGATTTGAACCATGAATCCAGGCATAATCATGAACATTCATAAAAAGGAGTAATGCAAAAACATTTTGTACAAAAAAAATATCAACATTCTGCATGACACTCTTGCTCTGCTAACGTCACATTGGTAATATTTTGAGCCACATAGTGACCTACTAGAGCTGTATAAAGTTCCAAATATCTAATTTCAAAGTAGTTTTTATCTCCAGGTTGTTAAGTCAGAGGTAGCCCTTACCCAGATTTGTGAGGATGATGCCTGCTGGTTTGGCTACAGTCAGGCTATCGTCAGCCAAATGGTCTGCTACCTTAAGCACAAGCTCTGGGACTTCAAATAAACTGCACACATTCTCAACAGAGGCTCTGGACAACTAGATAACAGAGGAGAAACTGTAAGATCATCATTGGCAAGAACTGAAAAATAAAAATTAAACATCAACCTGATTTCTTTTTATATTTTCTTCTCACTCTTGGCAGATGCAGTAACAATTAAATCTCTTGTCATTGAAATTTGCTTGAGACTGTTGTAAATCTTTCATGTGAGAGGTGGATTGAATGTGATACTGATGTGGTCAAAACCAAAGACGCATGACATAATTTCACTTTGATGTTGCAGAGTTTAAGAGGATTTTGCCATAATTAAACAAAATCAAATTCTTAATTTCTTTAAATTTTGTACATTGCTGAACTTTTGGGTCAGCGTATCCATATATCCAAAGTAATGATAATTAAGACACCCCACTCACCTGCTTAAGAGCCAGCAGTTTGACCCGCTGTGCTGAGTGTATGAGGCACTGGTTGAATTCCATCTTGAAGTTGTGCAGAACCAATGCTGGACTTACAGATGACATCAGTTGGTCTAAGACATCGCAGCCAAGGTTCACCAGTTCTCTGTGTAGTATGCAGGATCATTTCATGTCAATCAAATTTGATTTAGACCTAGAACACTATATTTTCCTTTACACAAAACTTTATCAAATGACAGTCTTATGATTTTGGCATCACTGGATATTGGTAGCAGACAGCATTTTTATCTAACTGGTAGAGAAACAAAAGCATATAGCAAACTAACTGGTAGAGAAACAAAAGCATATAGCAAATTAATATCTATATGGAAAAGATGTCAAGATGAAGTGCATTTTATAATAATGGTCATTTTCATTTTGTGAGACTGTCCTTCTCCAGGGTTTGTAACTGCAGTGAAAACAGTAGAAATATACCTAGAGAACATGGGGGATACAATTTCCTTTCTATCTTTTCAGCATTGGCTAATATTACATTATTGCCTCTCATTATTGACAGTCTCACCGAAAACAGTACATTATTACAGTGTTAGAAACTAACAGTTTTAGGTCACGGGTCCTTATAATGACAACATATAGCAAAACCCTTAAAAAGTACATATTTCTACTAGTCCTTATGATACCTTAACTATTGAACAATTTGGCAAGGACTGCAGGATGAGTGCCAATTTCTAACACTGACATAAGTACTGATCACCATGATCACTTAATGTGTAAAATAGTCGTATACCGGGGACACAGAACAGGGTTTTGCATCACTGCAGTTTACTGTCGACAGCACTAGATCCCTAAAATCACATCAATAGGGTAAGTTGTGTTAGGGTTAGAGGAGGTTAACCCAGCTCTGTCTTTGGCTCTTAGATCCCCTTTCCAACCAAACACTGATTCCCAATCCTTAGGGTTTGGCACCCCTTGCCTATCAAACACCCCTTTATAATCTTTAGGGTTAGTTGTGAGTTAGGGTAAGGGTTAGCTCTCTCTTAACAGTTAAATCCAATGTATCTTGAGGAAAATCCATACAATTTTAAACAAATTTCGAGTTTCGCGGAGAAAATGGCTTATGTGTATACATGTGCAGAAAGGTAAACAATCAGGTACTGATCACTTGGTAAACAAACTCTAAATACCGTATTCGATGTTATAAGCGCCCCGATCTAAGCGCCCACAGCAATATTTGCTATTATTTTGGCTTGTGAATAATCCCAATTAGCACCCCTTCCGATTGATCAATGTTTCAATTGATCAGACTTATTAATACGCACTCGTGATTTATGCACCCTTAATTATGGGCAATTAAATTCTGAAAAAAAATATATCGGCGTATATAAACATTTCAGGCTGTCAGCATAACCCATGCAATTTATGATCTTTCAACTATGTTTTTTTCCCACAAAAATAATATTCAAATAAGAGCCACCTATTTCTAATTTTGAGAGCGCCCTGTGCGCTTATTGCGTCGAATACAGCATTTTTGGGTTTAAGAGACTTGCTCAATAGCCCAGCTTCAAGCTGGCAACATGAGTTTGATCACCTACATGCGCTAACTAAATCTGAAAAAGTGAGCCCTGTAAACAAATGGTAAAGTGTAGCTGACAGCTGTAATGGGGTCTGACAGTCAAGGGTCATGTCTTGACTAAAGGACCCCATCGCAGCTCTAAGATAGGTAAACTGCAGTACCCCCAGTGATTTGCTCGTGACAAATTGCTTTTTGACATACTCATGATCTTGTCAAATTTTGAAAGAAGAGGCGCCTCACACTGATAAATAGGCTAATACTAGTAATAGGAAGAAATAATGTGGATATAGAATCATAGATATTGCATCGTGACTTTGGTATTAATACAGCCCCACGCAACATAGCCTTTTGTCACGTTGATTACGTCAGAATGAAACACCTTGCAAGCTGTTGCACTGCGTCATAAGTGATATTTTCCATTGCAAAATCCTAAGTCATCATTGAAGGGAAGACATTTACTCACGTATCACTGGAGTTTAGGCAGTCAAAGATATTGGCAAACGATACATTGGGGATAACATCTCGCAGAGTAGATGGGTGGACAGTTGTCACGACGGTTTGTACTGATTCAAGCACCGCTTTTGGATCGTCAGAGTTCGGCAAAGAATCCAACAACTCAGCAACTCTTCCCGCGGCAGCCATCTTGGAAACTACCGGAAGTAAATATAATACGGAAGATGTGTTTTTTTTTCTCTCAGCGGACCGGACTGTATTCCGAACACTACCCATAAAAAATAACGACCAACGAAAATGATGCAGTTATGGTTGAGCTATTTCACACCATAAAACACGTTGTCCACTGTGATGATTAAAAAGTATCCCTTTTTTTTTAAATCGCCTCGTACGATATATATAACTTGCTGCGAACCAATTTCTACCGGGAATACTCACTCGGGTACATTGACAGGGCTTGGCAGAAATGGCATGGAATGATAAAAATAATGGTCGAATGAAATTATGTATACTTATTCTTATTCTACAAATAATCTACATATTTCTTTTCGATTATTTTTCATATGTCATATGAATTCAAATTGACCATGTAGTAAACGGGTGTATGTAAATTCGTAATCCAGATCCGTACCGTCCATAATCGCGAACCGTCTGCGATCTTAACCCTCTTTGTGCCAATGGTCCCTCACTATCCATATCCCCTACACCCATGAAGCTCCGGGTTTGAATTGGTCTCCAGCCTTCGATGCTTGTCGTAAGAGGCGACAAACGGGATCAGGTGGTCAGGCACGTTGGCTTGGTTGATGCATGTAATCGTATCCCAATTGTGTAGCTAGATGTTGATGATGTTAATCACTGGGTTGTTTGGTCCAGACTTGATTATTAACAGACCGCCGTAATATTAAACCGGCGTTAAACAACAAACAAAACACCCCATAAGTGCATAGAAGAATATGTCCCGAGAAAATGTCCCTCTTCAACTGTGAATTAAGATGCCAAACGCTGAGTTATCTTCCGAGGCAAGGGAGTTAACCGACTGTAAAAGTCTAGTTTCTACAGCACGTTTATAATCAACTCCCTTGATGACATTGAGTACGCAAAATCAACATAAAAAAACATCATCACCGCAATCATCTCAGCTGTAACATCAGTTTTATTTTTTCAAGTATTGCATATTTCTTATCGACTGTGTGTTCAGTATAAATGTATGTTACTCGTAATGCCGCTGATAGAGTGTCAAATCACACAAGGCAATGTAGCTTAGTACAACATCTCGACCTCATCAAAGTTGACTTTTGTCGGTGTAGAATATTCACACAAATAAATGGCATATCAATGTTTCAACCTTGTATATTTCAATGCAGGTGTCCGTTAGCGTTGTCACGTGGTGTCGTGTCAAGTTTAACCAATCAGAGCTCACTTCCGGTGCACGAGTTTTTCGTGCGCGTTAATTCAAGACGCTTTGATGCCAGCAGACGTAGCATCTATATTCAACATCTGCACCATGAACCAGGACCACAAGGTAAGTGCAGGCAGGAATATACAATGAAACAACCAGTACTTATCCAAATAGTGAGTTCCATATGCACAGTATCCGTATTTGTATTATTAGTGTTGGGAGTGAGAGAATTAGTAAAGTTGACCTACAATACTAGCCATACTAATTTCAAGGTTCCTTACAGGAAATATGAGGGTCCCGTAAAGTAAAGAAATGATGTAGTGTAATATACTGTAAGATTAAATAATTGCTTTAATTACAGGAACTTCTTGTGAAGAATTTGTACAATTGATATTATCGTGTATCCCTCGGGACGCAAAATATAGTATATTCTGCGTCCATTCTGTACGCTTGAGCGTACTGTACGCACATTACTGCGTCCATTCTGTACGCTTGAGCGTACTGTACGCACATTACTGCGTCGCGTAAAACCCTGATGAGGGTTAAACACCGCCTCTAACAGTATGCTAGGGTTGTAAGGAAGTACCCACAGACCCCTGAAGCAGGATAGAGATATTTCTGAAACATTGGGCCTATAGATACGTATGGGTCCGGTGTTTCAGTAATATCAATATGCTGCTTTAGGAGCCTGTGCGGAGTGCGACACGAGGAGAAGATGAAAATGAATAGGTTTCTGACGGTAATGCCCAAGAATTCAAGTCAATACTAAGTTCAGCTGACATCAAATTGAAGTGAGATGAAATCAGGTTTAACATCGCGCGAACACCAATAGCCTGCTCACACACAGTATACTGTCTCCGAGCCGACCAGTCCTTGTTTTACCCCCTTTATGCCGAGCGCCAGGCAGGGTAACGCCAAAATACCATCATTTAGCGTCTTTTAGTATGATGTGGCCATGTGCACTGAACTTCCTCTGCCCGTCGAGCAAACGTTCTGTCAACTAGAGCAAAGGGGCAGACATTCACACAAAGAAGAAATGAAAATGACACTAATTATTGATGTTTCTACTTCACACGAGATACAAAAATCCTTCACAAGGAAATATGTTTTTGTGTGTTATGAATAATGAAGAGACTGTCCAAAAAGAAACGTTCCTCAGTCTGATTTCCATCCTCGACTATGCGCGTATAATAACATATGAAAATGAATAATCTAGGATGTGTGATTTCTTGCCCTGCTGTTAGCTTTTTGGAACGTTGACAAAATACATTAGGTAAGTGATGTGGATGTATAATGAAAGCATCTGGTCATTTAATGTTTACCATATTTCCAGTATCCCTAATCCCGCTCTAGAGTACATGCATCAACGGCTTTGGACCATGCACCTCACAAATCAGATTGTTGTTTGACGCCGCACTCAGCACTATTGCATCTACATGACGACAGTCTGTAAATAATCGAATACTGATCGGGCAATCCAGTGACTGACAACATGAGCATCGATCCATGCTTATGGGGGATGCGATCACATGCATAAACCAAGTCAGTGAGCTTAGAAAACCGATAAATAATGGCGCCTCCTAACTTCCTAAGGGTTGATTTTAGTGCATTTTTTATGATCTGAAACTGGCTTCCACGGGATCTATTGCTCTCAAGCGATATTTCCTAGGAGATATCACTGCAATGAAATTTCACCACAATACTTCGCAGACCATTGTGACGTCATTATCAAATAGCAGCGGTAATGTCCCTGCCACTGAAGCGAGATAGGTGAACCTTTTACACACAAGACACTGTTTATTAAGTGACTACAAACTGAATGATTTTAGATGATACATAGAATATTACACTCTTGTCTTTTGTTATCAAATACATTATTAAGTTTCGATAAATGTTTAAAACTCCTCGGCCAGCAGACTTTTATCGACTCGTGTTGATATAATTGATATATAATTAGATTCTCTATTTATCACACGCACTCGTTATGATAGGGCGACGAGAAGGCTCAGACCAGGGCTAGTGTTAAAGTACTGGCTTCGTTCAATTAACCAGATTGGTGTCTCCTGTAGTGTTATTGCGGGAAAATTGCTATAAGTGATGTTAAACCATTCACTCTCACGTAATAACAGCGAGGGCGATACCCTATTCTTAACAATATATTTTGTTTTACGTTGTTAAATAGTTAATGATCCGGGGTAGAATAGGCCTCCAGCAACCAATACAACGTAAGAGGCGACTATGCTTGCCGTAAGAGACGACTAACGGGATCAGTTAGTCAGGCTGGCTGACTTGGTTGATGCATGCAATCGTATCCTAGTTGCGTAGATCGATGCTAATGATGTCAATCACTGGCCCAGACTCGATTATTAACAGCCCTTCGTCATATAGCGGGAATATTGCTGAGTTGCGCGGCGTTTAACAACAAACAAACAAACATTAGCCTATACATTCTCCTATATGACGTTCTTGAAGTGGGAGAGTCTGTACTGTCTTTATTGCTTAAACGTCGTCAAATTATTACCAAACAGCGTGGGCGGCTGACAAGTCAACGTGCGTGTATATGCACCAGCCGTAAGTTAATGATGAGTCCATTTGTATGGCGCCAAACTCCATACAAGCTCGTGTGCTAATGGCGCTTACATTATTACCCCAGTCAATGGATCAGTGAGCACTCGATTTTCATTCTCAGCTCCCTGGGGAGTATACAACCCAAACTGCATGTTCATCCTACCGGGTACCCACTCACTGCTGGGTTAACACAGGCACATTTTGAACAAAGTCACCTCCCAAAAAGACACCACATGTGGTACATGTGCTTCAGTGTGGGGCAGGACCGAAGCCATAGAAACTCTCAGGAGTCAAGCTGCTGAACGTGGTCACCCATCCAACTACTCTCCGAGACCGACATTGCTTAACTTCACCTGGTTAGTGATCTGTGCGCTGTGCACAGGACCACGTACGTGCAACAAAGTTATCCTTTAGCCGCGTGACCCCAGTTAGTGTCGTGGTGTTAGATCACCTGTTGGAACAGCTGTGGTAGAAAAACCCAAACTCTATCAAGATTGTCAGGTGCCATGACAGGTGCGCGGTATTGAAATGAGTTACGAGGACAGATTTGTGTCCCTTGGGCACGCCAGAAAACTATGATCGTGGCTTCGAATCCCGGATCGCCCCGATTATGTTTCAAGATTTGTCAGCACCATATCCGTGCTCGTGGGTTTCACTAAAGTGGTAAACGTCTGAGACCTGCATCACTTCGGGCTTTCCTCCCACATTAAGCTGACATGTCATGACATAACTCTGATACAATTCAAAGCGACGTCAAAACCACTCGCTCACTTATTTCGTATACGATGGCATTTGGATGCTGACTCTAGGATTTGCCCGACCACGCGAGTTAAATGTGTAAAGTTCCCCCAACCATTGTTTACAGCTTGGTTAAAAACTTGGTTCAGAACAGCTTAAGTATTGGTGCCGATTAGAAACCAGGTCAACGTCTAGGACCTTCACCAACGAGGCTTACAGCTAATTAAAACCACTCACTGAATCCATTAATGTTGATCCGACCCGTGAAGATCCGGGGTAGAATAGGTCTTCAGCAACCCGTGCTTGTCGTAAAAGGCGACTACCCGGGTAGTCAGGCTCGCTGACTTGGTTGATGCATGTTATCATATCCCAATTGCGATGTCAATCACTAGATTGTCTGGTCCAGACTTGATCATTTACAGACCGCCGTCATATAGCTGCAATATTGCTGAGTGCGGCGTTAAAGAACAAACACATTAAAAAGTAATGTTGATCAGGATTGAATTTTATTTAGTATTGAGGTGAGGTGAGCTAAAAATGAGGCTGAATGTCCCGTTCAAGATTATCGCACTTCTTTAGCGTGTTTGTGTGTGCTCTGTGTGTGTGTGTGTATGTGTGTGTTGTGTCTGTGTCTGTGCCCCTTTCCCGTGTCTGCGTCTGTGTCTGCTTGTACTAGTCCGAACTAATGCCGATTTCATAGTGGAAACCCGCAGTTTAACATGAATACCCAACTCAGACACAGATACTGATTCCGAACCGACCAGTTCTGGTTTTATACCCTTAATGCCGAGCGCAAGTCAGGATAAAGACAAGTGCCATCTTTTAACGTCTTTTGGTATGACGCTTCCGGGGATCGAACCCCCGACCATCTGCTGTTCGTTCAGACGCTCTACCACTCGCAGTCTATTTACTTCTCTCTTACATAACATTAACGTTTTGGGTTGCACAGGGTGTGTCTGTCTGTCAGGGGTACTGCTGTTTGGGGACATTAATAACATCTATTTGTCCAGGTATACTTAGTATGTTTATTGAAAAGAGATAAGCTTTCTAGAAAACAAAGATCAATGTTTTGGTTTGTACAGGGTGTTTCTGGCCGGCATGTTGCCGCTGTTGCAGTCATCGGAGGTGCAGCAGTACCTACAGGTGATGTCGGAGGACAGTGTAGTGGGGTCGACGTCCACACACTCGCTGTTGTCAGAGGTCTGTTCGTACCATTGCCTTTGACATGTTCCTTCGTCGACACACCTACACGGAACAAGACACAATCACATCGTTGTTGAGAAAGACAAGGTAAATATTGGATGTTTTTATTGTTTGTATAAGTCCGCATTACATACTGGGAAATTTAACAGTACATATGTCGATTTAAAGGGGTTAAACGGAAATGAGTGCAATAACTAATGCATTCGTCAATTTCACAACACACTTTTCCTCCAACCTTAAACAATATACAGTATCGATTTGAGATATTTCCGCATATTTACCGAATTCCAAACACGCTAAACCTGATCGGAATACAATCTTAAATTCTTACCTTCTGATGTACTTCGTTGAACCATCTGTGTGTTGAAAGATGTCGGTCATACAGAAACCCGCGTCTGATGGACAAGGGGAGGCTTTGGGCACGATAGTTTCCATAATGGTGCAATCTGTTCCCGTGTTGGCATCCCCGCACTTGTAACACGATCGCTGTATTGCTTTCGCTGTGGATAGAGATGTTGTTGTAGGCGCTGTGGTGACAGCGGCAGTTGTAGATGGACCAGATGTAGTTGTTGTGGCAGTTGAGGGTGTTGCAGGCGTTGTGGTGACAGCGGCAGTTGTAGATGGAGTAGATGTAGTTGACGATGTTGCAGGTGCCGTGGTAATGGTACTTCCAGCTGTAGAAGTGTTAACTGATGCCATATATATGTATTTTATGGAATCGGTTGCCGTAGTAAGTGATCTCACAGACATGTATTTAAAGGAAGTGGTTGTAGATATGGATAACGGCCTCGTGGACACTTCATAAAAGAATGAACAGTTTTATCGTGTAACTGGCAATTATACATAAGGCAAATCAACTGAAGGATACCAACCCGTTACACAAGTATGACATGTCTTCCCACACAGAGCCGGTCCGAGTGAGTTGCTGCAGACATCCGACATGGTGCTACAGATCGAGTCGTGGTCTATGCAGGTGTCAACCGGCTTGGTAACCGCTGTCATATAAACGTCATACATCATAAACACAGGTAACATACACACAGTGACAATATGTCATACATACAGAGGTCATGTGTCATATGTAGAAGGGTATTATATGTCAAACAAAGACAGGTAACATACACACAGTGACAATATGTCATACATACAGAGGTCACAATCAAATGACATCATTCATCTCTCTGCCACTGTAGCTGAGTGGCACTTAAGATACTAAATATTATTGTTCTCATACTGAAAAGTCGGGAGAATGATTTTTGGAAGATAAATAGAATGTCATCCTTGTGTCTTCCAAGCAGAATTTTATCAACTCGTTTTGATACAGTTGATCTCGGGAGACACCCGGGTAAGATTCTCTTTATCCGCCACAGTGCAAATTATTCCATCCTTCATAATATCTTTACCGCACCCGTAACAATATCGCTCGAACACTTTCCTTTCTGTGGACTTGCTTGTAGGGTTAAGTCAGTACGATCCTTTCTAAAACAGTATACTGCATTTGAAGACAATGTTTTTTAAGGAACCTTTTACACGGTCTTCAGAGACTCCAGCTGTAGAGGTTACTGATCTCATAGGCATATATTTAATGGAAGCTGTGTAGATATAGCTTATGGTTTCGGGGACTTTGCATAACTGAATCAAGACAATGATTTTTTAAGGTACCTGATACATGGGCTGTAGTGGTGGTTGAGGTGACATCGACATTTGGAGACGGAGTAGATGGAAACGATGCAACTGGTGCCGTGGTTTTTGAGACTCCAGCTGAAGAGGTTACTGATCTTATTGATATATATATATATTTAATGGCAGCGTTCACCTCCGCAAAGAAGAGACTGTCTGAACAATGGAGTGACGTCATCAAAGGTTTATAATGATATATATTTAATGGCAGCGGTTGTAGATATGGTTTATGGTCTTGGAGACATTGCAAAACTCATTCAACAGCTTTATTGTGTAACTATCAACTGGATGATACAGACCTGTTACACAAGAATGACAGGTCTTCCCACACAGAGCCGGTCCGAGTGAGTTGTTGCAGATATTCGGCATTGTGCCACAGATCGGGTTGTGGTCTATGCAGAAGTCAAAGGGCTTCGTAATCGCTGTCATATAAACGTCATATGTCATACATACACAGGTCATGTGTCATATATGGAGAGGTAATATGTCCAACAAAGAAAGAAAGGTAATATGTTATATATAGAGAGAGCTCATATGTCAATACAAACAGAAGTCATGTGTCATACGACCCGTGAAGATCCGGGGTAGAATAGAGCTGTACTATTTACATTCAGGATACTTGTTATCACTGTCTATAAGATAACTGCGCGTAACTCGCAATGGACAATGAAGAACGAAGTATGGTTTCTTTCACGATAAAACATTGTTCTATCATGACGTCATTCCTGGAGATTCGAACATGCACTCGCAACCTAATGACGTCGTATATTGGACGGCGTTATTTCTGAGAGGGGAGTGTATAGTGAGTTGTTCCCCATAGATGTAGCTGGGCAACGCAGATTAACGCGATGGCCGACCGATCGCACCCAAAGGCGGGAGAGATATGACAATCGGTATTGGGAGAAAAGGTACAGGTAGTCGACTTTAGGATTGTGAGAATATTCGGGAAATGCCCTCCTGTGCATACAATGGACATGTCTGACATTGCCGAGGTCGGATTCAATTGAGGGTGTCATCATTATTTAAATAAGGGCAGATATTTGTAAAGCTTGTAAATTTTATCATTATCCTTAAAGAGGCTGTACATCATGTTTATATCTCATATAAGAAATAAACGACTCGTGGTCGTTGTTTATCGTACAAAAAACATCAACACTTGCGCCCCTCATGTTTTTTTCTCCCTGTTTTATTGTACGATAAACAACTTCCACTCGTCGTATATTTCTTAATTACAAACTGCGGGAAGAATGATTTTAGATGATCAATAGAATGTCACTCCTTTGTCGTCTAAACTCATATATTTGTAACTTTTATCGACTCGTCTTGACATTTTATCACTGAAGACACCCGGGTAAGATTAACTATATCCGCCACAGTGCAAATATATTTTTATTCAGATTACCGCACTCGTAACACTATCGCTTTAACAATTCCTCTTTGGTGGACTTGCTCGCAGTCGTCACGTCCCTACGAACGTTTCTAGAGCAGTTTACTTTGCCGTGAAAGGCGACTATGCTTGTCGAAAGAGGCGACTAACGGGATCGGGTGATCAGGCTCGCTAACATGGTTGATGCATGTCATCGTATCCCAATTGCGTGGATCGATGCTCATGATATCATTCACTGGATTGTCTGGTCGATTATTTACAGACCGCCATCATATAGCTGGAATATTGCTGAGTGTGGCGTTAAACAACAAACAATCAAATTAAAGCAGTTTACTGCATTTGAAGACAATGGATTTTTGAGGTACCTGTTACATGGAGGGAAGTGGCAGTTGTAGATGGAGTAGACGTAGTTAACGATGCTACAGGTGTCGTGGTGTTTGTACCTCCGGATGTAGAAGTTACTGATCCCATTGACATGTAATTAGTGGAAGGGGTTGTATGCTAAGAGAAAAAAGTAACTCTGCATACTTTAAAGTTTTATAATGCTATGCTATTGAAACTTACAGCATAGTAGTTGGTCATTCGTCTAATCAAATGAGACCGCCTCCGTGGTCTAGTGGTAGAACGTCCACCCGGAGAGCGCAAGGTCCGGGGTTCGATCCCTGGCCGCGTCATACCAAAAGACGTAAAAAGATGGTACTTGTTGTTACCCTGTCTGGCGCTCGGCATTAAGGGGCTAAAACAAGGACTGGTCGTCTCGGAGTCAGTATACCGTATCTGAGTGGGGTATTCATGTTAAACTGCGGCATGGTATCTCAGTGAGCTAGCACTATAAATCGGCATCAGTCCGGACTAGTACAAGCAGCCACACAAACACACACACGTACATGCACGTCGCTATATAAGTGCAATAATCTTGGACGCGACGTTAAACCTAATTTCACCTCACCTCACCTCTAATCAAATGTTTTATCAAAACAAATTCATTTACAAAAACCGTACCTGTTTACAGAGCGACGCGCCCTTAATGAAGGATGGTGTAGCAACTCAATAAACAATGTCAATAACGGGTGTGACCAACATTAGCATTGATACAGGCGAGGATGCGGCGGCGCATTAAAAACACCAGATGAATGAACGTCGCATGGAGGATGTTGTTCCAAATGACCCAGCTGAGATTACGTTACCGGCTTGTCCTGATCCCGGCTGTCGTAGGCGTCAGTCCATCTCATCCCAGACATTTTCTCTAGGGGGATAGGTCTAGAGAAACAGCCGGCCATGGCAGTACAGCCAGGTTATGCTGCCTCAAAAAGACTGTTACAACATGGGGAACATGAGGTCGGGCATTATCCAACTGCAACGTGACGGTACGTTCCTGCATTTGCACAAAGGGTAGAACATGAGCTCGAACGATGTCGTCCCGGTAGCATACGCCATACACATTGCCATCAACAATGATGAGTTGTGTTCTCCCATGGGTTGTGATGCCACCCCATACCATTACACTTCCACCCCTAAACTGACGACGATGAGTAACGCAAACGTCACTAGAATGTTCTCCCGAACGTCTCTAGACCCTTGTATGACCATCTGAGCTGTCCAGATGAAACCTGGACTCATCTGTGAACAGCATATTGACTCAGTCTTCTTATGAACCTCAGATGCTGTTTACACCGAGCTAATCGTGCCTGACGGTGACATTGAAGCAAAATTGGGCCTATCGCGGGACGTCGGGGCCGGATGCTGTGCTCCCTCTACGGATTGAGTTCAGTTCTGCCACTAATTGGTCTCAACGCAGAAATTGTCCGAGCTGTTAATGTGGCAGTTTGGTATCGATTCCGTTTATGCACCAAGCGAATATGGTTGTCTTGAAGACCTAACGTCCCACGTTGACGACCGTCCTGTCGTTTCCCTGCTTCAGATATCGTCTCCAAAGAGATGATGTTTTGCTTCGATGAACATTAAAATGTCTGGCAACTTCGTTTTGAGCCATTCCTGTTTGCAGCATACTAACGGCGCGTGAATTTCATCATGCCGTGTCATTGCGTAATCGTTATTTACGGTTAAAGAGAAGTGTTTTTATGAGCACCTGGCAGCTTAACAATCATTGTGTGCTGTTCACATTACAAAGCCGCCGTCATATGGATGGAATATTGTTGTGTGCGGGGTAAAACAACCAACAAAAGACACACTCACCTTTATGACAAAGACCACAATAGCTAGGGCATATGGCGCTGGCGAGAATGTCACTACATATGTTTTGGAGACTGTGACATCCGTCTTCTTTCATCAAATCCGTGCAGGGAGGGAGTAAGACCCCTGTAAAAGAAGTTGTCTCAGTAGATGTGGTCGATATGTTAGGCCTTCGTTTTTATATTTGTTGTTTTACGTTTTGTTCTCTCAAAACCTTGTGTTGGTTGTCGAAACATCCTTCATTAATCGTTTATTATTTATTGTTTTGGTAAAACAATACGGTCGGAAAGATTTCAGTTGTCTATTTTTCTTTCTTGTCATATATGACAGATAAGGTAATGTTAGACCGAGTTCTTAATGAGCGGATGTATTGGAATACATCAACATGACCTGTGAAGATCCGGGTTAGAATTGATCTTCAGGAACCCATGCTCGCTTAATTAGGAGCGACTAACGGGATCGGGTGGTCAGGCTCGCTGACTTGTTTGATGCATGTAATCGAAATTGCGTAGATCGATTTTTATGATGTCAATCATCGGATTGTCTCCACAGGACTATTTAGAGACCGCCGTCATATAACTTGAATATTGCTGAGTGCGGCGTTAAACAAACAATACATACATATTACGTTTTGAAAATCGACACAGAATCCAAACATGATTTCATACTTGTTTTGTTCTTTCCTGTCTGATATCGTCAGATCTAAATTCGATACATCGGTGAATCGCGACACACCCAGAATATTGATGAACCTTCAAGGTGATCGCCCTACGTATGGTGCCATCATATTTCTCCAGATACCTATCAACAATTCAAAGATTAGAAAAAACTTAAATACAGATTATGCTACACCACCTACCTGTTGAAAGTCCCAGGCTCAACACAACAAGCGCAACCCCCATGTATTCACGTAACACTGACATGTCTAGAAGTGCGTGTTGGTCATTTCACTGTGTTTTTATATTCAAGATAATATTTTTGCCCTACTTAGGATATGCAAGTAGACAACGTAATACTATCTTGGACATAAAAAAACAGTCACAGTGAAATGAACAGCACACGTCTAGACAGCTCAGACACACCTCACCCATCCAAGTGATGACTCCGGCCCAGTGAGTACTCCAGTCCAGTGAGGACTCTGGCCCAGTGATGACTCTGGCCCAGTGAGTACTCCAGCCCAGTGTGTACTCCAGACCAGTGATGACTCCGCTCTAGTGATGACTCCGGCTCAGTGATGACTCCGGCCCAGTGATGACTCCAGCCCAGTGAGTACTCCAGCCCAGTGATGACTCCGGCTCAGTGAGTACTCCAGCCCAGGGATGACTCTGGTCTAGTGATGACACCAGTCCAGTGATGACTCCGGCCCAGAGATGACTACGGCCCCGTGATGACACCTGCCCAGTGATGACACCAGTCCAGTGGTGACTCCGGCCTAGTGATGACTCCAGCCCAGTGAGTACTCCAGCCCAGTGATGACTCCGGCCCAGTGATGACTCCGGCCAAGTGATGACACCAGCCCAGTGATGACTCCGGCCCAGTGATGACACCAGTCCAGTGATGACTCCGGCCCAGTGATGTCACCAGCCAAGTGATGACTCCGGCCCAGTGATGACACCAGCCCAGTGATGACTCCGGCCCAGTGATGACTCCGGCCAGGTGATGACACCAGCCCAGTGATGACCCCGGCCCAGTGATGACACCAGCCCAGTGATGACACCAGTCCAGTGATGACACCAGCCCAGTGATGACACCAGCCCAGTGATGAGTCCGGCCCAGTGATGACACCAGTCCAGTGATGACACCAGTCCAGTGATGACTCCGGCCCAGTGATGACTCCGGCCCAGTGATGACACCAGTCCAGTGAGTACTCCAGTCCAGTGCTGACGCAGGCCCAGTGAGATCTCCGGCTCAGTGAGTACTCTGGCCAAGTGAGGACTCCGCCCCAGTGTTGACTCCGGCCCGCCATGATTATACTTTTGTACGAACCAATTTCTGTGATAGGGTTAGCTAATTCATGAACGTAAATGTGAGTACTCCAGTCCATTGTTGTCGCCGGCCCATTGAGATCTCCGGGCACAATGATGACTCCGGCCCAGTGAGTACTCTGCTTAGTGATGCCACTGGCCCAGTGAGTACTCCAGCCCAGTGATGACTCCGGGCCCAATGATGACTCCGCCCAGTGAGTACTCCAGCCCAGTCATGACTCCGGCCCAGTGAGTACTCCGGCCCATCATAAACTTCATGATTATACTTTTGTACGAACCAATTTCTGTGATAGAGTCAGCCAAATCATGAACGTAACAGGTCAGCCAAATGAATTTGTGAATGAGTTGACCATGACCCGTTTCCACTATGGCAGAATGTCACACGGTGGGATTTATAAAGAACACCCCGTTAGGTTAATCATAATGTATATTCCTTTGGGATGATTAATTCTTGAAAGCAGCCCCTTAGATGTACACATATGAATTCAACTATGCACTTGTAAAACGTAAATAGCTACAGTTTTGTAAAACAAATTGTAACAAAGATAATTACTTTATCATGCTTATCGTATTGTCGGCAGAACTAGACCATCCCGCCTCACGGCTGACCCGTATGAGTGAGTGAGTTTAGTTTTACGCCGATTTTGACAGTGTTCCAGTTATATCACCGTGTGTCAGCTTGAGGTGGGACTGAAGCCAGAAATGTTGTCTTAGACGTTTACAACTTTCGTGAAGCCCACGAGCACGGGTTTCGTGCTGGCAAACCTAGAAACATGATCAGGACGAATTTGAGATTCGAAACCACGATCTATTGTACCACCCATTAGCTGTTAGAGTAAGACCGTCCTGTCACACAAGTAAGGGCCTCCGCATCTTTTTAAGCGTTTAAGACGGCCATTTTACACTTCCTATTGTCAATTTACCTTTTATTACTTAATCAATTCTAATCATGCGATTGATGTTTATGTAGCACGGTGGCGGTCGGGTAGCCTAGTGGTTAAAGCGTTCGCTCGTCACGCCGAAGACCCGGGTTCAATTCCCGACATAGGTACAATGTGTGAAGCCAATTTCTAGTGTCCCCCGCCGTGATATTACTGGAATATTGCTAAAAGCGGCGTAAAACCGTACTTACTCACTCACTTATATAGCACGACATACCAATACAACCAGGCATCGGGTATTTCAGAAATATCGAAAAATAACATTGGTATAGACTGGTTAGAAATGACATAATTCGATATGACTAGACCTCGGTAGAAACAGTCCATTCTGTCGAGGCTACAAAGGTAGGTTGAACTGACCTAGATAATGTCATATCATTGAGCACTGACCTAGATATCGTCAGATCATTCTGCACTGACCTACATATTGTCATACCATCTGCACAGATTTAGATATCGTTAGAACACTCAGCACTGGCAATAATATCGCCGGATCATTCTGCACTGAACTAAATATTGTCAGATCATTCTGCACTGACCTACATATTGTCAGATCATTCTGTACTGACCTACATATTGAGGTCATCTGCAGTGATCTCAGTATCGTAAGATCCCTGTGCACTAGATCGAGATGTCTTGAGATCAATCTGCACTGACATAGATATTGTCATATCATTCTGTCGTGGCCAACGTCAGGTTGCACTGATCTAGATATTATGCAGATTATTGTCTCATGGCATTATGTCTCAGTAAATATATTAAATGTGTATGTCAGATGTGAGCTACATTAGTGCCACTGCCCGCTGTCTATACTGGGCCATCTTGAGATAAGCGAATATTGCCCTATATTTTCACGCTGTAATCGCACGGTGTGTAACTTCCAAGATGTGACCAGCATTTCGGTTTCTGCTTACTTTTACATTTAGTGGTTTCTGGGGAATGGCGTATGCTGACGACAGCACTTCAAATACATTGCGTTTGTGCCCTGCGCCACTTCAGGCTCTTCCCAAATTTATTACAAGGATTTACCCTTGTATGTCTATTTTCGAGTACAGTAAACTACGGATATAACGAACTCAAAGGGACCACTAATTTTAGTTCGTTATAACCGTAGTTCGTTATAAGCATATATACAGCATAACTACAGAAAATAGTCGGGACAAAAAAGTAAGTTCGCTATATCCGTCAGTTCGTTATAAGCGTGTTCGTTATAAACGTAGTTTACTTTACTTGGCAGTCTCTGTAACCGTTTTTGAGGGTAACCTTAACCAATTCTTTATGACTTTAATTTGTGCATATACCAGTATATATATTGGAAACGTACCACATTCACCATATACAACTACATTGGGAGTGTTTATCTTTACTCCCAAATATCTTTACATGCATATACATATACATGCACCCTTTCAACCAAATCTAGCTCATGTACGCCCCAAACCTCAGCCTACAATTAAGGATTGTAACACAAAAATATAGTCTACAGTTGAGTAACCCTCTCTAAAACAAGCTTGTGCCTCATCCTTCTTAAAGGATTCAGCCCAAAATACTAATCTTCTATTAATGATATCTAAGAATATTTTACAAAGTACAGTATACTACGGTTATGACGAAGTCTAAGGGACCAGTAATTCTAGTTCGTTATTACCGTAGTTCGTTAGAAGCATATATGCCACATATATACAGAAAGTATATGTATCTTCAGTTCGTTATACGTCGCTTGCGACATAACCCTTTCCATATCCAATAGAAATCTCTGCATAAAGCAGAGTCGATTTACTATTCCGACTATATCATGAGCATGTGTTCTGAAATCACTGTCAAAAGTAATGATACCAGGTGTTCGCGAAAAGGTGAGCGTATCCTGCTCTGTCCTTAGGTAATCATAATAAATATAATTATAAGACATAACCATAATAGCTTAATAACCTTTAGCCATCAAGATATTACCAAACGGCGTGGGCGGCTCGACAAGTCAACTTGCGTGTATATGCACCAGCCGTAAGTTAGCCATTCGCCGCGTACCCTCAGGGAGTGTCGTGGTGGTGGGTCACCTGTTGGAGCAGCTGTGGTAGCAAAACCAAACACTATCTAGATTGTCAGGTGCCATGACATGTTCGCGGTATTGAAATGAGTTTAACTGGACTAATCCCTATTTTAGTTACGAGGGCACGGGTGAACCATTCTTCTAAGGCAAATACTGCTCGGCATAAGGAAAAGTTGACGATTGGAAAGTTGAAGTCACCCCTCTTGTCATACAGTCTTGTGGAGAATATTCTGTCAGTATGAATCTATATGAAACAGATGATGAAGTTTCACTGGTGTCGTTGTTCCTAATTCAGGTGGGTAAATCAGTGGAAGGGAATAAGCTGAGCTAACACATATTTCTATTGCTATTACTCGAGGAGAATCTGGGAGGATTTCTGAAACCAATGGGGTTAACGTCGTGTTCAACATTATTGCACTAAGATAGCTACGCGCGCGCGCGTGCGTGCATGTAGGTGCGGCTGCTGCTGTCGGGGGTTCGATTCCCGGCCGCGTCATACCAAAAGACGTTAAGAGATGGTACTTGTTGTTACCCTGCCTGGCGCTTGGCATTAAAGAACTTGTCGTCTCGCAGTCAGTATACTGTGTCTGAGTTGGGTATTCGTGTTAAACTGCGGCATGGTATCTCAGTGAGCTAGCACTATAAATCGGCATCAGTCCGGACTAGTAGCAGCCACACACACACACACACACACACACACACACACACACACACACACACACACACACACGTACGTGCATGCACGTCGCTATATAAGTGCAATAATCTTTGACGCGACGTTAAACCCAATTTCACCTCACCTCACCTGATACGGGTATTTTTTTCAGACCACTTTAAAAGCTACTAGTATTGGTATTGCTTTGGATTTTCACTTTTGGGCAAAATTTTAAATTTTTACTGGGAACGGAAGGTGAATCCTTGGTCCACTATTGAACACCTTTATTTCTGTTTTTATATTTCTATGTTCATCTCTTTTTTTTATTTTCAAAAAATAAAACGTTCCCTGTAGCTTATGGAAATCGAATACCCGTAGCAACTCATTATAGTACATTGCAACTTGCAACAGTAGATTATGATTTGGTTTGGTTTGGTTTGGTTTGGTTTGTTGTTTAACGCCGCACTCAGTAATATTTCAGCTATATGACGGCGGTCTACAATAATCGAGCCTGGACCAGACAATCCAGTGATTAATAACATGAACATCGATCCACGCAATTGGGATGGATGACATGAATAGATTATGGCTAATGTTAAACAATTAAACAAATAAAAGTAACTTCGGCTAATTGCAGAGGCTTCGCAGATGAAAATAAGAATAAGGAAGTACTGAATATTTGGAGAAAAAGCAAGGTCTCTATTATTTGTTTGCAAGACATTCGCATTTAGAAGGAGAAATGAATGGGGTCTATAAAGCATAATTGCACCATATAATTCCAATGCTAGAGGTGTTGCTAGAATGTTTAATAATAATGTAAAACATTATATAAATAGCACGAAAATAGATGAAAATGGCAATTATTTGATCAGGGTACGATTTCATATTGTTTTACCACCCGCACCAGGTGCAACCAAGTGAATTAATCAGGTTGAAAATAGTGGATGCACCATGTTATCATGAATTAAAAAAGTATATTTTCAGTTATTTTTAACATTAAATAAATTAAAAGAGAAAATTAATTGAGAATGTGCTTCAGGATTTAATTTTCAGGACATATTCTTTTTATTTTAATTACTCTGGAAACAAAAAGTTCCTTTATAACCGATTCACAGCTCATTCTCATCTCTATCAGTCTCATCACTGGACCATGCCATCTCTATTGATTCATTTCTTGGAATCTGAGATTTTAAAGATTCCAACTTGCCGCAAGGGTGTCTTTGGTGCCGCCTTGTTGTGGTCATCAACAGTGCTACACCTTCATCAGGAACAAAATCTATAACACAGGGCCCATTCATTTGAAGTGACGTCAGATGAGACAAACTGTCACTTTGAAGTCTGGCTCTCCAGTCAGATTTTACTCTTTTTAACAAACGCAATCCCCTTTCACACACAGAGGACTTTACTGGAAGAGATAGGACTACTCTGATTAGAGCTAAGATATCCTTTAGGAATCACTGTTTGTCATCGGATCTTGCAATTCTTTCCCATACTGATATGAAGTCAAGAGATTCCTCAAAGTATCTGTTTTTTCACTGCTGTCCACTGTAACAAAATATTTGTATATCTGTTGGAGGTGAGTGGCCTTTCTAAGTGATGACTCAAAATCTTTATTTCATCGTCACCAAATGTGTTCACAGCATCTGGAGTTTCCGGCCAGTTGTCAGGATTAAGAACATAGGAAACCCCACACACTTCACTTTCAACATCAAACATTTTGGTCAGGTTTTCTTTCATCAATGTAACCACCTTTTGTGCATCACTTGTAGCACTTTCTACTTCATACTCAGGATTTCCCTTGTTTCTTGAACGACTGGCTGCCCTTTCAGGAATGCTCAGTTGATGTCTTCTGAACCTGTATTCATCCCTTGGGGGCTCTTTCTCCACAGTGACACCTTCCATCATGATAATTCTCAATTTGTCTCTGGCAGACATTGTGTCAGGTCCAACTCCTGTGACATCAACTGCATCATGCACAGTGTGAAGCCATGCATCATTAGACTGGAACACTTTGCTCAATTAGCAGCATATTAAGGAATACCAGGTAAAAGTTAATAAACATAACAAACTTTACTGGCTGCATAATTTTCAATATTGTCCTTGACTTGCCCTAGTTGTCCCAACTACCAGGTCTAACTTCATTTTCCAAGTCAGTGTGTGAGTGAGTGAGTATGGTTTCACGCCGCTTTTAGCAATATTCCAGCAATATCAGAAATGGGCTTCACACATTGTACCCATGTCGGGAATCGAACCCGGGACTTCGGCGTGACGAGCGAACGCTTTAAACACTAGGCTACCCGACCGTTCCTCATTTCCCAAGAGTGTTGATAATGCATCAAATGACTGATTGACAGTTTTCACTGCCCTTTCATGATGAGGTCGCCATCGGCAGCCTGAAACGTTCTCTGGACGTAACACTGCCTCTGCTGCTACTTGTAGTCCGCTCCACCTATTTGTAGAATACTTGTAAAAACTGTAAATATCATAAAGTACTCCATCATTGGGAGACATGTATGAAATTGTCTTTTACAGCAAGTTTGAGTATGTGAGGACAGCAGTATATGGTTACAAGATGTGGCGCAAAGTCTTTATTCTTGTCGCAACTCCTGACCTGCAACCCATCATGACTGATGCACCATCAAATCATGCTCCAACTCATCTTGACTTGACATGATCCCTGTACCCCAGAGGGGAGTGAAACATCTCAACAATAGCCTCCTGAATATGCACGGCATCAGCTTTAGTTACACTTGACACACAAATAAAAACTGTTTTGGTGATCCATTATGCACGCAACTTATGTACATTATCTCGCGTTCAGTTGTACTGCAGTCTGTTGTGCCATCACATAGTAGGGAGAAAAACTCAGCTGATTTCAACTCTTTGATAATGTCAGTCATCAGTGCTTCTTTAATGTTTACACTAAACTCCCGGGCTTTCTTATCTCTCGCACAACTGTGACCTGTGTCAATTCCCAACACTGACAATAGCTCCAGAATTTTGGGGAATTCTGCATATGGCTTCTCACATCTTGCCATCCAGTAAACAACCTAAAACAGAAGTTTCAAGGTGACTGTGTATTGTGATCGTAACCCTGTGACTGTCCGAGGGGTAATTGTGAAGAATTTGTTTTGACACACAAAGTTCACCGCATTTGTTTAGTAACTTGGGTTTCCAATACTCAGGTTTCAAGTGATCCGTGGATAACCAACCTTTCCGTGATTGTCTAGCTCCCTGGAATTTTAGCATTTCCTTGATATTAATTTATCATAAACGATTCTAGAGCCTTTAACAGGTTGAGTGAGTGAGTGAGTTTGGTTGAACGCCGCTTTTAACAGTATTCCAGTTATATCGCGGCGTGTCAGCTTAATGTGGGAGGAAAGCCCGAAGTGATGCAGGTCTCAGACGTTTACCACATCGACGAGCACGGGTATGGTGCTGACAAACCTAGAAACATAATCGGCGCGAACCGGGATTCGAACCCACAAACATAGGTTTCTGGCGTTTCCAAGGGACGCAACCCTGCACAGCGAATCGCGGCGCCTTAGACGACTGGGCCACGCGTGCCCCCGAGTGTGCCAGTAAATCACAAGAGAATGAAATAGTCGGGTCACGAATTCACTAATTCTCTAACTAAGAACAACGACGACCGCCGAGCGTGTCGGAAATAAAGCGAGGGAGCATTGCGGTCACTAGACCGTCACAAGGATAGACTTATGACACGGCGAGAGTCTGTCAGGGGTACTGTTGTTTGAAGACAATGATAAGGGTTTATCCAGATAATATTTATATCGGCAGGAAATATTCTCGTTCATAACATCATCGTTTTGAGTTGCACAGGGGGTGTCTGTCTGTCAGGGAGTAATGCTGTTTGGAGACATTGATAAGGGTTTATCTAGATAATATTTATATCAGCAAGAAATAACTTCTCTCGTTCATAACATCATCGTTTTGGGTTGCACAGGGGGTGTCTGTCTGTCAGGGAGGAATGCTGTTTGGAGACATTAATAACTTATATTTGTACAGATATGTTTATTTGGAAAGAGATATAATTTCTAGAAAACAAAGATCAATGTTTGGGTTTGTACAGGGTGTTTCTGACCGGCATATTGCCGCTGTTGCAGTTGTCGGCGGTGCAGCAGTACCTGCAGGTGATGTCTGATGTCAGTGTAGTGGGGTCGACGTCGACACACTCGCTGTTGTCAGAGGTCTGTTCGTACCATTGCTTTTTACATGCTCCTTCGTCGACACACCTACACATAACAAAACGCAATCACATTGTTGAGAAAGACAAGGTAAATATTGGATGTCTTTGTTGTTTGTATAAGTCCGCATTACATACTGGGAAACTTAACAGTATAATGTGGATTGATTGTGCTTAAACGGAAATTAGTGCAATTTCACAACACCCTTTTTTTCCAACCTTAAACAACATTCGGTATCAATTTCTGAACACCAATTCCTGTGCAAAACCTGTTCAGAATACAATCTTAAATTCTCACCTTCTGATGTACTTCGTTGAACCATCTGTGTGTTGAAAGAGGTCGGTCATACAGAAACCCGCGTCTGATGGACAAGGGGAGGCTTTGGGCACGATAGTTTCCATAATGGTGCAATCTGTTCCCGTGTTGGCATCCCCGCACTTGTAACACGATCGCTGTATTGCTTTCGCTGTGGATGGAGATGTTGTTGTAGGCGCTGTGGTGACAGCGGCAGTTGTAGATGGAGCAGATGTAGTTGTTGTGGCAGTTGAGGTTGTTGCAGACACTTTGGTGACAGCGGCGGTTGTAGATGGAGTAGATGTAGTTGACGATGTTGCAGGTGCCGTGGTCATGGTACTTCCAGCTGTAGAATTGTTAACTGATCACATACGTATTTATTTTATGGAAGCGGTTGTTGCAGTAAGTGATCTCACAGTCAGATATTTAATGGAAGTGCTTGTAGATAACGGTCTCGTGGACACTACATAAAAGAATGAACAGTTTTTTCATGTAACTGGCAATTATACAAAAGGCAAACCAACTGAAGGATACCAACCAGTTACACAAGAATGACATGTCTTCCCACACAGAGCCGGTCCGAGTGGGTTGCTGCAGACATCCGACATGGTGCTACAGATCGGGTCGTGGTCTATGCAGGTGTCAACCGGCTTGGTAACCGCTGTCATATAAACGTCATACATCATACAGACAGAGGTCATGTGTCATACGAGTATGTAGAGGGGTAATATGTCAAACAAAGACAGGTAACATACGCACCGTGACAATATGACACACATACAGAGGTTATGTTTCATATGTAGAGGGGTAATATGTCAAACAAAGACAGGTAACATACATACAGTGACAATATGTCATACATACAGAGGTTATGTTTCATATGTAGAGGGGTAATATGTCAAACAAAGACAGGTAACATACATACAGTGACAATATGTCATACATACAGAGGTCATGTGTCATATGTAGAAGGGTTATATGTCAAACAAAGACAGGTAACATACATACAGTGAAAATATGTCATACATACAGAGGTCACAATCAAATGACATCCCTCATCTCTCTGCCAGTGAAGCTGGGTAGCTCAAATTACTATTCACACTCAACGTTCTGGTTATTACTGTTTCCAAACTGAAAAAGTTGGAAGAATGATTTTTGAAACTGTTATATGACAGTGTACTTTATTGTTTGACAGAGATTGTAACTGTGTTACATTGTTTCTGGTGAGGTACGGTAGACGTTCATTGCATTGTGTTTGGACAGTGATTAGTCGTCAGGAAGTTACTATATTTAGATGCCAGTGTGGTGTGTTAACTTACGGTTCGATATACGGCGGACGGTGATAGTATGTTATGGAAATCTCTTTAATGTTCTGGTACCGATGGACTGGTGAGGCCTCGGTAGATTGTATATAAGAGGACAATAGAGTGTTTACAAAGCTCTCGCGAATTCCATAGCTTTAGAACTAGCTTTCATGTGAGGATCACTCATCATCCCTGATTCCCTGCCTAACTAATCGGAGAAGCTTGATCACTTGGTGAATATTTACTATTATCACTGACGTTTGCTATCACCACTGTATCTTTGTATTTGATACTGTCCAGTGCCATCATATTATTTATTGTCATTGAATATTGTACTACCACTCTATTGTTTACTGCCATTGTAAATGCTGTGCAGTAATTTGCATTGATTGTGGATTTTGGGAATACATTTGTTTGTTGATTGTATACCACTTGTTGTTTGTTTGTTGGTTTCACACTAGCTTCTTTTGCGTACCGATTTTTGGATTAACATATTGTTTCAATTTGGTAATCGACGCGTAACAGAAGATATATATAATGTCACCCTTGTGTCTTCGAAACTGAAATATATCAATATTCGTTGATATGAATAGAATACTCGTCTTGATACAGATTCTCTTTATCCGCCACAGTGCAAATTGTTCTCGTATTCACAATGTCATTACCGCACCCGTAACAATATCGCTCGAACACTTTCCTTTTGGCGGACTTGCTTGTAGGGTCTAAGTCAGTACGATCCTTTCTAAAACATTAAACTGCATTTGAAAGCAATGATTTTTAAGGTACCTGTTACATGGTCTTCAGAGACTCCAGCTGCAGAGGTTACGGATCTTATAGGCATATATTTAATGGAAGCAGTGTAGATATGGCTTATGGTTTCAGGGACTTTGCATAACTGAATCAAAAGTTTCATCGTGTAACTATCATTCATAAATATGGCAAGTTAACTGAAGGATACCAACCCGTTACACAAGTATGACATGTCTTCCCACATAGAGCCGGTCCGAGTGGGTTACTGCAGACATCCGACATGGTACTACAGATCTTGTCGTGGTCTATGCAGGTGTCAACCGGCTTCGTAGCCGCTGTCATATAAACGTCATATATCATACAGGCAGAGGTCATGTGTCATATATGGAGAGGTAATATGTCGAACAAAGAAAGGTAATATGTTTTAAATACAGAGCTAATGTGTCAATACAAAAATATGTCATAAGTCATACATACACGCGCGCACGCATACATACACACGCAAAGGTCCTCGGAGGGTATTGGTATGACAATTTATCATCCCAAAGTGGCTTCTACATGAGATATGCTGCAATGAAATTGCATCACAATGCTTTGCAGACCATCGTGACGTAATCCGTTACTATGGCTGCACAATCAAATGCCATCACTTATCTCTCTGCTACTGAAGCTGGTTAACTCAGAAGCTGTATTGTTTCCACTCAGAACACTGGTTATTACTGTTTACATAGTGTAGAAAGAATGATTTTTGATGATAAATAGAATCTCACTCTTTTGTCATCTAAGCTCAAATATTTGACGACTTTTATCGACTCGTGACATTGTTTATCTCGGAGGATACCCGTAACAATATCACTTTAACAATTCTTTGGTGGACTTGCTTGTAGTCGTCACGTCCGTGTGAACTTTTCTTAAGCAGTAGACTGCATTTGAAGACAATGAATTTTGTATGTACTTGTTTTGTGGGCGGTAGCGGCAGTTGTAGCTGGAGTAGTTAACGATGGTGCAGGTGTTTGTACCTCCAGGTGCAGAAGATACTGATCCCACTGACATGCATTTAGTGGAAGGGGTTGTGAACTAACAGAAAAATAGTAACTGTGCTTCTTAGATTTTTAAAAAATATTATGTAATGGAAACTTACAGCATAATATTTGGTCATTTGTGGGATCAATGTTTTATCATAACAAATTCAGCAAACACAGTACTAGTATCTGGTGACTCCTTTAATGTTTGAGATGTCTTCATGAATATGCATTGAAAGATGCAGTCTCTTTATTCCAGAATAAATATAATTTTATTGAATTTGTAGACATTGCATATATAAATATACAACATCGCTGTAAAATAAAATAAAGCAGATTAATTGAAAATGATTGATACATAATACTAACAAGATTAATTAAAATAACGAAATCACTATTTAAAATAATACTAGTAATGATAGTGAAACTAAATGTATTATCAATCCCCAAATGTACAAAAGAGGTCGCTGACTTTCTGTGCTGGCATCAAGGTGCCTCACTCTGACATCGTGGGTTCGAATCCCGGATGGGACTAGAATCTGTATTTTATTAAGAAAGTGAAATATAACTTTTGTTACATTTGATCACTTTCTAAATGGCATTGTGTGTTCACGCATGAATAATGTCATGAAAGAATGACATCAGTATTAACAATGTTTGAGAATATATTGATATTCCTTTGGACTGACCTTTTATCCCTGTAGGTCGGGGATAGAATAGGCCACCAGCCATCTGGGCCTCTTGGCCACTGAACAGATCGATGTCAGGCTCATTATATCAATAACTGGTTTGTCTGTTTCAGACTTATTTAAACGCCGCCGACATATAGCTGGAATATTGCTGTGTGCGGGGTAAAACAACAGACAAAAGACAGACTCACCTTTATGACAAAGACCACAATAGTTAGGACATAGAGTGCTGGCGAGAATGTCACTACATATGTTTTGGAGACTGTGACATCCGCCTTCTTTCACCAAATCCATGCAGGGAGGAAGTAAGACCCCTGTGAAAGATGTCTCAGTAGATCAGATGCCTTATTTTTTTATATCAGTTGTTTTAAGTTTTTTTTCTCTCAAAACCTTGTGTCGGTTGTCGAAACAAGTGTAAAAATTAAATCCTTCATTTATCGATTGTTTTGGTAAAACGATAGCGTCGGCAATATTTCAATTCTCTTATTTTCATCCTTGTCAAATGTGACGGGTAAGGTGATGTTAGACCGAGTTCCTAATTGGCGGTTTGATTTGAATACATCTTAAATGCTACGTAACTCGCAACATCCGGATTAGAATTGATCTCAGCTTCCCATGCTTGTCTAAAGAGGCGACTAACGCGATCAGGTGGTGAGGCTCGCTGACTTGGTTGATGCATGTCATCGTATTCAAATTGCGTGGATAGATGCTCATGATGTCACTCAGTGGATTGACTCCACAGGACTCGGTGGTTCAGAGACTGCCGTTATATACTGGAATATTGCTGATTGCGGCGTTAAACAAATAAATAAACAAACAATAAATAAAATCGACACAGAAGCCAAACATGATTTGATACTTGTATTGCTGTATCTTGTGAGATACCGTGAGGTCTAAATTCGCAATGCTTCGATACACCGGTGAATTCTACATACCTGTCATCAATTCAAAGATAAACAAACAATTAAATGCAGATTGTGCTACAACACATACCTGTTGAAAGTCCCAGGCTCAACACAACAAGCGCAACCCCCATGTATTCACGTAACACTGACATGTCTAGAAGTGTGTGGTGGCCATTTCACTATGTTTTTATATTCAAGATAACAGGTTTGCCCTACCTAGGATATATAAGTAGGACAACATAATGCTATCTTGGCTATAAAAACAGTCACAACGAAAAGACCAACACACGTCTTGACGGCCCAGACACCCCTCACCCAGTAAGTACTCTGGCCCAGCGATGACTCCGGCCAAGTGATAAGTCTGACCAGTGAGTACTCCGGACCAGAGAGTACTCCAGCTCTGTGATGACTCCGACCCAGTGAGTACTCCAGCCCAGTGATGGCTCCGACCCAGTGAGTACTCCGGCCCAGTGATGGCTCCGACCCAGTTAGTACTCCAGCCCAGTGATGGCTCCGACCCAGTGAGTACTCCAGCCCAGTGATGGCTCCGACCCAGTGAGTACTCCGGCCCAGTGATGACTCCGACCCAGTTAGTACTCCAGCCCAGTGATGGCTCCGACCCAGTGAGTACTCCAGCCCAGTGATGGCTCCGACCCAGTGAGTACTCCAGCCCAGTGAGTACTCCAGCCCAGCGATGACTCCGCCCCAGTGAGTACTCCCGTCCAGTTATGACTTTTACGACAAGCATAGTCGCCGGTTACGGCAAGCATGGGTACTGAAGACCTATTCTACCCCGGATCTTCACGGGTCGTATGGAACGAGCTTCCAGTGGATGTCAGGAAATCCAAGTATGCCAGCAGTTTCCAGTCAACCCTTAAGACTATCCTCTTCAAAAGACAGATCACTCTTACACTGTAATCTTTTGATTATAGGTTCTTCATGATTGAATTGTATTGTGCACTTTGGCACACATTTATTTGTCTGATCATCCTCTTGTGAAGCATGCCAAGACTCATGCTGAAAACAAGGCATTCCACAGTTTTTCTAAAACGAGCCAAAGATGTAGGATGTAAACTCAATGTAAGTGTTGATTTTGTTGATGGCTATGTGAACCAAGCGAAGTGCACAAATCGGCCCTGACTCAGTTTCTCAAGGGAAGGCTCTCTGAACGACCACTGCATCGAGTTTATGTGCAGTATGTTGAGAAGAGAAGCAGCCTTCGCTTGGATGAAGTCGGCTGGCCTGAAAAGTGAAACAGAAGGCTTTCTGTTTGCTGCTCAGGACCAATCACTTCTCACTCGAAACCGTCAATGTGTGATTTTGCATCAAAATGTAAATATGAAATGTAGATTAGGTAATGAATTTAATTAGACTGTCCAACATATTGTCAGTGGATGCCCAGCTTTGGCACAAACACCGTATCTTAAACGACATGATGGTGTAGCTCGATCATTTTATTGCCGTCTTCGCCATGCTTGTGGTTTTGACACAGAGGTCCACCCATGGTACGACCCGGAATATGTAGAGGGCGTCATGGGAAATGATAAATACATTATTTTTGGAATAGGCCCATTTACAGCCTCAGACACATCCAGGCCAACAAACCTGATCGTGTCCTTTTTGATAAATCCAATGAAATCATTTATATCATTGAATTTTCTGTCCCCTTTGACACTAATGTGATTGACTAGATTGAGGAAAAACATGGCAAATAGGCGGACCCATCCCAAGTACCAAGTTGTCCGACTCCCCATTGTTCTCGGTGCCTTAGGTTTGGTACATGCCAATCTGTTGACTGACATACGGAGAATACCCGGGTTTGCTACCAGGAATACAACCCTTTTGACAATCTGGGTAATGCAGAAGGCTGCAGTGTTGGGGAGTCTTCACATTCTCCGAAAAGTTCTGTGGGTTCGACTGGGCAGCGCTTCCTGGGAGAAGTCCCATTCGCTGTCTGGGTTGCGTGTGGAGGGGGCAAAGGCTCTGAGCTGATGATGAGCCTAACCAGCCTGACTGTGTCAGGATCACCCAAACCCTCTTTGCTGCATTTTTCATTTATCTTAATCTGTAAAAAATAATCATAATAACAATAAATCCTGACACATCTTTATTGGCAAAGGATAACTTCCCTGGTGCATCGACTTGAACGTTTTGGGTTGTATAGGGTTTGTCTGTCAGGGATACTGTTGTTTGAAGACAAGGAATGTAGGTTACCCGGGGCACATTTTTAATGGCAAGAGATAATTTCTCATACATAAACATCAAGGTTTTGGTTTGTACAGGGTGTGTCTGTCTGGTACAACGAGGCTGTTGCAGTTGTCGGTGGTGCAGCAGTAACTGCAGGTGATGTCGGAGGACACTGTAGTGGGGTCACCGTCCACACACTCGCTGTTGCCAGAGGTCTGTTCGTACCATTGTCTATTGCACGTAGTTTCGTTGACACACCTACATAGAACAAACTGAGTCACACAAGCGTATTTGCAAATGTTTTTTGGTTGTTGTTGTTGTTGTCTTTAAAATTGTTCGCCGCTTCCGTGGTTTTATGGTAGAGCGTCCGCCCGGAGAGCGGAAGGTCCGGGGTTCGATCCCCGGCCGCGTCATACCAAAAGACGTTAAAAGATGGTACTTGTTGTAACCCTGTCTGGCGCTCGGCATTAAGGGGCTTAAACAAGGACTGGTCGGCTCGGAGTCAGTATACTGTCTGAGTGGGGTATTGTCATGTTAAACTGCGGCATGGTATCTCAGTGAGCTAGCACTATAAATTGGCATGAGTCCGGACTAGTACAAGCAGCCACACTCACACACGCACACACGTGCATGCACGTCGCTATACAAGTGCAATAATCTTGGACGCGACGTTAAACCCAATTTCACCGCACCTTTAAAATTGTTCAACCACTCAGTTTCCAATATTAGAGTTTCATGCGGGCGGTTGTTAATATATGAGAATCTTGATCTGACGTGGTAGATGTTTACTTGTATATTTCGATCAGTGTATATACAAAGGTATTTATATCAATACTGATACCTTAATACAAATACCTTCCCTTAATGCCAATACAAATACACCATGTGGATTTATGGTTTCACGGTAAATAGGGCTTAACATAAGTAATACCCAAACTAATGGCATCGTCAGTTGACACAACACACACGGTTCCTTTAAAAATGGAAAAAAATATATACTGTGTCAGTTTCGTTATACAAATTGCTGCATATTGTTTAGTTCCATCCTAAATCACATCAGGATATAAAAATTATTTTCTCACCTTCTGATGAACTTCGTGGTAGTATCAGTGTGTTGATAAACGTCGGTCATACAGAAACCCTTATCTTGTGTACAAGGGTAGGAGTTTGGCATGATAGTTTCCGAAATTGTGCAGTAGGTTGCCGTGTCTGCATTCCCACACTGAAAACATAATCGCTCTATCGCTTTCCCTGTGGTGGACTTGCTAGTGGGGATTCCAGTAGGAACACTTGCAGAGGAGTGAACTGCATGTGAAGTCCTGAGACCTTTTGAGGAACCCCTTGGATGGGTGGTAGTTGTGCCGGTGTCAGTAGATGGAGCTTGGTATGTAGTTGTAGTGGCAGTTGAGGTAGTTGTAGATGTTGTGCTGACGGCTACATGTGAAGGTGGAGTAGATAGAATAGTTGCTGATGTTTCAGGTTTCGTGGTCCTTGTACTTCCAGATGCAGTATCAATCGTTGCGGGAGTGGGGGAAGCAAAGGCGGTTGTAGATGGCGCTGTGGGGGCTGTGATTGTAGTGGTAGATGGCGCTGGAGGGGTTGTGATTGTAGTGGCAGATGGCGCTGGAGGGGTTGTGATGGTAGTGGCAGATGGCGCTGGGGGGGTTGAGATGGTAGTGGCAGATGGCGCTGGAGGGGTTGTGATGGTAGTGGCAGATGGCGCTGGAGGGGTTGTGATGGTAGTGGCAGATGGCGCTGGAGGGGTTGTGATGGTAGTGGTAGATGGCGCTTGAGGGGTTGTGATGGTAGTGGCAGATGGCGCTGGATGGGTTGTGATGGTAGTGGCAGATGGCGCTGGAGGGGTTGTGATGGTAGTGGCAGATGGCGCTGGAGGGGTTGTCATGGAAGTGGTAGATGGCGCTTGAGGGGTTGTGATGGTAGTGATAGATGGCGCTGTGGGGGTTGTGGTAGCGGCAGATGGCGTCGTAGGAGTTGTGATGGTAGTGGCAGATGGTGTAGGGGTTGTAGTGGTAGATTGTGTTGTAGGGGTTGTAGTGGTAGTGGAAGGTGGTGCTGTGGGGACTGTGATGGTGGTGGTAAATGGCGCTGTGGTGGTAGTGGTTGATGGTGTTGTAGTGGTTGTGGTAGTGGTAGGTGCTGCTGTGGATGTTGTGGTGGTAGTTGTTGATTGTGTTGTAGGGGTTGTGGTGGTCGTGGAAGATGGTCTGATGGGAGTTTTGGTGGTAACAGTAGTAGATTGTGGCGATCCAGGTGCTGAATATAAAGTAGAAGCATGGACAGTCTCATAGACATTTACAACGGCTGTAGAAGTTATTGATGTCAAAAACACATAAGGTTAATGGTCTTGTAGATACTATATAAATAAACCAACTGCTATATCATGCATTATTTAACCTATCATACAAAATGGCCGTTTGAACATATGGCAGATCAACTGAAAATACATGATACTAATGGTAAGAGTGAGTGAGTGAGTATGGTTTTACGCCGCTTTTTAGCAATATTCCAGCAATATCACGGCGGGGGACACCAGAAATGGGCTTCACACATTGTACCCATGTCGGGAATCGAACCCGGGTCTTTGGCGTGATGAGCGAACGCTTTTACCACTAGGCTACCCGACGGCCCCACTAATGGTAAGAAGTAATAGTAATAATCACGATAACATCAATATTCAATTCATAATTATGTATAGTTGACACGAGCCCCGACTGTACAGAATAGGTTTCAAGCAGACCTGCAAAGATCTGTCAGTTTCTACAAGAATACTGCCACGATAGCAAGATGTCTGTATTAATGAGGTTCAACTTTATATTGAAGTTCCTTTAGACTGACCTTTCTGACAAAGGCCACAATAGCTAGGACACGTGGCGCTGGCGAGAATGTCACTGCAGATGTCTGGGAGGGTGTCACATGCATCTTCTTTTAGGAAATCAGTGCAGGGGGGAAGCGATACATGGGCTGTGTAAAGAATTGTCTCAGTAGGTCATCTAAATATCAGTTATCTGAACAGATTGACATTTGGTAAGTTGACGATCAGTCAGGATTAACTCACTATTCTTTGTGGGTCGGTGGAGTGGTCCGGTGTTGAAGGAGTCGGTTTGTCACACTCAGGGCCCGAGGGTAGAGTGTGTGAAAAAAAGTAACAAAGCCTTTTCCCTAATCATAAGAAGAGCAGAGTCTGATGTACGATTCAGAAAATATCATAAGCATTTCCACAATATCATAAGCATTTCCACAATACCATAAGCATTTCCACAATACCATATTCATTTCCACAATATCATAAGTATCCAAGTAATGACAAAATATTTGAAACTGGCAGTCTCTCTAACTAACCAACTGCCAATGTATCTGTTTCCAGCTTCCTAAAGACACAGTCACGTCACAAGAAAGGAAGGAGGCAATATGATAACATTCATTTGGAAGATTTTCTGCCTCTCCTTCAGGAACCATTGTGATTGCACAAGGCAAGAACAAGACTAGAATCTGTATCGTTGAAAGAAATCAAACGACGTTTGCTGATGCAAGTGTCTACGAACGGTATGGACCCACAGTATCGACTCGTGCATACAGTTCCTGGTATTGCTTTGAAACGTTTGGCCAAACCGGAAACAGACTAAACTAAATCAGAAAAATGCTACATGTTGAAATGGAAATTTGCAAACAGGGGATATGATGCCTTTAATTTAGTAACATTCTCACACAAAAAACACCATTTTCCTAAATGTCAATTCCAGGAACCACCAACAGTTTCAGTTTCTTATATGAACACAATTAAATCTAAGTTTTTCAATTACATGAACGGGCTATTCTCTTGCATTAACAATTTATATTCACAGAACGTGGATCATCATACTGTTACCAACCTGTTTGTTATATAATCATAGGTGACCTGACTATTGTTGAAAATAACAACCTTTGTCAGTTATTCCAATATGGACCAACATATCATGAGCAGCCAACTACTAATTGGGATCACAACTTTAAGATCATTATGAATGCTGTCTCAGCACATGCCAAAAATGGCCCCAAAGAGAAGAAAACCCCGATGAATATCTTTCAGAGTGGGCTAGGTCCGTTAGTGATGTATGTGTAGAATGCACAAACTGGAAAAGAGGACACTGAATTGGATAAACCCATCTTGTGCCAGTCAGCTGTCATCCAAACTCTAGTTGCCCTTCATAACGAATAAAACCATTATATGTAAGCATTACTGTGAATATTGTTTGATCAAAGAACTAGTTTTAAGTGACAAATCAAATATTGCCGCCTTATATGTTGAGGAAGAAATATGCCCAAACCATGCATCAGCACTATCAACTTTAGACTTGACTCAAAATCTGAAGGCATGTACATAACTCTTTTGTACTGGATCTAGAGCTCCATACAAATGTCATACAAAGAAATATATTTCCAGGTCCACAAAGTGTCTCAGAGACTAATCATCATCCAAATCAAATATTCACAGAAGTATTTGACACAAATGGAATTAATACCTCGTGGATTCTCAAAATCTCAAAGAATTTGCTTGAATATTTCGTAATAACAGAAAAGAACCGACAAAGAACGTCATACGACTCTTGCTCAAACGTTGTTTCATCAGGATGATGACATTCAAGCCCCCAATAACACTTTCAAAGAGTTTTATGGTAGACATGTAGAGGACATTCCTATTTGATGCATCAGTTACAATAAATGATGTCCGATTCATTTTTTTATATATTAACTTGTGCCAAATGTTCCCGTGAACAAATAACTTGTTCAGGTAAACAATTAACTTGCCTTTGCATGTGTTTATGACTGGCGCTAACTGATAGTGATTCATATACATATTCTTATGATATAGTCAGAATTGTATGATTTCTTGTGATTATGGAAATTGGTTTTGTCGGTTTTTATTGTTTATCAGTTATTTCTAAACGCTGGTGGATGCATATAGAGTAAAACGTCGTACATATGAACGTGACCTCTGCGTAGAATCGTATGTCGTACATTAGTTTGTGTGTCTTATATGACATAATGTAATACATGCACAGGTTAAGACATAATAGACATTCGTACACATAGAGAACACGTCATACATATGGACGTCGTATGTCACACATAAACAGGTCGAATGTCAAATTGTCTGAGATGTGGGTGCTACAGGTTGAGCAGGTCATACTCACTCTTCTTGCTGACACTGATTTTCAGTGATCCACTCATAGATGTTTTGCCACGATTTTGCCTTTTCTGGTTATTCTCTGGCGTTGAAGTTTTTACATATACATACAAAGGTCATGTGGGCTGTAACATGACAGGGAATATACGCAAGAATTAATGTTTCAAGCAATGCACCAACCTGTTGGGCAGGCATGACATGTCTTTGCACACAACGTGGGTCCGATTGGGTTGCTGCAGATGCCCACCATGGTGCTGCAGACAGGGTCGTGGTCTTGACAGGTGTCCACCGCCACGGTAGTAGCTGACAGACACAATTATAGGTCATGTAAGGTATGTCATGGTAAATGCCATAAGGTTTGTATCATATAGAATGAACAGATATAAACAGTTTGAGTATGTGGTTCTTTATGTCTGTATAAGCAAATAAAAGCGAAAGAAAACATTCCCGCAATCGTATTTCCACTCAACGCAGAGTTCATTGTAGGATTCCGACCATCATAAACACGTGTTTATGAATCACTATCGAATAGTGATGATACCAGGTGTTCACAACAAGGTGAGCGTATCCTGTCTCACCAGTGGCACCGTCACAAACAATAGCAGAGACAAGTCCATTGTTCACCTGAAACAAACACGGGGACATATGGTTCTTGTCAATATAGGGAATTGCATCAGACATTGTTTTCGTCACTGATATTTGGAAATGTCCTCCACATGTCGACCACAAACTTCGAAAGTTAATGTCATCCCCCTTGTCATACGATCTTGTGGAGGGTTTTTGGTCAAACAACTTCTGAGCAAGCGTTCTAGACGCTCTTTGAGATCATGGTACATTGCTCCATTGCAACTTAAAAGTTGTGAAATTGTGGCACCAAAAGCTGGAGCTGCTGGAAGATTGTTTGACCTGAAGGGAAGTTGACTGTTCGTATGGTCATCAAGTTTTCTGACAAATACTCAATGATCAAGGAATGAAATTCTTCCTTAAGGTTTGACATAATTCAACTTGGTTCTTTTCTGAGTTTGCAAAAATCAAGCAAGTCTTTTATTATTTTAAGAATCCACATGGCATTACTTCCATTTGATCCTAATACTTTTCTTGAATATCGAAAAAACCCTTCCTTCATTGTATTAAGGATTATGGATAATCTTTGAGCCGGAATTTCCTCGAGACTGAAATGTATCTCTCGTTGTACGGGGACCGTCTCCGTGTTAAAGTGGTAGAGCGTCTGCCCGGAGGGCGGAGCGTTTGATCCAGGCAGCGTCATACCAAAAAGACGTTCAAAGATTGTACTTGTTGTTACCCTGCCTGGCGCTCAGAATTAAGGGGCTAAAACAAAGACTGGTCGGCTCGATGTCAGTATACTGTGTGGGATATTCATGATAAACCGCGATATGATACCTCAGTGGGCTAGCACTATAAAGTCGCACGCACACACACACACACATGCACGTCACTATATAACTGCAATTATCTTGAACGCAACGTTCAACCCCATTTCACCTCCCCTCTTTGTACGGGTCTTTAGTAACCTTTGTAATCCAAAACAAGACAATTCTTGGTGTCCACCTTCGTGTTATAGCTGAAATATTGCTAAAAGCGGATAAAAACCAAACTGACTGCACCGTTGTCTGTTACGAAAGATGCACCAACCTGGTTGACAGGAACGACACGTCTTTGCACATAGTGCCGGTCCAATTGGGTTGCTGCAGATATCCGCCATGGTGCTACAAACTGGATCGTGGTCTTTGCAGGTGACAACCGGCTTGGTAATTGCTGACACTGTTTGAACATAACATGCAAACAGAGGTAGTGTGTGTGTGTGTGTGTGTGTGTGTGTGTGTGTGTGTGTGTGTGTGTGTGTGTGTGTGTGTGTGTGTGTGTGTGTGTGTGTGTGTGTGTGTGTGTGTGTGTGTGTGTGTGTGTGTGTGAGAGAGAGAGAGAGAGGTAATATATCCAACATAGAGATGTAATAGGTGCATCATATAGAGGTAATATGTCCTACATTGAGAGGTAAAATGTCCTTCATATAGAGGTTAAGTATCCAACATCTGGAGGTAATGTGTCCTACATTTAGAGGTAATATGTCCTTCATAAATAGATTATATGTCTTACATTTAGAGGTAATATGTCCTTCATAAAGAATTAATATGCCCTACATTTAGAGGTAATATGTCCTTCATAAAGAAATAATATGCCATACATTTAGAGGTAATATGTCCTTCATAAATAGGTTATATGTCCTACATTTAGAGGTAATATGTCCTTCATAAAGAAATAATATGTCCTACTTTTAGAGTGAGTGAGTGAGTGAGTTGGGTTTAACGCCGCTTTTAACAGTATTGCAGTTATATCACGGCGTGTCAGCTTAATGTGGGAGGAAAGCCCGAAGTGATGCAGGTCTCACGACGTTTACCCACGAGCACGGGTATGGTGCTGACAAACCTAGAAACATAATCGGGGCGAACCGGGATTCGAAGCAACAATCATAGGTTTCTGGCGTTGCCAAAGGGACGCAACTCTGCACAGCGAATCGCGGCGCCTTAGACGACTGGGCCACCCGTGACCCCCCCCCCCCCCCCTACATTAAGAGGTAATATGTCCTATATTTAGAGGTAATATGTCCTTCATAAATAGGTTATATGTCTTACATTTAGAGGTAATATGTCCTTCATAAAGAAATAATGTGTCCTACATTTAGAGGTAATATGTCCTTTATAAATAGGTTATATGTCCTACATTTAGAGGTAATCTGTCCTTCATTTAGAGGTAAAGTGTCCTTTATATAGAGATAATATGTCCTACATGTAGAGGTAATATGTCCTTCATAAATAGGTTATATGTCCTACATTTAGATGTAATATGTCCTTCATAAATAGGCTATATGTCCTCCATTTAGAGGTAATATATCCTTCATAGATAGGTTATATGTCCTACATTTACAGATAATATGTCCTTTATAAATAGATTATATGTCCTACATTTAGATGTAATATGTCCTACATTAATATGTAATATGTCCTACATTTAGAGGTAATATGTCCTTCCTAAATAGGTTATATATGTCCTACATTTAGAGGTAATATGTCCTTTATAAATAGATTATATGTCCTACATTTAGATGTAATATGTCCTACATTAATATGTAATGTGTCCTACATTTAGAGGTAATATGTCTTTCATAAATAGGTTATATGTCCTACATTTAGAGGTAATATGTCCTTCATAAAGAGATAATATGTCCTACATTTAGAGGTAATATGTCCTTCATAAATAGGTTATATGTCCTACATTTAGATGTAATATGTCCTTCATAAATAGGCTATATGTCCTCCATTTAGAGGTAATATATCCTTCATAGATAGGTTATATGTCCTACATTTACAGATAATATGTCCTTTATAAATAGATTATATGTCCTACATTTAGATGTAATATGTCCTACATTAATATGTAATGTGTCCTACATTTAGAGGTAATATGTCCTTCCTAAATAGGTTATATATGTCCTACATTTAGAGGTAATATGTCCTTTATAAATAGATTATATGTCCTACATTTAGATGTAATATGTCCTACATTAATATGTAATGTGTCCTACATTTAGAGGTAATATGTCTTTCATAAATAGGTTATATGTCCTACATTTAGAGGTAATATGTCCTTCATAAAGAGATAATATGTCCTACATTTAGAGGTAATATGTCCTTCATAAATAGGTTATATGTCCTACATTTAGATGTAATATGTCCTTCATAAATAGGCTATATGTCCTCCATTTAGAGGTAATATATCCTTCATAGATAGGTTATATGTCCTACATTTACAGATAATATGTCCTTTATAAATAGATTATATGTCCTACATTTAGATGTAATATGTCCTACATTAATATGTAATATGTCCTACATTTAGAGGTAATATGTCCTTCCTAAATAGGTTATATATGTCCTACATTTAGAGGTAATATGTCCTTTATAAATAGATTATATGTCCTACATTTAGATGTAATATGTCCTACATTAATATGTAATGTGTCCTACATTTAGAGGTAATATGTCTTTCATACATAGGTTATATGTCCTACATTTAGAGGTAATATGTCCTTTATAAATAGATTATATGTCCTACATTTAGATGTAATATGTCCTACATTAATATGTAATATGTCCTACATTTAGAGGTAATATGTCCTTCCTAAATAGGTTATATATGTCCTACATTTAGAGGTAATATGTCCTTTATAAATAGATTATATGTCCTACATTTAGATGTAATATGTCCTACATTAATATGTAATGTGTCCTACATTTAGAGGTAATATGTCTTTCATAAATAGGTTATATGTCCTACATTTACAGATAATATGTCCTTTATAAATAGATTATATGTCCTACATTTAGATGTAATATGTCCTACATTAATATGTAATATGTCCTACATTTAGAGGTAATATGTCCTTCCTAAATAGGTTATATATGTCCTACATTTAGAGGTAATATGTCCTTTATAAATAGATTATATGTCCTACATTTAGATGTAATATGTCCTACATTAATATGTAATGTGTCCTACATTTAGAGGTAATATGTCTTTCATACATAGGTTATATGTCCTACATTAAGAGGTAATATGTCCTTTATAAATAGGCTATATGTCCTCCATTTAGAGGTAATATGTCCTTCATGAATAGGTTATATGTCCTACATTTAGAGGTAATATGTCCTTAATATATAGATTATATGTCCTACATTTAGAGGTAATATGTCCTTCATAAAGAGATAATATGTCCTACATTTAGAGGTAATATGTCCTTCATATATAGGTTATATGTCCTACATTTAGAGGTAATATGTCCTTCATAAATAGGCTATATGTCCTACATTTAGAGGTAATATGTCCTTCATAGATAGGTTATATGTCCTACATTTAGAGGTGTCCTTCATATATAGGTAAAATGTCCAGCATGTAGAAGTAATATGTTTTACATATAGACTTCATATGTCCTTCATTTACAGAGGTCATATAGACTAACGTGACAATAAACATACGAAACTGTTTACTAGAATTAATGTTCCAAGCAATGCACCAACCTGTTGGGCAGGCATGACATGTCTTTGCACACAACGTGGTTCCGATTGGGTTGCTGCAGATGCCCACCATGGTGCTGCAGACGGGGTCGTGGTCTTGACAGGGGTCAACTGGCTTAATAGTACCTGACAGACATAGGTATAGGTCATACATCATACATATAGACGTCGTGTGTTATACATACAAAGGTAATGCTTCATACATATAGACGTCGTGTGTTATACATACAAAGGTAATGCTTCATACATATAGACGTCGTGTGTTATAAATACAAAGGTAATGCTTCATACATATAGACGTCGTGTGTTATACATACAAAGGTAATGCTTCATACATATAGACGTCGTGTTTTATACATACAAAGGTAATGCTTCATACATAGAGACGTCGTGTGTTATACATACAAAGGTAATGCTTCATACATATAGACGTCGTGTTTTATACATACAAAGGTAATGCTTCATACATGGAGACGTCGTGTGTTACACATACAAAGGTAATGCTTCATACATATAGACGTCGTGTTTTATACATACAAAGGTAATGCTTCATACATAGAGACGTCGTGTGTTATACATACAAAGGTAATGCTTTATACATAGAGACGTCGTGTGTTATACATACAAAGGTAATGCTTCATACATGGAGACGTCGTGTGTTATAAATACAAAGGTCATACATCATACATATAGACGTCGTGTTTTATACATACAAAGGTAATGCTTCATACATATAGACGTCGTGTGTTATACATACAAAGGTAATGCTTCATACATAGAGACGTCGTGGTTTATACATACAAAGGTAATGCTTCATACATATAGACGTCGTGTGTTATAAATACAAAGGTAATGCTTCATACATATAGACGTCGTGTGTTATACATACAAAGGTAATGCTTCATACATATAGACGTCGTGTGTTATAAATACAAAGGTAATGCTTCATACATGGAGACGTCGTGTGTTATACATACAAAGGTAATGCTTCATACATATAGACGTCGTGTTTTATACATACAAAGGTAATGCTTCATACATAGAGACGTCGTGTTTTATACATACAAAGGTAGTGCTTCATACATAGAGACGTCGTTTGTTATACATACAGAGGTAATGCTTCATACATGGAGACGTCGTGTGTTATACATACAAAGGTAATGATTCATACATATAGACGTCGTGTTTTATACATACAAAGGTAATGCTTCATACATGGAGACGTCGTGTGTTATACATTCAAAGGTAATGTTCATACATAGAGACGTCGTGTGTTATACATACAAAGGTAATGCTTCATACATATAGACGTCATGTGTTATACATACAAAGGTAATGCTTCATACATATAGACGTCGTGTGTTATACATACAAAGGTAATGCTTCATACATGGAGACGTCGTGTGTTATACACACAAAGGTAATGCTTTACACATTGAGACGTCGTGTGTTATACATACAAAGGTAATGCTTCATACATAGAGACGTCGTATATCATACATAAAAAGGTAATGCTTCATACATATAGACGTCGTGTGTTATACATACAAAGGTAATGCTTCATACATGGAGACGTCGTGTGTTATACATACAATGGTAATGCTTCATACATAGAGACCTCGTGTTTTATACATACAAAGGTAATGCTTTATACATAGAGACGTCGTATCTCATACACACAAAGGTAATGCTTCATGCATAGAGACGTCGCATCTGATACACACAAAGGTAATGCTTCATACATAGAGACGTCGTACCTCATACATACAAAGGTAATGCTTCATACATAGAGACGTCGTATCTCATACATACAAAGGTAGAATGTCAAATTGTGTGAGTGGTGGTAGGCAGGACATCCTTTTTGCGAACACCTGGTGTCATCACTGATTTTAAGTGATCCATTCATATAATTCTCACCGCTCTTTTGCCCTTTACGCCAATAACAATCTGCTTTCCTGGATAGCTGAGACGGGTTTCTGTGGCGCTGACGTTTCATATACACACACAATGGCGGTATAGGCTGTTGAGGGACAGGAAACATACGAACCTGTTTCGTAAGAATTAATGTTAAAAGCGATGCACCAACCTGTTGGGCAGGCATGACATGTCTTTGCACACAAAGTGGGTCCGATTGGGTTGCTGCAGATGCCCACCGTGACGCTGCAGATAGGGTCGTGGTCTTGACAGGCGTCCCTATCCTCGGTAGTGCCTGACAGACACACTTATAGGTCATATAAGGTCCGTCATGGTCAATGCCATTAAACTGTAAACATTGTTCACAGATTATAGAATGCACAAATGAAAGCAGTTTGAATCATTCATGATGTATCAACCAATGTATCTGCCACAGACCAGTGAAATACGACATCACTGATGGTTGAAGGTTGAATTTCCCCTATATAGGTAATATGTGTAGAGCCCAGTCTTGGTGTCAGCATTGCAATAGTGCTGACGCTGTGTGGACAATCTTTACTCTATTGATTTACGGATAACACCTTTTATGCCTCCGGCGCAAGCCGATTTCACAGAATATTAGAGGGCCGTGTAATTATATACTTCAAATTATGTCTTACCACAATATTACAATGTTGCACCATATTTTAGAAGCCAGGACAGTATTTTAGAATTGGACGGGAGCATTTTAGTTGGGCGACGCCACCTTGTGGTAGAAAACCCAAGATGGACGCCAAAATGGTTAAAATCTCTTATGATGTCAATCTATATTCATTTTATCATAATTATTTTGTCAATTTTAGTACTTCATGCAAAATTAATTTAAATAATAATGTTGCATATAATTCAAATCTGATATGCAGCGCCCACTGGTGGCGAAAATAATCCAAGATGGCCGCCAAAATGACAAATCTTCAAAAAATGTCAAATGTTTGTCCATAATATCAGTATCATTTGTTCACTGCAATCATTTCAATCAAAATTGGCTTCAAAACAATTCCATGTAATGCTTTACTGAATGTATAAGCTTTTGGTACTAAAATTCATTCATTTGAAGCAAGATCTGTATTCCGTAAGGCAGATCTGGGGAATATATTAGACACTATTTTGTGAACACAAGTTAACATCCAAATACCAGATAAGTACAACTAATCCGTCAAGTTATTTACAAATTTGCTATGATTCCTGGTTTCATGGCGCTGACACATTACATCCCGGACATACAACCTTACACAGGCTACTCGTGCTGTCACGTTGGTTGGTTGGTTGGTTGGTTTGTTGTTTAACGCCGAACTCAGCAATATTCCAGCTATATGACGGCGGTCCGTAAATAATCGAGTCTGGACCAGACAATCCAGTGATTAATATCATGAGCATCGATCCATGCAATTGGGATCGATGACATGCATCAACCAAGTCAGCGATCCTGACCATCCTATCCCGTTAGTCGCCTTTTACGACAAGCATAGTCACCTTTTACAGCAAGCATGGGTTGCTGAAGACCAATTCTACCCCGGAATATTCATGGGTCTGGCGGCACGTCATGTAGTCTTCGGAAAGCCATTGCTTCTTTACATAAGGCGATTGTCCACCTCAGTTACATCATTAGAGCTCTCGATTCCCCACATGGTGCAATGTGTGAAGCCCAACAGCGGCTAAAAACTAATCGAGAATCCCCACCAAGCAAGTCGACCATAACCCCCCTTTTAAATCATGGTTCCGTTGTCTATGACCGTGGTCAAACTAACTGAATTGTTAGCTAAACACCACTTGGCAATGCCGGAACTTCTTTTTTTCCCTATCATTTGTCTTGATGATAGAACAATTTTACTAAAAACGTTTGTCGCCAGCGGGATTCGAACTCGCGAGGTCCGCACTGAAGACTAACGAATGTAGTCTTCTGCCACGGCGACACGGGAGAAAGGGTATGAAATTAACAACTAAATATTTACTCACATCAGTACCAATTGCTCATCCCTTTATGAACTGCGAAATGTGTTTCATGCAATTTTTATACAGTATGTTACTCTATGCATTCTAGTATTTGTACAGTACTTGTAATTTTGTAGCTTTTCGTTCAACGAAACGAACAGATAGAAAAGAAATTACTATTATCTTAATCAGGGCTATATTTGCTCATCAACATGGGCAAGTAATATTTAGTTGTTTGATAAATGTGCTCGAGTTGGTCCAAAATGAATGGTATACTTGCCCCGGGACATGCATTTCATAACCCAAATCGGCAAAGTGCGAGGTGCACGTGCGAAAGTCTCGGGGAACACGTTTCACGTGCTTCATGCAGGACCGACTCACACAGTGTTCTTACAGTTGAGCATGGAGTTCCTGAATATCTTTCAAAATGCCTTTAACAAAACAATGTTTTTTAAAATCATTTTAGGTGCCATAAATGTTGGACATGGTTTAAGTATGTTAGACCACTCGGACCCCAGTGTCTAATCGTTGAAATGGTTGATTAAACACACGTTTTTTTTAAAAAAAAGGCTTAATATATTTGAAAGGGGTTTCCGTAGCAAATAGGAAACCTCTTTTTAACCATTGAGAATCAAGCATTCGTCAATGTCATGGTAGAATACTTACTACGCCTATCCTAACAGTGAACAAATATAAGAATTTGTAACATGAAATGCATCATCCTGTACAGTTATAAAAATATAATCTAATATCAACAGAGGGGTAGATTATCCACGGATGTAAATAGCGATGTGACACACATTGGTAATTAGGTCAAGTCTGATAAGCACTGCTAGCAGTGAGAAAATATCTACAACAATATCAGCGACCTCTTGGCAGTCGGTCCGTGTGGAACATGAAGAATATAGCGAAAAAATGGCGCAGTTTCAGTATCGCAATTTGAAGTCGTAGTGTACCTCAATACATGTATGTTCCATGAGGCGGGTGTATCGGGACACCCCTACAAGGTCCACTACGAATGGCTTTACTCTGTACATTAAGAAATAGAAAATAGAAAACGTCAAAGCCAGAGAATAACCAGTCTCGATTATCTACCGCAACAGAATCCATAGGGCGATATAGATTCTATATTTCCTCTATTACACACAGGGTCTCAATAATAGGTATCTACTCTACAGTTGGTCTGCATCAAATTTCAAAACACAGTAGGTTTATCTCCTAAATAACCGCAATTTTTATCACGGACTTTTTCTTATGTTCCCTGTTGCATGGTGCTTATTTTTAGAATTAAACATTCTTTTCGAAATCTAATGTATGAATTGATAAGTGGGTGGGTGTTTTGTATCGTGTGGTCAGGTGTAAGTTCGTGATGCAGCGAGACAAATGTGAATCGCGACACCCCTAGAAATTTGATTAACTGTCATGGTACTCGTCCTGGTGTGGTGCTATCAGACTTCTCCCAATGCCTGTCAACAATTGAAAGGAATGAAAATAAATAGATATAGATGATATCGAGAACACATACCTGTTGAAAGTCCCAAACCCAGCAAAACAAGCACCACCTTCATGCCTCCACATAACACGGACATGTCTTCAAGTGTATGTAGGTCATTCAGTGTCATGGATTTCTTTCTCAAGATAATAGGCTGTGTCCTGGTCTCATATAAATATGAAAGAACGGACATGCATGCCATGTGGACATTAGGAGCATGTTCCAAGTTAGTTCAGTTCAAGTTATGTACATTCAAAAAGTTCAGAAATCATTCGTTGCTTTGATTTTGACATGAGAACTAATTATCCTGTACCACCTGCTAAAATTCATTTGATATATAGACATATTCTGGCATATTGAGGATTGAACACAATCAACCAAGTCACACACTGTAACCATCCGACCACACTAAGTCGCTTACTTCGATATAACACAATCAACCAAGTCACACACTGTAACAATCCGACCACCCTAAGTCGCTTACTTCGAAATAACACAATCAACCAAGTCACACACTGTAACCATCCGACCACACTAAGTCGCTTACTTCGATATAACACAATCAACCAAGTCACACACTGTTACCATCCGACCACACTAAGTCGCTTACTTAGCTATAACACAATCAACCAAGTCACAAACTGTAACCATCCGACCACCCTAAGTCGCTTACTTCGAAATAACACAATCAACCAAGTCACAAACTGTAACCATCCGACCACACTAAGTCGCTTACTTCGATATAACACAATCAACCAAGTCACACACTGTAACCATTCGACCACACTAAGTCGCTTACTTAGCTATAACACAATCAACCAAGTCACAAACTGTAACCATCCGACCACACTAAGTCGCTTACTTAGCTATAACACAAACAACCAAGTTACACACTGTTACCATCCAATCACCCTAAGTCGCTTACTTCGATACAACACAAATAACCAAGTTACACACTGTTACCATCCAACCACACTAAGTCGCTTACTTAGCTATAACACAATCAACCAAGTTACACACTGTAACCATCCGACCACACTAAGTCGCTTACTTCGATATAACACAATCAACCAAGTCACAAACTGTAACAATCCGACCACCCTAAGTCGCTTACTTCGAAATAACACAATCAACCAAGTCACACACTGTAACCATCCGACCACACTAAGTCGCTTACTTCGATATAACACAATCAACCAAGTCACACACTGTAACCATCCGACCACACTAAGTCGCTTACTTAGCTATAACACAATCAACCAAGTCACAAACTGTAACCATCCGACCACCCTAAGTCGCTTACTTCGAAATAACACAATCAACCAAGTCACAAACTGTAACCATCCGACCACACTAAGTCGCTTACTTCGATATAACACAATCAACCAAGTCACACACTGTAACCATTCGACCACACTAAGTCGCTTACTTAGCTATAACACAATCAACCAAGTCACAAACTGTAACCATCCGACCACACTAAGTCGCTTACTTAGCTATAACACAAACAACCAAGTTACACACTGTTACCATCCAATCACCCTAAGTCGCTTACTTCGATACAACACATATTACCAAGTTACACACTGTTACCATCCAACCACACTAAGTCGCTTACTTAGCTATAACACAATCAACCAAGTTACACACTGTAACCATCCAACCACCTGACGTCGCTTACTTCGATACAACACAAACAACCAAGTTACACACTGTTACCATCCGACCACACTAAGTCGCTTACTTCGATATAACACAATCAACCAAGTTACACACTGTAACCATCCAACCACCCGAAGTCGCTTACTTCGATACAACACAAACAACCAAGTTACACACTGTTACCATCCGACCACACTAAGTCGCTTACTTCGATATAACACAATGAACCAAGTCACACACTGTAACCATCCAACCACCCTAAGTTGCTTACTTCGATACAACACAAACAACCACGTTACACACTGTAACCATCCAACCAAACTAAGTCGCTTACTTCGATATAACACAATCAACCAAGTCACACACTGTTACCATCCGACCACCCAAAGTCGCTTACTTCGATACAACACAATCAACCAAGTTACACACTGTTACCATCCAACCACACTAAGTCGCTTACTTCGATATAACACAATCAACCAAGTCACACACTGTTACCATCCGACCACCCTAAGTCGCTTACTTCGATACAACACAAACAACCAAGTTACACACTGTTACCATCCGACCACCCTAAGTCGCTTACTTCGATATAACACAATCAACCAAGTCACACACTGTAACCATCCAACCACCCTAAGTCGCTTACTTCGATATAACACAATCAACCAAGTCACACACTGTAACCATCCGTCCACCCTAAGTCGCTTTCTTCGATATAACACAATCAACCAAGTCACACACTGTTACCATCCGACCACCCTAAGTCGCTTACTTCGATACAACACAAACAACCAAGTTACACACTGTTACCATCCGACCACCCTAAGTCGCTTACTTCGATATAACACAATCAACCAAGTCACACACTGTAACCATCCAACCACCCTAAGTCGCTTACTTCGATATAACACAATCAACCAAGTCACACACTGTAACCATCCGTCCACCCTAAGTCGCTTTCTTCGATATAACACAATCAACCAAGTTACACACTGTAACCATCCAACCACCCTAAGTCGCTTACTTCGATACAACACAAACAACCAAGTTACAAACTGTAACCATCCGACCACCCGAAGTCGCTTACTTCGATACAACACAAACAACCAAGTTACACACTGTTACCATCCGACCACACTAAGTCGCTTACTTCGATATAACACAATCAACCAAGTCACACACTGTAACCATTCGACCACACTAAGTCACTAACTTCGATATAACACAATCAACCAAGTCACAAAGTGTAACCATCCGACCACACTAAGTCACTAACTTCGATATAACACAATCAACCAAGTCACACACTGTAACCATTCGACCACACTAAGTCACTAACTGCGATAAACAACAATCAACCAAGTCACAAACTGTAACCATCCGACCACTCAAAATCGCTTACTTCGATACAACACAATCAACCAAGTCACACACTGTAACCATCCGACCACACTAAGTCGCTTACTTTGATATAACACAATCAATCTAGCCACACACTGTAACCATCCAACCACTCTAAGTCGCTTACTTTGATATAACACAATCAACCAAGTCACAAACTGTAACCATCCGACCACCCTAAGTCGCTTACTGGATAAACATGGGATACTGAGAACCTTCTCGGAAGAAATGCTTTCAAATTTAGGCTGTGACTATAAATTGTGTGGGGATAAGGAGTATTAGCGAGAAACAAGCAACCTTTAGCCTGAAAGTTACAAAAATACTATAACGAAAGTCAAGCAGAAAGATTAGATTCCTTTGTGTGTTTACAGAGTTGGTGATCTCTGGTAATCTGTACGTGACATTGCCGTAGAAATATATGGCCTACTACTCCCATTATTATATGACCTATCAACATTAATAACACTATCGTTAGTTTCACACCGGTTGTTGTGCGTAAGTAATTTTAGCGGCGGTAGAATCTGTAAATTTGTTTGTATTTATTGTCCAAGGCAGCAAATGAATGAACTATGAGTAAAAAATACCAAGTGCAATCGTGGCCAGATGTGAACAGCATTCAGCACGGAGTGGAACTTTCAAGAATTGTCATGTGCGCGAACGAGAGTTGTCTGCCCTTGGTGTGTACATCAACAGGGCAGGTTTTATCGTTCTCGACGTTTCTGTTTGGGCGGGTTCTAAAAGTCTGACTGGACCTATGTAAGAGGGACAAGAGGGCGATTCGATTCCTGTTTGGAAGCATGGAAATCCTGCCAGCTTACAACAATATTCTGGATTCGAGAACTGAGATAGACCTGTTTCATGTGGATCAACAGTGACAATATTCTGAACATTCGCGCGTGCACTACCATTAAAGGACAATTACCCATTGGTGCTGCCACTTTTTTGATAAACCTAAAACTGTGTGATTGAATATAATTTTGTGATTATTCATTGATTTTGTGTGGTCAATCACTGATTTCATGATTTTGGTTCTGTGCGTACCTATTTCTGGCTTAACCTTTCAGTTTCAATTTAGAAATCACTTCTTAACAAAGTTATATAATTTTTGAATTTGAAGTTTACACGATATACGGCTTTTCAATTGGACGTTAGGTCGGTCACATGGTCGCGAAATTGACGTTCATAAATGAAAGAACGACACAATTTGACATTCATACGTTTTTCACGAGACCGTGTTCTTGAAATGACGTAAACACTGACGGACTACTTCCATATTCCTGAGGAAACCCCTGGGAATTCCCTAGCACGAAAACATACATAACCGTTCATTCTGAACATTTAGACCCTTTAATCCTGGACTCAGCGTTTCAGCATACATTGATAAACGTCAGAGAGTTTGACAGCATGATCGTTCACGAATATCCTCGCTACGACCCATCCTAATGAACAAAACAAAGAAATGCACTTCCAAAATATCGTGGTATCGATTCGATCCGTGTCTAGGCTTACAGTGACAGCTATCTATGAATTTACCTTAGTGTCTGTTTGACACACCTTTAATCACCTTTCAATAATCGGTCAGTTGATCAATGATGACTAAAACATGTAACCGCCACAGGTTCATTAACAACTTCCGAAAGCTCTCCCGTCAAATTTATCGTGTCGGCCATTTTGACGTCTTGTACTTGATGTAAATGTATTACGACGCGTTGTCATAGTGACTGACTTACTGAGGTAGTTCTTAATAGACCTTTCTCATCTAATGGTGATATTATTAGAATACATTTGTTGTGACAGATGTTTCTGAAGAGCAAGTTGTGCACACATACGCTCATGTCAACTCTCTTTTTGAAGAACTATTTTATTCCGCGATATAGCTGGTTGTTGTATGGCAGTCAGTATAAGCATGAAGTCACACGTACTAAATAACGTTGGGATCTAGGCATACATACTGTGAGGTAACAAGTTGTGATAAAAAGTTAAAAAGAGTGAGGGCCAAACATTGTATGAACGTCGTCGCAAGCTACGAAGGTTCATACTCCAA